GGATTTATGTAACGTGGGGTTCCATTTAGAGAAGTACACGTGTCAAGTATAGAAACCGCGCACGGGCGTTACACGTGTAGACGCTTCTTTTTTTTTTTTTTAAATCTCTCTAAAATCCAAGAAATTAATTCCCACGGTACCATTACGCTTCTTGTTCATTCTCTGTACACGGAGATAGAGTTCGATGACTCGCAGATGTCCGAAACTAGAACACCAAGGACTGGAAGGATTCTTGACCTCCTTCGGTTGGCTATAGCATCGAGTCCTTGGTTCAATAAACTCTCATTCACGACTGCGTTCATTCACCGATTCCTCGTCAATCGTACTTCCAAGTACCGACGTATGTCAGTCGGAGGATTTATGTACTCCCTGGGGTATTTGTTTGAATGCGCAGCCTCGTCCTTTCGGTTTGTCCCTCTTCCCACCCTGTCGATCTCGGTGTTATTCTTATTGTATATAAATTATTTTAATACTCGGGATGACCTACCGCAATATTTTACGTAATCGCGTAAAAAGTTATCCAGCAAATAATTTCGTTTTGGTCTATCCACGTAAAGAAACCCTGGCGCGCCGACCTCGTATGTCGTTGTCCCTTCACAGCGCCTCCACCTTTTAATGCCTCTACCTTGCCCACCAACCTTCTCTCTCTCTCCTTCTGCCCGGAAGGAAGGTAATCGCGTAAAAATTAATCGTGCAAATAATTTCGTTAGGTCCATCCACGTAAAGAAACCCTGGCGGGCCGACCTCGTGCATCGTTGTCCCTTCGCAGCGCCTCCACCTTTTAATGCCTTTACCTTGCCCACCAACCTACCTAAGGTACTTAGGTTAGAGTCGTGCACCTTCTCTCTCTCTCCTTCTGCCCGGAAGGAAGGTATCGCGTAAAAATGTATCGTGCAAATAATTTCGTTAGGTCCATCCACGTAAAGAAACCCTGGCGGACCGACCTCGTGCGTCGTTGTCCCTTCGCAGCGCCTCCACCTTTTAATGCCTCTACCTTGCCCACCAACCTACCTAAGGTACTTAGGTTAGAGCCGAGCACCTTCTCTCTCTCTCATTCTCTCCTTCTGCCCGCAAGGAAGAGTGCTAAGAAGTACAGGATGCAGAACGCAGAATGCAACAAAACGCAGGAGAAGAGCCCCGCGAAAGAGCTCGATTTTCTTTCTCTTTCTCCATGCCTGCATTCACATCCGTATACGACCGCCTTAAAGTAGAAAAATGTCGAAATATAGAGAGGTAAAAATGTTAAAGAATTATCGGGAATTGAACGTCGTCATTTCTCTTCCCGGCTGCCTCGTAATCGGGCTGAGTCGTATTTTGAAACGCTAACCTGCGATCAAGCCGGACGATAGTCAGATTCCAGTGATGAGGAATAATTAATTAGCGAGATTGAAATGGCCGACGCTTTGGAAGAATCCCGAGGACTCTACGTGCGTTGCTTAAGTCCGTCTAATTGCGCGCCATTTATTTCGCGAAGTCGCAAAGTCAACCGTAAGACTGGAAATTTAAGTAACCGGTATATTCGCGACGACAAGACACTTAATCTTCCGGTTATTTTTCTAGCTTTAAGGCGATCTTCGTCTACCCCAGTACTCGATACCACTACTCGACTCCTGCCCAATAAACGCAAACGGATTAAGGTGAAGTGAAACCTCCTTCAAATCAGTCGATTCGAATACAACACTTTTTTTTAAGGGTATTAGACCAAACTGTCCGAAACTTTGACACGTCACTCCTGATCGTCTAAGAATTGTCCTGACACATTCAAAATTTGGATTTTTTTTTTTTAATAATTTTTTAAGCGCTGATATGAGAATCGAAAGGGTCAGGACAATTTTACGACAATTTAGAACACTCTGGTAATCGATAAACTCACATTCGAACGGGATAAAGGCAAAAAAAGGGTTGTATACGCTTCTATGCCAAAATGATGGTAATACGAGGTCTCGGAGTGAAAATTGAATAGACCTGGAAATCACAGATGGCGCAGAGGGTCCATCGATGTTTCACTTCACCTTAAGATCGATGAATGATGTTGAGCTCTCATATAGCTGTCAATATAAAAACCAACGTCGGCAACGTAGGCATTTAGAAAAATCTTTATCGACGTCGATCAAGTTCCTCGACGTGTTTCACTTCACCTTAAATGGATGTATATACCCTGGTCGCCTGGTAAAAATTGCAGGTAATTTATTTAAACTATTTTACTCCATGGGTCTCTATGGGACTCCTGACTAAAAGGAGCGGAAACACCATGGCACTTGTCAGGACGGAAAAGGCTTCGACGGGGGATTAATGCGAATACCCTGGTCGCCTGGACAAAATTGCACGTAATTTATTTAAACTATTTTACTCCATGGGTCTCTATGGGACTCCTGACTAAAAGGAGCGGAAACACCATGGCACTTGTCAGGACGGAAAAGGCCCTTCGACGGGGGATTAATGCGAATCTCGGTGCCCATTTACAGACTCCCCGTGCATAAACATCTCGGTAATGTATCCCCTGTATACGAGGTCTTTCATGGGGTTTGCGTTCTACGGCGTTGCAGATGGTCGGCGCGTTAGGAAACTACGGCCTAACTTGGCTGGAACAGGAAGGACAATTCCCGAGGATTTACGAGTCGTCAAGTTCAAGAATTATGCGGCATCTCGCCGAGTATTATGGGATCTGAAATTCCTTACGATACTTCGGTAAGCCCTGATACGACCGAGATTTGTTACCCCATAGCCTTTCCCTTCTCCTTTACGGGGGATTTTTTATGTTTCGACGGGTTCGCGTGCTGCCGCCGAAAAAAGAAACAATCCTCGAAGATAATTCCTCGAGACGGAGTATCACCTGGGATAATTTTGAATCATTTTCAGACAGAATATACGTACTACCCTCCTTTGATTTTCAGAGATACTTAAGGTGAAGTGAAACCCCCTTCAAATCAGTAGATTCGAATACAACACTTTTTTTAAGGGTATTAGACCTTTGATCATCTAAGAATTGTCCTGACACATTCAAAATTTGGATTTTTTTTTTCAATTTTTAACCAGAACCAAAATGGCGTCGAGCTTTCATATTTCGATCAGTATACAATTATCAAAGGCGCTGATATGAGAATCGAAAGGGTCAGGACAATTTTACGACAATTTAGAACACTCTGGTAATCGATAAACTCGCATTTGAACGGGAAAAGGCAAAAAAAGTGTTGTATACGCTTCTATGCCAAAACGATGGTAATACGAGGTCTCGGAGTGAAAATTGAATTGACCTNCCTAATTGACTGCGGAGGGACCCCCTGCGCCATCTGTGATTTCCAGGTCAATTCAATTTTCTCTCCGAAACCTCGTGTTACCATCGTTTTGGCATAGAAGTGCATGCAACACTTTTTTTGCCTTTATCCCGTTCAAATGCGAGTTTATGGATTACCAGAGTGTTCTAAATTGTCGTAAAATTGTCCTGACCCTTTCGATTCTCATCAAAGCCTTCAATAATTGTATATCGATCGAAATATGAGAGCTCGACGCTATTTTGCTTCTGGTCTGGACTGAGTTAAAAAATTTCTTTGAAAAATTCAAATTTTGAATGTCAGGACATTCAAATCAACTTATTTAATTACAGTTAAAAATTTTTTTTAAAAATTCAAACTTTTAATATGTCAGGACAATTCTTAGATGATCAGGAGTGACGTGTCAAAGTTTCGCACATTTTGGTCTAATACCCTTAAAAAAATGTGTTGCATTCGAATCGACTTATTTGATTACAATTAAAAAATTATTTTAAAAAATCCAAATTTTCAATGTGTCAGATTTCTGGAGTTTTACTTCTATTCCTTGATATTTATTGTAGGAAAACAACAGGTGGAGTACGCCATTCGATACAATACCCAATACAATTCGACCCAGCTGTCAATATAAAAACCAACGTCGGCAACGTAGACATTTAGAAAAATCTTCTTTGTCGACGTCGATCAAGTTCCTCGACGTGTTTCACTTCACCTTAACCTCGTCCTGGGTATATACACTCCTTGTACCGGAATGTAGAGATTCGCTCGTGGGCGGAATGGCCCGGCCAGTGCGCATGCGCCCTCGGGTCTTCTACTCGCCCGAGGTTGTATAACGCGCGATCTACAAAATGTTAAACCGTTTATCGGGGGAAGGGGCGACCTTCACGTGTGCACCTTCACGCGTGCGAATTTAAGAAGCTTATCCGAGGTAGTAACCTGATTCGAAGTTATTACACGCGAGCTGCTTCGGCCGCCATATCGGTTAAATTACCGAGGACTTATGCACGCGCGTGTGCAGGAATTACGATCGTCCCTTCCGAACCAGTCCGGGGAAATTTCTCGGACACGTGGCCATGTCGGAAATTTCTGCACTCGGGAAATATGTTCCCTTTCGCGTCACGTCGAACGAGGAAGAAAATGGGATGTTTTTAGAAGGAAATATAAAAAAAACGAGCCCGACGTCCTGAGATCCTTTTAAATGGAAATGTAAAGGAGGACGTCTTCCCTCGCATACATTTAGATGACAATTTAAAAGAGGAGCTGGACTTCGCGTTTAAGGTGAAGTGAAACACGTGGAGGAACTTGATTAACGTCGATAGAGGAGATTTTTCTAAATGTCTACGTTGCCGACGTTGGTTTTTATATTGACAGCTGGGTCNATTCGAATCGACTGATTTGAAGGATGTTTCACTTCCCCTTAAGGATCGAGCCACAGGTGTCCGATCCAATTAAAGCACCTTCGCTCGTTCCTATCGGCGTGCTCATCTACCAATGTAGATCCCATGTCAGGGCCCACGCCAAATTTCCTTATCACCTTATCGCGTATCTACAATCCGGACATGCAAATCGAGCGCGGTAGGCACTCTCAGGACCTCGAGGTCCTTACCCTCCAGGACACGCCCGATCGACACCCACGCCTCCACCTTCGCCGCACTCGAATCGGATCGAGAGGACCTTTCTCACCTGGACTGAAAGGAGGAACTCAAGGAGGATCCCCTTTTTCATTTTCAGACCGGCCACTTGAGAACTTCCAGTGGGAATTATTTCATCAAGCCCGCCGAAAGATGGAGAAACGGCGACAAGAGTTCCGTGGGCTCTCCTTTGAAACACGCCATTTACAGAGTCCCCTCTTCAAGGACCCGTTCCAACCACGTGGAGGACCCAGAAGACGTGAAAAATCACAATTGCGGAGTAATCGGTGAGTCCTCAAACGATACCCTCGCGAAACACTGTCACTTTCTGACCCAATTTCTTTTTTTACCGACCTTTAAACCGAACAAACGAAAGTTTCGACTCCCTTAAAGCCACATCTCGCCGTTATGTCTTTTACGCAACGACGCACCGGTTTGAAAAAAACCGTAGACGCGTTTTCTCCGCGGCGCCTTTTCGGATCTTTTTAATATTTTTTTTTTTTCTTCTTCACCTTTTCGGCGCGAAGGAAAGAGAGCGCGAATAGTCGGAGGTACGAGAGGCCCGAAAAGAAGAATCGGTGAGAGGATAACGAGGCTGTAAATCGTTGGCGCAATTACGCACGTGTGCGTTACACATACCCAAAGACCAGAAAGGAAACGAGAGGGGTCGAAAGGTGCATCGGTGCATCGGAATCGAGGGCATTTCCCTCGCGAGATGCATTATGCGCGTTTATCTCTGACCGCGGTTTTTCTTTTTTATTTTCGCGGTTTAAGGCGATCTCATGTAAAGAAAGAATTTCCAAAGACGTAAGAAATGTAAGGAAATTAGGCTCGAAGTAATGACTTTCATGTCGCCTTAAGGTGAAGTGAAACACGTCGAGGAACTTGATCGACGTCGATAAAGATGATTTTTCTAAATGCCTACGTTGCCGACGTTGGTTTTTATATTGACAACTGTATCGAATTATATTGGGTATTGTACCAAATGGCATACTCCACCTGTCGTTTTCCTACAATAATTATAAAGAAATCCAAGTAAAGCTCCAGAAATCCTCTGGATTCGTGCTTTCTGAGGCCCTAATTGATTGCAGAGAGACCCCGTGCGCCATCTGTGATTTCCAGGTCAATTAAATTTTCACTCCGAGACCTCGTATTCCCATCGTTTTGGCATAGAAGCGTATACAACACTATTTTTGCCCTTATCCCGTTCAAATGTGAGTTTATCGACTATCAAAGTGTTCTAAATTGTCGTAAAATTGTCCTGACCCTTTCGATTCTCATATCAGAGCCTTCGGTAATTGTATACTGATCGAAATATGAGAGATCGACGCCATTTTGGTTCTAGTCTGGGCTGAGTTGGAAAATTTTTTTCGAAAATCCAAATTTCGAATGTGTCAGGACAATTCTTAGATGTGTCAAAGTTTCGGACAGTTTGGTCTAATACCCTTAAAAAAAAGTGTTGAATTCGAATCGACTAATTTGATTACAATTAAAAAATTATTTTAAAAAATCCAAATTTTCAATGTGTCAGGACAATTCTTAGATGTGTCAAAGTTTCGGACAGTTTGGTCTAATACCCTTAAAAAAAAGTGTTGTATTCGAATCGACTGATTTGAAGGGTGTTTCACTTCACCTTAACGACTCGCCGCGCTCTTTGGTAGGTACCTATCACATATATATTCTCGGTTCATAAAAATCGGAAAAAAATCAGGGACGTAGGAAACAATCTCCCAATAGCATGCCATCTCCATTTGGATGGAATTTCGGCACGTAAACCCGCCTTAAAGTCCGTCGAGACAGCCTGGCGACAGCGAGGACTGTTCTAAATTCGCTTCGAGTCGGCCTCTCTCCACCTTGACTCCGTTTTCTTCTTTTTATTTCCTCTTTCCCTTCCTTTTCTTCTTTTTGCCGAATTCTTCTGCCACGTTTTGGCACTTGAGACCATCCTCCCCCTGCCGGGGTCCATAAACGATATCCTGCCCTCGATCCGATCGATCTCTCGATCTCGCATGCCCACCAGCGGGAACGGTGCCGGAATTTTAATGTCCCCCGCGATGCCAACGGCCTCTGCACCATAAGCCAAATTGGACCCTCCTGGGCCCCCGTGAACCCATAATCACGGGAGAAATTCGCCGACGGCCGAGGAGGAATTCCGAGGAAGCCTTCAGAAATCTCGCATTTTCGGGCGTTCGCTCCTTTAAGGTGATGTGAAACACGTCGAGGAACTTGATCGACGTCGATGAAGATTTTTCTAAATGCCTACGTTGACGACGTTGGTTTTTATATCGACAGCTATATCGAATTATATTGGGTTTTGTACCAAATGGCGTACTCCACCTGTCGTTCTCCTACAATAATTATAATGAAATCCAAGTAAAGCTCCAGAAATCCTCTGGATTCGTGCTTTCTGAGGGCCTAATTGACTGCGGAGGGACCCCCTGCGCCATCTGTGATTTCCAGGTCAATTATTAGGTTGTCCCATAAGTTTCTTCCCTTTTTTTCATAGGATATGAATACACGATGCGGAAGGAACTTATGCGACAACCTAATAAATTTTCACTCCGAGACCTCGTATTCCCATCGTTTTAGCAAAGAAGCGCATACAACACTTTTTTTGCCTTTATCCCGTTCAAATGCGAGTTTATCGATTACCAGAGTGTTCTAAATTGTCGTAAAATTGTCCTGACCTTTTCTATTCTCATATCAGAGCCTTCGATAATTGTATACTGATCGAAATATGAGAGATCGACGCCATTTTGGTTCTAGTCTGGGCTGAATTGGAAAATTCTTTTCGTAAATCCAAATTTCGAATGTGTCAGGACAATTCTTAGATGTGTCAAAGTTTCGGACAGTTTGGTCTAATACCCTTGAAAAAAAGTGTTGAATTCGAATCGACTAATTCGACTACAATGAAAGAATTTTTTCAAAAAATTCAAATTTTCAATATGTCAGGACAATTCTTAGATGATAAGGAGTGATGTGTCAAAGGTCTAATACCCTTAAAAAAAAGTGTTGTATTCGAATCGACTGATTTGAAGGGATGTTTCACTTCACCTTAAGAACCGCTGCACGTTGGGTGCATCCGATGTGCATCCTAGGTGCATCCTTGCGAGTCCTGGGGATTTTTCCCGCGACTCCCTTCGCGCCGTTTAACGACCGTTGCATCGAACGTCCCTCGTTTTCGCAAAGCCGTAAAGAACCGACGGGTTCTTCAATGAATTTTGCGAGCGATCGATCAATTGGGGGAAGAGCCGTGAAATATTCCTAGCAAGGTCTACAGGGTGATACATAACCTCCAGACGGCTGGAGAAGCGAAGTCACGACCTCGGGATATTTAACAATTTCGTTTTATTTATTTATTCCGATACTACGCCTCGACGTGATAGAAGGGATAAATGGAAGGTGCTTCGTGGTAAATCATGTAACGAAATCCTATGATTTAATCCACTCGGCTACGATTTATGTAATAAAATCGTAAACCGAATCGAGGGACGTCGACCGTGTCAAATGATATCGATTGATATCGCGATTGGATAACAATTTTTGGGCACGTCGACAGGGAGCGACCGTAATTCAATTGAATTCAAGTATATAACCTTCTTAACGTTCATCTTATTCAAATAGATAAAGCTTCGCGAATATAGATCACGGAATATTTCCCATAAATTTCCACCGAGTAATTACAACGAATTTACGAAATATTTCTTTTGGTAAAGAGCTTTTTTTGTATAATGTATATGAATACGTATACTATTACAATTTTCATTATGCACGTACAATTTCTTACAATTGCCCTGTTAAACTTGATTTCACTTTCGCCAGTGAATAAATCACCGCGAAAATGGATCGTTATCCACATTTTACGACTAATTCCCTCCGTGTAATAATTCAGGGGACAATTTGCGCAATTTCGGTAATAATTTCTCGTTACACGGCGATCGGCGGTTCTCTTATTTCTTTAGAGGGGCCCAATTTTCGTTAATTTCAATCGGCCCCGATTATCGGCATTATCGGTGGTATTCAAAGTGCTCCTTGTTAAAAGGACTGGAATAACGCGGTGGAGTTTCTCGCCTTTTTTAACGACCTAACCTGGCACGCGTTTCGTTCTCCGAGATATCCTCCGTTATCCGTGGACGTAGCACGTGTCTAATTTCACGTCCGCCGTAAAATTAGCGGTTATTCACGAGTCCGAGACGAGTGCGATGCTCTAGGTACTTTTAGACTCGGAAATTGCAAACTGTAGGAAAAAAAAAATCAAGTTTCTTGAGGCTTCCAATAAATCGTGTCATATTTTCAAGAAAAACAACATTCAAGATGGCTTAAGATGAAGTGAAACACCCTTCAAATCAGTCGATTCGAATGCAACACTTTTTTTTTTAAGGGTATTAGATCAAACTGTCCGAAACTTTGACACATCTAAGAATTGTTCTGACACATTGAAAATTTGGATTTTCAAAAAAATTTTTTAACTCAGTCCAGACCAGAAGCAAAATGGCGTCGCTCTCATATTTCGATCGATATACAATTATCGAAGGCTCTGATATGAGAATCGAAAGGGTCAGGACAATTTTACGACAATTTAGAACACTCTGGTAATCGATAAACTCGCATTTGAACGGGATAAAGGCAAAAAAAGTGTTGTATGCGCTTCTATGCCAAAACGATGGGAATGCGAGGTCTCGGAGTGAAAATTTAATTCACCTGGAAATCAGAGATGGCGCAGGGGGTCCCTCCGCAGTCAATTAGGGCCTCAGAAAGCAGGAATCCAGAGGATTTCTGGAGCTTTACTTGGATTTCTTTATAATTATTGTAGTAAAACGACAGGTGGAATATGCCATTTGGTACAATACGCAATATAATTCGACTCAGCTGTCGATATAAAAATCCACATCGGCAACGTAGGCATTTAGAAAAATCTTTTTTACTCGACGTGTTTCACTTCACCTTAAGACATTCAAAGGGTTACGAACCACTGTCCTATGGGGTTTCCTATCCTCGAATAAATCACCGAAGAATGTTGCATTTACCATAGCAATGTCGGGATCTTACGATCGCAAAGCGGGGAACTTCTTACGGTGTCTACTCTCGAAATGGCTCTTTACCGCCGCAATGTAAAGACTCTGCAAAGTGTGAACAGCCGGGATCATAAGCGTCCCTCTCTTTACCCCGTTTAATGTCCGCTAATCGGCGACGAGAGTTTATCAGGGAGAGCGTTGAATTTTTTAAATGACGCATTGCCGCGTCAGAAGGAGGAAGAGGTCCTGTAAAAAGTCAGGTACCACACTCTAGACCGTCCACTCTCGTCGGACAAGTTGAGCCTCCCTTGCAGGTAACTAATTATGGCATATCCGAGCCATGTACCTGCTAACGCAGCATGTATCAGCGATATTACAGAGGGATAAGACCTCTTCCATTAAGGACGACAAAAGGATTCGACTCCGAGTCCTCGGTGCATAAAAGTGTCATAAGTGCGCGTAAGTGCATCCCGGGGGTCAGGGTTTTACCCTCCGTCATTTTTCTCCCGACTTGAGATGGCTTGGACTTATCTTTTTGCGATACACCTGACGTCGATAATGGCCCCGGGGTCTTCTATTGTATTTTGAACAACGTCGTTAAACGCGCGAACGGCAATAAGTTTTGCCTTTCTAGAAGTAGAAGCTGCACCCTTTGACCCGCGGAGAAATTCCATATCGGGAGTATTTTGCATATTATACCTGCGGTAATCGATTTCCATTTGCTGACGCGTGAAATTGGTATTACTTGGGTTAAGGTGAAGTGAAACACGTCGAGGAACTTCTTGTTTCTTTTCGATAATTGTAAATCGATCGAAATATGAGAGCTTAACATCATTCATCGATCTTAAGGTGAAGTGAAACATCGATGGACCCCCTGCGCCATCTGTGATTTCCAGGTCAATTAAATTTTCACTCCGAGACCTCGTATTCCCATCGTTTTGGCATAGAAGCGCATATAACACTTTTTTTGCCTTTATCCCGTTCAAATGCGAGTTTATCGATTACCAGAGTGTTCTAAATTGTCGTAAAATTGTCCTGACCCTTTCGATTCTCATATGAGAGCTTTTAATAATTGTATATCGATCGAAATATCAGAGCTCGACGCCATTTTGCTTCTGGTCTGGACTGAGTTTTTTGAAAAATCTAAATTTTGAATGTGTCAGGACAATTCTTAGATGATCAGAAGTGACGTGTCAAAGTTTCGCACATTTTGGTCTAATACCCTTAAAAAAAAGTGTTGTATTCGAATCGACTGACTTGAAGGATGTTTCACTTCACCTTAAGGTCGAATATACAGATGTTGCGGGCACTTGTACCTCTAAGTCTAATTTCAGAGATCTAGAGAACATCCTTCAACTTATCCGTTTTGGATGAACCTTTGAGTGGAAGCACAGAGAAAAAAGCAGATGCACTCCTTAAAAAAGAATCCCTGCCCGTTCTCTATTTTTACCGGCGAACAGATGGCTAAAAAATTGGCCAAAATCCAGATCTTTATTGCCCGACAAATATAAATCCTGATAACGTATAACTAAAAGGATCTGACGTGTTAATAGTGATCTTCCTAAGCGATCTCGACGTAATTATAGCCCAAGTTTGTACGCGAGGGAGAAAAGAAATGAATTTAAAGGAAGTCATGAAAAGGGTCGCCATTAAATGCTCGTCGTTCAAGGTTGAACATTGACGTAATATCGATCAGCCTCGAAGAGATCATCCCCGAGTCCATTAACAAGACACAGAGCTGGCACAGTGACTTCCTCGACAACGAATCCACTGTTGAAGATCCATCGGCATCTCCGAGAGACCCATTTCGAGTTTCTTCTTTCTACTTTGGGTTTTGTGCTTGCCAAGACCATTTTGAAAGTCTCCATATACACGTGGTCAAATTTCAAGGATTTCAAGCATCATACGATGCTATCCTATCGATGATATCATAAGTTTAGCTGTTAAGGTGAAGTGAAACACGTCGAGGAACTTGATCGACGTCGATAAAGAAGATTTTTCTAAATGCCTACGTTGACGACGTTGGTTTTTATATCGACAGCTATATCGAATTATATTGGGTTTTGTACCAAATGGCGTACTCCACCTGTCGTTCTCCTACAATAATTATAATGAAATCCAAGTAAAGCTCCAGAAATCCTCTGGATTCGTGATTTCTGAGGCCCTAATTGACTACAGAGGGACCCCCTGCGCCATCTGTGATTTCCAGGTGAATTAAATTTTCACTCCGAGACCTCGTATTCCCATCGTTTTGGCATAGAAGCGCACACAACACTTTTTTTGCCTTTATCCCGTTCAAATGCGAGTTTATCGATTACCAGAGTGTTCTAAATTGTTGTAAAATTGTCCTGACCCTTTCGATTCTCATATCGGAGCCTTCGATAATTGTATATCGATCAAAATATGAGAGCTCGACGCCAGTTTGATTCTGGTCTGGGCTGAATTATACAATTTTTTTGAAAAATCCAAATTTTGCATGTGTCAGGGCAATTCTTCGATGTGTCAAAGTTTCGCACATTTAGGTCTAATACCCTTAAAAAAAAGTGTTGTATTCAAATCGACTTATTTAATTACAGTTAAAAAATTTTTTTCAAAATCCAAACTTTTAATATGTCAGGACAATTCTTAGATGATCAGGAGTGACGTGTCAAAGTTTCGGACAGTTTGGTCTAATACCCTTAAAAAAAAGTGTTGTATTCAAATCGACTTATTTAATTACAGTTAAAAAATTTTTTTCAAAATCCAAACTTTTAATATGTCAGGACAATTCTTAGATGATCAGGAGTGACGTGTCAAAGTTTCGGACAGTTTGGTCTAATACCCTTAAAAAAAAGTGTTGTATGCGAATCGACTAATTTGATTACAGTTCAAAAATTTTTTCAAAAAATCAAAATTTTCAATGTGTCAGGACAATTCTTAGATGATCAGGAGTGACGTGTCAAAGTTTCGGACAGTTTGCTCTAATACCCTTAAAAAAAAGTGTTGCATTCGAATCGACTGATTTGAAGGATGTTTCACTTCACTTTAAAGGACTCTCGCCCGGGGTGGAGAAATGTCATCCCTGAAAATGTCACCTGAGAGGCTTTGACTCACCCACAAGTCGTAACTCTTTTCTGGAGGGCTCGTAAGAATGTCGTCACGATGTCGTGAAATGGCCGCGTAGTCGTTGTACGCGGCGAACGACACCATGCCGAGACGGAGATATAATTTATCGCTCTTAAGCCAACCTATGCTCGTGCCGGAACTTTTCTTGTGTAATACATCCTAGACCCTACGTGCCCCTGATAAGTGCACGGAGGTACGATACGTGACTCCCCCGTAACAACGAATATCGGTGCAGGTAACGTTTCTGTCTCCTCTCTCGCCTCCTTTTAACTGCGGGTTTAATTTAACCGCGGTTTAAAAAGTCCTCGGCCATCTTGTCATCGATCTCCGATTTTGCAATTCCACTCGCAGGGATTGCGATTCTGGTAAATAAGGTACCAAATGATTATACGCTTTTTGCAGATTACGATACAAATGATCCGCCATCGCCTTTGACCGATAATGGCTCCGGAAGTAAAATCTACGTGGGAAATCGCCGAGACCGGAGGTCCTTGATGGAGAAAAAATCCTTGGACGACTCCAGAGAGAACTACTTTGACGAGGACGAGTACGAGCAATTCGTCAGTCAGGACGAGCATCGTCGATATCTGGTGCTCAATGATCCTCACTACGAAAGGTTCTTACACTCTTTAAACACTACCCGCTCTTACGAGGACTTGACGCAAGACTCTACCTAGTTTCTGGATAAAGACGAGGCATGGCCTTAATTTTTGTTCGGCAGTTCGAAGAATGAAACGCTTCTACAGCGATTTATGAAAAAGCCTAAAGCCCTGCATTTATAGCGTCTTATTCCACGTGTGAAAGTTTAGAGAAGTGCCCTTCCATGTTTCAAGACACTTTGTACAATTTTCAGGTGCATTTGTAACGTGTGAAAGCTTAGAGAAGTGCTCTTCCATGTTTCAAGACACTTTGTACAATTTTTAGGTGCATTTGTAACGTTTTATTCCACGTGTGAAAGTTTAGAGAAGTGCCCGTCCATGTTTCAAGACACTTTGTACAATTTTCAGGAGCATTTGTAACGTGTGAAAGTTTAAAGAACTGCCCTTCCATGTTTCAAGACACTTTGTACAATTTTCAGGTGCATTTGTAACGTGTGAAAGTTTAGAGAAGTGCCCTTCCATGTTTCAAGACACTTTGTACGATTTTCAGGTACTACCCTGTAGAGCCTAGAAGAGCGTACTCTACCTCGCAGGACTCGGACTTCAGCACGGATCCTTTTTACAGCTGGCGACCCCGAAGAGCACTTCCCAGGGAATACTTCATCGAGATCATGGTAGTGGCCGACGCCAAGATGGTGGAGTACCACGGCAGCGAACTCTTCAGCTACATCCTGGTCCTCATGAGCACGGTGAGTACCTAGTTCCTCTGTATATTTGTATACACAATAAAACAAAATTTCGTGAATGGCGGGACCTTCCTCATGGCCTCCACATTGACATTCTAAAGTTTGAAATAAGTCGATACATCCCAGATCAAAGAAAAGTATCATGAACGATTCTTTCAGGTGTCGAGGATCTACAAGGACCCCTCGATCGGAAACGCGATCAGCATCGCTGTCATGAAAATCGTGAAAACCGAAGAAATCTTCGGCACGAGGGACTCGGAAAGTGACGGCATCTCTGCCGCGGACATGTTGAAGAAATTTTGTTACTGGCAAAAGTTGAACAATCCAGACGAGTCGTCCCCTGAGCATCACGACGCCGCCCTGCTCCTCACTAGGTTAAAATATTTCTTAAGGGGGTGTTAAGAATAACTAAGAAGGACCTTTCCTACAGCCTCCGTATTCGGATCCTGAAGTTTCAGACAATTCGATACATCCAATTCGGAGGAAAGACTTGATCTCTCCTCGAAGAGGTCTCTTTCGTCCCGCCTTAACGAAGCCATAACGAAATTAAATCCGCCTTCCAGAGAGAACCTGTGCCACAATCCTGAGCAAAAACGATGCGACACTTTGGGACTGGCAGAACTGGGGAGGATGTGTTACCCAAGAGCATCCTGTGCGATCGTTCAGGACAACGGACTAGCAGCAGCCTTTACGATTGCCCACGAAATCGGGCACGTGTAAGTGCATTGACTAATTATCCATTCCTTAAATAAAAACCAGGTCTGGCAATAAAAACCAGCGAATGGTTTGGTGTGGTCTTAAATAATCTGGGGTTATCTTAACATCGAAAGGATTTCAGGGGGTTTACACTTATTCGGTGGTTTACGGTTATTCCAGACTGAACATGCCGCATGACGACGACCCTAGATGCAAAGATTACCGAAACCACTCCGGGGTACACAACGTCATGTCCAGGATGCTGGACGACAACACCTTCCCCTGGGAGTGGTCCAAATGCTCGCGGCATTACGTTACCGAGTTTTTAGAGTGAGTACTTTGTCATCGATAGCTTCCCCAGGCCTCTATCAATCCCAAGAATGAACCGCAATTATTGCCGGGCTCTGTACGAGGGAAGAGGAGACGTAATGCACGAGAGAGAATGGAGAGAAGTGGCGGGAGTTTTTTAGAGCTACCAGCTAAACTCGTTTCTCGCATAGAGATCCGGTTTCGCTGATCGAAGACGGTTCGAGCCCTCCGGAGGCTGCGTTCGATTGTTGTGCCCGATCGGAAGCGGAATCCGCGATTGTTGTTGCTCCCGAGAGTCCAAAGAAACCGACCCAATTGTTTGCAGGGCAGGAAACGCAAACTGCCTGCTGGACGAGCCCAGCAAAGTGATGGCCAGGTCCAACACTGCCCGACTTCCTGGTGAAGACTACTCGGAGAACAAACAATGCGAATTGGTCTTTGGTCCAGGGTCCATGATCTGTCCGTACATGGTGAGTGATGGTAAGTAACGCAGCACACTTCACTCGGTGGTCATCGGAGTTCTCCAACCGAGACTTGACTCTGTAAAACCACCCACGCCAAATTCCAAAGTCCTAACCGCCGTGTGACATTAAAACGGCCTTCGTCGCCTGTCCGATAGCTATGCAGAAATCTGCAAGCAAGAAATTTCCTCCCATGCCCAACTCCTGGTGTTTTAGCTGATGATGACGCCAAATTTCTCATTCCAATCGATTGGAAATCAGATCTGATCCGCGGATAGACTGATTAATAAATTCTCCCAGATCGAATGCCGCGTTCTGTAGAGCTGATGATCAGCTGATTCCCCTGGTGGACGTTCTCCGATGGCCTTCGGAAGGTCCTATCAGGGTACCGAGGCCCGGAAATTCGGTTCGCGTCCACTTCGTGGGTACGTGTCGGAGGAATTAGGGTAAACTGAGCACGTGGTTGATTACCGGCCAGGCAGTGTGCAAAAGACTGTGGTGCACCGCACCGATCTGGGACCAGGAGCAGCAGTGTCACACCCAACACATGCCCTGGGCTGATGGGACCGAGTGCGGACTCGAGATGTGGTGCCACAGAGGGGAATGCGTGTCACGGAGGAACCTCCAGCCCGTGGATGGGCAATGGGGTGCCTGGAGTCGCTACGGCGAGTGCTCCAGATCTTGTGGAGGTGGAGTCAAACAGAAAGTCAGGGAATGCAACGACCCTCCACCTAAGAATGGCGGAAATTACTGCGTTGGCGACCGCGTCCGGTACCGCAGCTGCGGAACTAGAGAGTGTCCGTCCAAAGCATCGGACTTTAGGTGAGAGATTCATGGGTGACAAAGTACGGTCAGGGGTCCCATCTCCTCCGGGAATGTTTAAACAACCGATGAACCGAACTGAAATGCCGATGGCCAATCCTGTTCCTATTTTCAGGGAGGAGCAGTGCGCCAAATTCGACAACAACAATCTTAACATCCAAAACCTGGCCAGGGATGTCAAGTGGCATGCAAAATACACGAGAAGTAAGTGTCCAAACGTGGAACGAGGGAGCGGGTGGAGGTATAACTCGCGTATCTAATTGCAGTACTTCCGGAAGACCGCTGCAAACTCTACTGTCAGGTGGAAAGTAATCAGTATTATATGCTGCGAGACAAGGTGATTGACGGAACGCCTTGCGGCCCGGATTCCTTTCACATATGCGTTAATGGTCGGTGTAAGCCGGCAGGGTGCGATCACATGTTGAACTCCACAGCCGAGCTGGATACCTGCGGCATCTGCAAAGGTGACAATTCGACTTGCCAAAGAATCACGGGCTCCTACAATTCCAGCAATTACGGGTACACCAGGGTGACCAAGATCCCTGCCGGTAGCAGCTACATCGACATCAGGCAATATGGCTGGGGAGGCTCCCAGAATGACAGCAACTACCTAGGTACAAATATAAACCGTGAATTAGCTGTGAACACCTAAAAGAGGAACATGATTTGCTTCCAGCACTTAGGATCGGCGAAGACGGGAAGTACATTTTGAACGGGAACTTCATGGTGATGCAGGGAAAGTACCCAGTTCATCCCGGGATCACGATCGAATACAGTGGACCAGAATCCGTCGTTGAGCGCCTCAACAGCTCACGACCCATCAACGTCGATCTGATCCTGGAGGTAATGGAACCTTATTTCCTCCTTGCCTTCGACTTCATTCAGAAATTACCTCGCTAGGTCGTATCGCCTGCGTGGATGTTGTTGATCCAAACGGATGACATCCGTAGGTGTTATCAGTGGGGAACGTCTATCCACCGCAGATCTCGTACGAATACACGGTCCCGAAGAAGATACTCAACAGCTTCACCTGGATCCTCAGCGACTGGTCCAGCTGCAACCGGATGTGCCAAGGCACCAAGCACCGGAAAGCGGAATGCAGGAGCACGGAACAGAAGGATGTGGTTTCCGATGACTACTGCAGACCCGACGAGAAGCCCCGGGAGGAGACACTGATGTGCAACTCCCACTGCACGCTGCAGTAAGTGGTCCAGATAGATCGTTGGTCTTCTAGAAGCGCTGGTGGCCATTGAAACTCCACCATTCCTCTAACCCTGGACGATGACATCCTAAAATGAAGAAAAGTGCCGATGATGGGAACGATGATCGCATTTTTTGGGAGCTTCCTTCAGACCACCTCACCGGGGGTCTTGATGATCAGACCCTGGAGATGTTTCATGTACTTCCGTTGATGTTTTCCTACGAAGTTTGCATCCGGCATTCCTTTTCCAGGTGGCAGGTCACGTCTTTGTCCGAATGCTCCAGTCATTGTGGACCAGGAACACGCAGGGTGACGTCCAGATGCATTCAGATCATTTCTAACTTGGGAACCCATCCACCCAGGATCATTCCAAAGCATGCTTGTTCACATTTGGAGCGACCTCCTGAGCTGGAGTCCTGCACTGGGTCTTGCGAGGATGCTCACTGGAGGTATGGGGAATGGGGCAGCTGCAGCGTCACTTGTGGTGGTGGTATCCAAATGAGAACGGCTACTTGCGTCGACTCTAACGATCGACAAGTGCCGGATGAAAAGTGCATCTCGGGGGAGAAACTGCTGAAGAGAATCTGTGGACAAGAGGCTTGCCCAAAGTGGTCCATGGGAGACTGGTCACCGGTGAGGATACAACTAAATCCCATTCCAGTTTAACGTTTAGAAGTTAGGTTTAAAGTTTAACTCCCTGCAGAAGGAGCCGATCACATAACCCCAGATTTGTGCAAACTGATCGGGTTTACCTGATGCGTGGATGCTGTAGAAATTGATGTAACCCATCAGACTTCAAATCGCCGTTCGTCATTTGTTGTTAATTTTTCAGTGCTCGGTCACCTGTGGAGTGGGAAAACGGGAAAGGGCACACTGGTGCGAGGTGGAAAACAGAGTCATCTCCAAGAGTTACTGCAAAGGATCTCCTCAAGGTGTGAGCGAAACTTGCAATGCAGGTCCTTGTCACTCCTGGCACGCTGGTGACTGGAGTACGGTGTGTACAATTTCCGTAATCCATGTTTCTTACTTCCTCATCGGCATGTTCTGGTGAAATGGGATCCAATTGAAATTATCCGACCTCGCGTGTTTTTTCAGTGTTCCGTGTCCTGTGGAGAGGGAACATCCAGGAGGAATGTGGTTTGCCAGGATACCGCTGGTGTTCAAACAGAAGGATGTGCTCCTTCCGAAAAGCCAATGGACAGGAAGACTTGCAATCTTCAGCCTTGCCCCACTGTGGTACGTTAAATCATTCACTCCTTCGACTCGTCTTACTAAGGTGAAGTGAAACATCCTTCAAATCAGTCGATTCGAATACCACACTTTTTTTTAAGGGTATTAGACCAAACTGTCCGAAACTTTGACACATCGAAGAATTGTCCTGACACATTCAAAATTTGGATTTTTCGAATTTTTTAACTCAGTCCAGACCAGAACCAAAATGGCGTCGCTCTCATATTTCGATCAATATACAATTATCGAAGGCTCTGATATGAGAATCGAAAGGGTCAGGACAATTTTACGACAACTTAGAACACTCTGGTAATCGATAAATTCACATTTGAACGGGATAAAGGCAAAAAAAGTGTTGTATTCGCTTGTATGCCAAAACGATGGGAATACGAGGTCTCGGAGTGAAAATTTAATTGACCTGAAAATCACAGATGGCGCAGGGGGTCCATCGATGTTTCACTTCACCTTAAGATCGATGCATGATGTTAAACTCTCATATTTCGATCGATATACAATTATCGAAAAGAAACAACAAGTTCCTCGACGTGTTTCACTTCACCTTAAAATACACGTATTACCAAATACTGCAAATGTGTAGCACCTAGGTATAGATTTCAACACATTAACACTCACTATTCCCATCTGACCAAACGATTTTCTATGCAGCCCAGTTTGCCAACGATAACTTATTCATCGGACCCCACTCAAGATGAAGTAGCTCAACATGACAATGAGATCGACAGTAACGGCATCACCTTCTACTTTGGTTATAAATGGCGAACCGGCAGTTTTGGCGACGTGAGTACTAAAAAATAAAGTACAGTAGTAGTGCAGTTAGTAACCCTAAATTTCTTAAACATGCCAGTGCTCGAAACCTTGCAACGGAGGCTACATGTACCGTGTCGTGAAGTGCACTTCAATAGAAACTGGGGCAGTTTCCTCGGATGAAAATTGCGATCCAAAACGAAGACCCCGATCAATGGCGTCCTGCAATCATCATTCCTGTCCTCTCTGGAACACCGGAGAATGGAGTGAGGTAATCGTCTCCAGACTTTTACAAATTCGTCATCTTAAGGTGACATGAAAGAGTCGTTCAATGTATATATATCTCAAAATGTCAAAATATTTATGAATCTTTTCTCCAAACTGGGTGCACCGAATTATTTGAAAGTTCTACGTGATCGCGAAGGCCCTCCTTAGAAAGTCACTTTAAGGGGGTGTGAAATTTTATTTCTCACATCCCCTTAAGGGTGACTTTTTTCTATTTCTTCCTTTTCATTTACAGTGCGATGTCGAGTGTGGGGATGGCTTTCAACATCGTCAAGTTCGATGTCAAAGTCTCCGTGGGGAAGTTCTGCCCGATAAAGAATGTTCTTCCGAGCAGAAACCACGACATGTTGAAAGATGTCGAAAATCTGCATGCAGGAAAGATATTACAAATGTCAAAGAAAAGACTCCGGATGTCAATGGTCATCGCAGATGGCGAGTGTCCAACTGGACTCCGGTAAGCATTGATATTAATTTCCGGTAATTATTAATATTAATTTATAATTTGTTAAGTCGAGAATTGCTGCAGGGAGAAAGAAATTTTTTACTGGAACTACAAGTAACCTTTGTTCGATGTGAACCTTGTTTTACATAAAATGAATTGTTACTGGAACTACAAGTAACCTTTGTTCGATGTGAACCTTGTTTTACATAAAATGAAGAATACTTGTCCTCGCTATTTTTCTGCGCCGCAATTTTAATTTCGTTGATCCTTTGCCATAATTTGATTTTAAAAAAAATTAAATTAAATTTGTATCCCGGTAAAGCAGAAGCAACAATTATTGTCATACGAATCTCCTTACAGTTTCTCAACAAAAGATAAATCTCGATTATCTAAAAAGTTAACATATAAGCATTTGACATTTGTCCTTCGATGTGCACATTGCATGTGAATAGTCTTAGCCAAGTGAACCTCAAAGTTTGAAGTACGAGATCGATAATTCGCGACGAGCTTAATGTTCTGCGATCATCAATATCAATATCATTTGATGTCATCGCACCGAGTGGATGATAACATTTACAATGCTTCAGCTTCCTCCATGCAGACCATAGCAAAGTTATCGGATTATCGTAATTGACAGTGAAACATTAAGGCGATGCAAAAGTGGCGTAAAAAAAGATCTCGTTTATGAGACTTTTCTCCAAACTGGATTTACGAAACCGCTCTACATTTCTAGAAAGAAGAAATTTAAAATCGAAGTTTCGCGAGTAGAAACCATCTTTAGGACTTACACGTTCATGTGGTAAAATTCCAAACTCGTAGATAAAATTTCAGTTGGTATAAAAGTTGCATAATCGATCGGATGCCGTTTTCGTAACGCCTTAAGGTCGCGGTGAGAGATCGCGGGAATTAGGTTTGGAAGGCACACATTGATATGCGAATGCAGTTTCCGGTGACCACTCGCTGTTCGCAGTGCTCGAAATCTTGCGGAAGCGGCTTTAAGACGCGCAAGGTAGAATGCACCTTGAAGAGCGGATCCCGAGGAGCCGAGGTGCTGGTCTCGGACGAGCAGTGCTCGAGACTCGGACTTTCCAGGCCGAAATCGCAGAGACCTTGCCAGCGAGTACCCTGTGACTATACATGGCAAGAAGGCGCCTGGTCCGAGGTACCTGATGCCTCAGCAAGTCCTTTATTCACGTCCTGATGACTTTATTGTCCTCGGCAAGTCCCTTCTTCGCTCCCGTCACGACTTTAGTCGACAAAGTTCACCCGTGTCCTCTATCCAGGATGTTCCTTGATGGTGGTCCTCAGATACTAGACCAAGATCAAGATGATCATAGTTTTGGTCTTGGACTTGGATTTGCATACCTTTATTCACGTCCTGATGACTTTATTGTCCTCGGCAAGTCGTGACGGGAGCGAAGAGAGGACTTTATCCGACAAAGTTCACCCGTGTCCTCTATCCAGGATGTTCCTTGATGATGAACAGCAGATACCAGACCAAGATCGAGATCGTCACAGTTTTGGTCTTGGACTTGGATTTGCATACCTTCATTCACGTCCTGATGACTTTATTGTCCTCGGCAAGTCCCTTCTTGGCAAAGTTCACCCGTGTCCTCTATCCAGGATGTTCCTTGATGATCCTCAGATACTAGACCAAGATCAAGATGATCACAGTTTTGGTCTTGGACTTGTTTTGCATACCTTTATCCACGTCCTGATGACTTTATTGTCCTCGGCAAGTCCCTTTCTTGGTAAAGTTCACCCGTGTCCTCTATCCAGGATGTTCCTTGATGATCCTCAGATACTAGACCAAGATCAAGATGGTCACAGTTTTGGTCTTGGACTTGTTTTTGCTTCCCTTAGTCTTAACTTTGTTCTCGAGTCTTGATCTTGCTCGGTAGAGTGTTGACATTGTTCCTTCAAGTATAGGCAAGTCTTGGTCTTACATGTTTCATAAGACTATAAGACCCAGACAGATTACACCTATGCAGCACTAATTCCGATTCACGGTGCTTAATTTACCTCTCCCTATAAGTAATGAACATATGATTTGAAAAATTAATGTTGTTAACACGTCTTCGGCTATACGATTAACCGTACAAAGTTCCGCTTATGCTGCATTAACTCTGCTTATCGGTGCTTCATTTACTTTCCCCTGTAATTAATTAAATGTATGGGTCGATAAAACTGATGTTTGGGTATAAGTTATGATATCGATTGTTGCAAAAATGTGTTACGATGGATTTCCCTTATCCAGTGCACGGCAGAATGTGGAGACGGGGTGCAGAGGCGAGCTGTCACTTGTCATCGTGTCAATCGTTTTGGGTGGATGGACCCAACTCCTGTTGAAGGCTGTCAAGACGTTGACAAGCCAATTTCTCAACAGCCTTGCAAGCTTCGAGAGTGCAGCGATCGTTATTATTGGACAGCCGGACCCTGGAAAAAGGTATTGTTAATAATAATTCCCTCGCGACATTTAGCAGTTATTCCAACCGATCTGTCATTTCCCCGTACATGGTCGAAGTGGGCATGTTTATAATATATTTTTGGCACTCCAGTGCAGTCATCCATGTGGCAGAAAAGGCAGACAAGTCCGCAGACTATTCTGTCACGACAGAAACGGAAAGAAGGTTCCACGTTTCAATTGTCCGGCAGCGTTCAAGCCGCAAAGGAAACGGAAGTGCAACCAACGTCGATGTGGACCATTGACTTGTCAAGAGGCGAAAAGACGGTTTAAATCTAGCAAAGATGGGGAGTACATGTTGCTCGTAGGTGGAAGGAACATGTCAATTTACTGCCACGAGATGTCAAGCGACGAGCCTCGGGAATATCTGACTTTGCCTGCAGGTGATCGGGAGAACTTTGCGGAAATCTACGACAAGAGGTACGTGCTTAGATTTCCTACAATCACGGATTCGTTAATTTGACATTTTCTTTTAACATCGTTAGACTACTAAATCCACATAGTTGTCCTTTCGATGGACAGAGGAACGATAGTTGCATGTGTGTTGCCGATCCTGGGACCGTCTCTGGGAGAACAATGTTCAAAAGAGTTCGCTTAGACCCCACTAGACTTCGCATTGTTGGTAGGTCGAAAGTTCATTACCTTAAAGACAAAGAAATAATTAATAAGATTTTTTTGTAACAATTTTTTTAATTATAGCGAACGATTACACGTTCTCATGGACGAGCGGAGCGAAACGCGTCGAATTTGGGAAAGCTGGAGATTGTTATAGTTTATCGAATTGTCCACAAGGTCGATTTAGTATTAATCTCAGTGGGACTTCATTGAAACTTGCCCCGGAAGTTACCTGGATCAGCCTGGACACGACAGCCTACGTCAGCGTCGAGAAAATCGTGAGTTCTCGAATGATTAATTAATAAAATTCATTAAGGTGAAGTGAAACACGCCGAGGAACTTGATCGACGTCGATAAAGAAGATTTTTCTAAATGTTGCCGACGTTGGTTTTCATATTGACAGCTATATCGAATTATATTGGGTATTGTACAAAATGGCATACTCTACCTGTCGTTTTCGTACAATAAATATCAAGAAATCGAAATATCAAAAAATTTTTTCAAAAAATACAAATTTTCAATGTGTCGGGACAATTCTTAGATGTGTCAAAGTTTCGGACAGTTTGATCTAATACCCTTAAAAAAAAGTGTGGTATTCGAATCGACTGATTTGAAGGGTGTTTCACTTCACCTTAAGGCGGGATGAAAGTGGCATCAAAAGTCTCGTTAAATATCCGGAATTTTTCAGAACGACCAGAGGGTTTTCGGGAAATGCGGAGGATATTGCGGATTCTGCATACCGAAGACTGGCTTGAAACTTGACGTGCTACCCCCTTAAACGAAAGAAAAATGAAAGCCGAGTGAATCCAGGTGTACCAAAGCCGTCCTCGCCAGCTTTGCCGAAGCTCGAAAAGTCTGCCACTCGTTTAAGCAGGAATCCAAGTGACGAATTTCTAATGACTAATTACTCGGGAGAGTAGACGGAAAGGGAAGAAGAGATCAGCCGAGAATTCTGCGGTCGAATTCCTAACAGCTGACTCGGCGACTTTTGAAGACGATGCTTCATTCTGGTCGTAAAAGCGAAAATGCGCATTGGAGGACCGTGCAAAACGAATCATACGTGTATTGCAAGCTGGATTGATAGTATTACTATATGGACAGCAACCCATAATGTCGGATCTCCAAGAGCTGATCAACGACTTTAGAAGATGGTCATGGAACGGAAAATGCACATTGGAGGCCCTTGCAAAATGAACCGAGGAAAAAATCCCTCGTGCATTGTACAATGGCGACATGAATGCCTCCCCTGCAGATACGACATCGCCTGTGCAGGATGGATGGGCATTGATGTCTCCCAGTGTACCCTGGACCAATAGTATTACTATACGGACAGGAAGATGGTCGTGGAACCGAAAATGCACATTGGAGGCCCTTGAAAAATGAATCGAGGAAAAAATCCCTCTTGCATTGTACAATGGCGACATGAATGCCTCCCCTGCAGATACGGCATCGCCTGTGCAGGATGGGTGGGCATTGATGTCTTCCAGTGCACCCTGGACCAATGGTATTACTATACGGACAGGAAACTATAATGCGACAACTAGAAGCAATACAAAGTAAGTATGATGAACAATGCGCACCGGAAGAAATGCGTATAAAAATGAATGGTGCTCGTATCTCAGTCCGAAGGGAACTTTATAGTGCATTGTAATGCGGTATTATGCGAGCATTGTAATTCTCGCCATGAACAATTTACCATGAAGTGGAGTCTTATCGTACCTTGCTCTCTTATTACAAACGTAACGCGAATTGCCATTAGCATAATGCACTGCCATGTAGTAACTTTGTCATTGTTCGAGATATGACGTGTTGCATGTCAAAATGTCATGACTGTCTCGACGGACATAAATGCTCCGCCATTTTGACATGTTCGGCGACATAGCGTACTCTACCGTTTTCTATTTAAGCGTCGAAAGTAGGATTAGTTGATAACAAAACGACCGCTTGTCTTGTAACAAACATTTTCTATCGGACGTATTTTATACACTTGACAGACGATTCAATTTTTACTATCTTCCCTGAACAAAAGTACAACAGAATTTTCAATCAGCGACCTTCAATAAAAAAGAAAGCCGATGCATACACAAATAATTAAATACGAAGCCTTAAATCGCAAATGGATTTTCTTTTATACAGATTCTAAACATGTAATTCCCCATCCTGTCTTCGACTACTTAATGGGAACCATGAAAATATCGTTCCATAACTTCACGGGCGAATTGATAAAGGCTAAAAGTTGTTCTGCAAAGACAATCGATGTAATTTGCGATGCATTCGTCAATCCTGATTTATTTAATCATGGAATCATCCGTGAAGAAACATTCTCCGGGAATTTATGGAACAACTTATCGATTAATTTTTTGCAAACGACCCTGTGAGTGAACTAATCTTTAAGAAAGCAAATCTTTAAGGCTGCACGCGAAATTGGCGCGCATTGAAATCACTTTATGAGTTATGGTTTTATTTACGAGGTCGGTTAAGCTTTGGAAAAAATCTCGGTAGCTGAAGTAGCAACGAGACGTCGTTTCTTCGTGCAAGTTGCTCCATAAATCTTGGCAAGGTCGACAGCCTTTATATTGCTCTCGTTAAGGCGATGTGAAACCCCGCTCAGACCAGTCGACTAGAATAAGACACTTTTTTAAAATAAAATTGAACCGAACCGTATGAAACTGACACATGACTCGTGAGCACCTAGGAATTATCCTGGCACTTTCAATATTTGGACATTCGGAAAAAAATTAAAAAAAAATACTTAACTTATCCCAGACCAGAATCAAAGGCTCTGATATAAGAAACGGAAGTGTCTTCCTTCGTTCTCATCTCTTCAATAATTCTAAAGACTTCGCCATAAGAATTATCCGAGAAATTATGCACGGGGTCGTCGTGTCGCGCGTAAAGATAGCTAATTATTTCTAGAACAATTGCGAGAATTTCTTAAAGATTTTTCGTCGCGTTGTTCCAGCTTTTAACGAATAGTTTATTTATTAATCGGCACTTATCGATGTAACGATTAATCTGCGAGTGTTTTCTAGGATTCTTCTTCGTTTTTCACGTATTTCTGTCGCGAAAATTTAAAATGGCCGCCCAACAGATTTTATCACAGCGTCCCGTCCGGATCTTATGGTCGCTACGTGTTTAATATTAATAAATCTGTGCTAATCGATCTGTACAAATTTATCGGACGCGTAGATATTGTAGTCCTCGATTTATCCGCGGTAATTAGAAGTCGCTATAAATAGAATTAATGACTCTTTCATGCGCTGCAATTGTTTGAAGTCGCTGCGATTTGTCGTAATTTGTGTAGCCATTTTTAGAAACGCGATGTTAAAAGATATGTACGAGGCGTGAAGTACTTGTAAAGTGTAAACCAGCTTCGTTAGGTGTATGCTACATGTTTCGAGACTTGCTTGTACTTGTACCTAATTTTTCAGGATAAAGGACATTTTTTATCGCCAGTCTTTGAATGGATGAAAGACGTATTTTATCTCTAGAAGTAAGGTACAAGTACAAATCTAGGTACATAACCTCTGTCGTCCTGTACATAGAGCGTTCGAAAGCTTTCTCTACGTCTTCCTGTCGAAACAAAATCCAGGATAAAATTCCGATCGACGTGTATTTAAATTCTTGAGCGAATCTCCGTAGTATAAGACGCTGATAAGCGGATTATGGGGGGATGTGATAGTGGAATTAATTACTGGAAATTCGCCACACCCTGGGTGCGCCGAATCGCTTCGAAATTTACGACACGAGACGGAATAAAATTTTAAACATTTTTTTTTTATAAATATATGCAAATCCATGGGTGTCGAAATCTTCCTTATGACCTCCATATTTATGTTATCAATTTTGAAACCATTCGGTACACCCTGTTCAGAGAAATGTGTCATTCGCGGGATTTCTGCCACGCCACTTTCACACCACCTTAATGATGATCAATCGAATGATTCCAATTGATCCAAAGACTCGATCGTTGTCGGATTAAATCCCCGATCTCGCTTTTGTACAGAAAGACAATGAGGAACCTTTCGATAATTGAATCATGAGATTTCTACGACTTCGATACTCGCTTGAGTCGACATTAATTAATTGCTAAGTTAACGTTTCGTTTCGACTGCCGTAATTAATATTACTCGTAATTAGTTGTTAAGTCGTGTCAACGTCGCAGAACAAACCGACTCGTTTTTTATTCCCCGTTGAAAATTAAAAACGTAACAAAGCATCGATGACGTCCTTATCGGGATTTATTTACTGGCTTTGTTATCGATTATCGTTCGCTTGTCGCAATTATTCAATTGTCATTCGATTACGGAAACTCTGTTACGCGTAATTCTTATTTCCACGAAGTCGTGCGTTTTGGGCTTAAATTATTGTTAAATATAAGCGATAGTTTCTTGGAGGCGAGAAGTCGACAATATTAAATATTTATTTACGTGATTTTATTTGGCTTGTTTATTTACTTCAATTACTTTTATTCTTCCTTTTATTCAGTGTGAAAGAAAAGCATCGAACCAAGGAAACATATTGTTAATTGAAAGAATAATTATTTTACGCAAACACGAATGAATTTGCAACGTTTCTATTGTTGACAATTTGTTTCTTCAGTTAAATGACATTTTTTCCTCGGTGTTATAAATTATTATTTCAATTTATTGAGGAGGAACGGGAAATTAAAGGTACGTCGATAACCATTTCAGCCTTCACTTTATTGCACTTAACAATAATCTGATCCTGAAATTCTCCGAAGTTTTGATAACGGAACTGTTTCAATTAATAACCTTTTATAATAATCTTTTCCAGAAGACTCCTCAATAAATGTACTTTGCACCTGTTTACAGGCCGATTTTTCAAACGGGGGAAGCTCAACACATACGAAAGAAATCCGTGAAGATTTAATCGGGTAATTCTTTCACTTATCTTACTTGCAGCAGATAAATGTCGATGATATATAAATAGGGAAAAAAGTCCAACTGGACACTCTGAATTAGTCGAGGGAGAGATCGATATTGACTTTGGAGTCGATTCCTACAACATGAAGGCTGCTGTGGCACTTTGCCTTTTATTCGCTCTTTGCACTTTCGAGGTGAGCTTTATCAAACTTGAAAAAAAACATCAAAATTTTGTTCAGGAATTAAAGAAAAAAAAAATAAAAAAAACTTGAAAAACATGAAAATTTTGCTCAGGAATTAATGCGATCCTGCTCGGAGGAAAAGAACTCGCGTTTTCTTCTTCGTGCTTATTAAATGTACTTGGGGCGAAACTCTGCCGAGTTGCACTTTCGAGGTGAGCTTTATCAAATTTGAAAAAAACATGAAAATTTTGCTCAGAAATTAATGCGATCATGCTCGGAGGAAAAGAACTCGCGTTTTCTTCTTCGTACTTCTTATATGTACTTGGGGCGAAACTCTGCCGAGTTGCACTTTCGAGGTGAGCTTTATCAAACTTGAAAAAAATATGAAAATTTTCCTCACAAATTAATGCGATCATGCTCGGAGGAAAAGAACTCGCGTTTTCTTCTTCGTGCTTCTTATATGTACTTGGGGCGAAACTCTGCCGAGTTGCACTTTCGAGGTGAGCTTTATCAAACTTGAAAAAAACATGAAAATTTTGCTCAGGAATTAATGCGATCATGCTCGGAGTTTATTTTATCATGCTCGAATTTATATGAAATTTCGATAGCTTTTTCTGATAACAATGTAAATTTCTGTCTTATCAGCCATCCAATGCCACCACCAGCTTGGTTGTCCTTCGCGCTGAAATCGCGAAATTAAAAGTGGTAACCACCAAACTGATCGGCGAGATGAAGATCCTCCATCATCAACTTTACTCCACCGTGAACTTGAAATTAGGCAACATAAGAATCAAAGCCAACACGGAGATCTCTACCATAATCAACCCTGTGCTCCGCAACATTGAAGTGAGTTAATTTCACTAATTGGAACCTCAACAATGAAAATCAACAATTTGTTCTCCTTTTTCCTGTAACAAATTTTTTCCGAAGTCTCAATAACCTTTTCAATTTTTTTAACAATTTCTTTTACAGCAAGCTGCAACCAAAGCAGGCAACAATGCTCTCCCTTGTTACGAGAGGGCCAAGAGAAGTCTGAACGAGCTTAAGGAAGAATCTTCTTACCAATTGGATTATTGCACACAAAATGCATTGAGCTCCCTCGAACCCCTGGAAGCAAACATTGCCGATGCCATTGGGGTAATTTATTTATTTATAACATTTACGTTTAAATTTTCATACGCGCAATTCATTCATGCATACACATTGTGTCGTCGTTGTGTACTCGGTGTAACAATTATAGACATTCTAAACTATTTAAAATGAACAATGTTCAATATTTACGTTTAAATTTTCATACACACAATTCATTCATGCATACACATTGTGTCGTCGTTGTGTACTCGGTGTACCAATTATAGAAATCCTAAATTATTTAAAATGAACAATGTTCAACATTTACGTTTAAATTTTCATACACGCAATTCATTCATGCATATACATTGTAAATGACGAATTCAAGTAGAGTGAATGAATTCTCGCTTATCGAGTCTGTCTATTCGTTACTTAAAATCCTTATCAAGGAGTCTGATTGGTTTAATCAATCGATCGTTATCATTAAGATAACCTGGTTCACTTCTGGATCTGATAAGACGAAAAGTATGACGAAATGTTCAACATCGAAAAGAGATCACTGGATTTTGACATCTACAATCGATATAGATTCAATGATGTTTTTCTCCCGGTGTACCAATTTTAGACGTCCTAAACGATTTAAGGTGAAGTGAAACACGTCGATAAACAAGATTTTTCTAAATGCCTACGTTGCCGACGTTGGTTTTTATATTGACAACTATATCGAATTATATTGGGTATTGTACCAAATGGCGTACTCCACCTGTCGTTTTCGTATAATAATTATAAAGAAATCGAAGTAAAGCTCCAGAAATCCTCTGGATTCATGCTTTCTGGGGCCCTAATTGACTGCAGAGGGACACCCTGCGCCATCTGTGATTTCCAGGTCAATTAAATTTTCCCTCCGAGACCTCATATTACCATCGTTTTAGCATAGAAGCGCATACAACACTTTTTTTGCCTTTATCCCGTTCAAATGCGAGTTTATCGATTACCAGAGTGCTCTAAATTGTCGTAAAATTGTCCTGACCCTTTCGATTCTCATATCAGAGCCTTCAATAATTGTATATCGATCGAAATATGAGTGCTCGACGCCATTTTGGTTCTGGTATGGACTGAATTAAAAAATTCGTTTACAAAATCCAAATTTTCAATGTGTCAGGACAATTCTTAGATGTGTCAAAGTTTCGCACATTTTGGTCTAATACCCTTAAAAAAAAGTGTTGTATTCGAATCGACTGATTTGAAGGGGGTTTCACTTCACCTTAAAAATCCAAATTTTGAATGTGTCAGGACAATTCTTAGATGTGTCAAAGTTTCGCACATTTTGGTCTAATACCCTTAAAAAAAAGTGTTGTATTCGAATCGACTGATTTGAAGGGTGTTTCACTTCACCTTAAAATTAACAATGTTCTTAATTTCCAGGTTGGCAACAAAGCTCTGACGTACCTGAACTCCATCTTCCCGTCGTGCTTCTCCATCAGCATCTTCGAGACCGAAAAATGCGTGAGAGAAAAAATGCCGGTCGCCGAAGAATCCGTCGCCAATTTGCGAAAAGCCGTCGCAGCAGCCAAAGACACGGAAGCTGTGAACACGGAAGTGATAATAGAGGAAGCCAGAACTTGCAGCCAAAAGCCTGTCGGAAGAGTTGCACAAAGCGTCGGGAAAGTTCGTGAGAAAGCCTTCGACTGCATCCAAAAAGCCGAGAAGAACCAGAACTGAGAAAATGGCGGCGACTTTTCCATTTTTTTTTGTAACATTTTAGACGTTCGAGTGCTGGCATAAAATTGCATTTCCTGATCATCCTAGGTTATGTTCAATTTTATGGACTTTTATTTGCGAGAGGCACTTCCTTGGCAATTCTTGGAGGACAATGATTGTGCTCGGAAATAAAACAAATGTTTCTTAATTGACTTTAACGTTGCAGTCACAAATCCGCGCCATATTTCTCCACCTCCTTAACGACATAATCCATGGACTCGATTGTTGCTAATGGCAGGCAACTAACAACCAGTCTGAAGAAATTTCCAAGATTTTTATGCGCAAGCGGAGTGTAGCCGATCATCAGGGAGCCATTTTTAATCATTCGTTCTTTGATTATCGGCGCAATTGTGTACAATTTCTTCCACCATTCTTCCGTCTCCTTTTGTTTCCGCAAACTCGGTGGGATGTACCTGGAAACACAATTAATTATAATTAATTAATTATAGGTGACTGCATGCTTTTATACACAATTTTACGTTTCATTTACGTACTTTAGACTATACTAATATTAATTTTCTCAAGTACATAAAATAATACACTGACCAGAAACAGACATTGCAGCACTGNCTCATATGTGCCCATAATTATGAAAGTGGTCTAAGTGAAAATTAAAAAAAAATGAGTTTATCAGTTATTTTTATGCACAATTTTACGTTTCATTTACGTACTTTAGACTATACTAATATTAATTTTCTCAAGTACATAAAATAATACACTGACCAGAAACAGACATTGCAGCACTGAAACTTGTCCAGGACCAATCGGAAGCCCTCTCGATTTTTTATTTTATTTAAAAAATAATCCGCGGCAGACATGGCAGTGTCTATTGTCATTTGGAGGCCTTTAGTCCCTCGTGCTTTCCACATCAGCCATAATTTCAAAGCATCGGTCTATAAACGGAACAATGGACTCGAAATGAAGTTCCGATTAAGGCGATGTCAAAGAGAGCTTGTTAATAATTGTTAATGTAAAATTCACCTTTCTACCGCACTGAATACTTTTGTCTCCGGTGTCCCATGACACGTCGTAGAATTTGTCTTGTTGGAAGAGATACTTTGCACCGGCACTGTTGGCTTTGTGCAAAGTGTCTTTGCCCTTAACCAAGAACAAAGAACACTGCAAAGGAGCACCGAGCATTTTATGGGGATTCCAGACAACAGAGTCCGACCTAAAATATATTCATATTCATATTTTCATATTCATTCATATTTTTAAAAAATTGTTTCAAAAAATCCAAATTTTCAATGTGTCAGGACAATTCTTAGATGATCAGGAGTGACGTGTCAAAGTTTCGGGCATTTCGGTCTAATACCCTTAAAAAAAAAGTGTTGTATTCGAATCGACTAATTCGATTACAGTTAAAAAATGTTTTAAAAAAATCCAAATTTTGAATGTGTCAGGACAATTCTTAGACGACCAGGAGTGACGTGTCAAAGTTTCGGGGATTTTGGTCTAATACCCTTAAAAAAAAAGTGTTGTATTCGAATCAACTAATTCGATTACAATTAAAAAATTAAAAAAAAAAATCCAAATTTTCAATGTGTCAGGACAATTCTTAGATGATCAGGAGTGACGTGTCAAAGTTTCGGGCATTGTGGTCTAATACCCTTAAAAAAAAGTGTTGTACTCGAATCGACTGATTTGAAGGACGTTTCACTTCACCTTAATGATAAGGAATAAATTAGGGAATGCAAATTGAACAAGAATACGCACTTTTCGATACCTCGCAGCCGGTCGCGATATTTTTCAGACAGCAGCAAGGTCCCTCCGAAACACGCCTAGAACAATATTCCATAATAATTCGTATTTCAACAATGTCTAAAAATTAAGGTCATACTTGTACGAACGTCAACGTGCAGCCACAGATCCTCTTCCTCGCAGATTTCTGCAATTTCCGAAATCGGATCGAACGCCCCAAGAACAGTCGTTCCTGCAGTTGCGTTGACAAAAAACGGAACACGTCCATTAGATCTTGACTTGACAATGGACTTTTTCAGGTCCCCAAGATCCATTCTACCTAAGTCGTCAGTCTTTACCTGTAGAAGCGTAATCCGGAGTTAAGGCGATACGAAAGTACCCTCTAATCACTGTTGGAACTTTCGCTTGAAATTGTTCTTGAGATGTCCATTGTCTTTGCGTTACGAGCAATGTCTTTTGTCCTAACGACTTGTTTTTTCTCCCTAAGGACTTGTCTTTTGTCCTAACGACTTGTCTTTTGTCCTAAGGACTTGTCTTTTGACAGTACATACCTCATGGACACTTTCAGTGCCCAAGCCCAACCAATGGGCAGCCTTCTCGATGGAGTAGTGTCCACCTTTGCTGGTGAACAAAGCCAACGGCGGAAGTCCACTTAACCCTTTTACCTTGACTTCCGGGAGCTTCCTGAACCTGGCCAGGACGATTCCATACATGTTGGCGATGCTCCCACCAGGAGACAGGATACCATCAGCGAAAGGGACCTCAGGATACCCCAGGACTCTCAAAGTCTGCTCTATGACGACCCTCTCCAACAATGTAAAAACCGGCGCCACCTCGTACGTGTATCTGACAGAGACAGGAATTGTTGATTAGTACTCATATGTGCCCATAATTATGAAAGTGGTCTAAGTGAAAATTAAAAAAAAATGAGTTTATCAGTTATTTCACGCCATATTATTTCAAACGAAATTAATTCAATGTAATTGCGAAAGAAAAAATATATGACTTAGACCACTTTCATAATTATGGGCTCATATGTGCCCATCATTATGAAAGTGGTCTAAGTGAAAATTAAAAAAGAAATGAGTTTATCAGTTATTTCACGCCATATTATTTCATTAATTAATTCAATGTCATTTCGAAACAAAAAATATATGACTTAGACCACTTTCATAATTATGGGCACATATGGGTCTAAGTCAAAATTAAAAAAAACAATGAGTTTATCAGTTATTTCACGCCATATTATTTCAAACGAAATTAATTCAATGTAATTGCGAAAGAAAAAATATATGACTTAGACCACTTTCATAATTATGGGCACATATGGGTCTAAGTCAAAATTAAAAAAAACAATGAGTTTATCAGTTATTTCACGCCATATTATTTCAAACGAAATTAATTCAATGTAATTGCGAAAGAAAAAATATATGACTTAGACCACTTTCATAATTATGGGCACATATTGTCTATTGTTTCACCCTGGGTATGGATCTATGATGAGACTGACACTCGAAATACAACACCAAGATCGCGTTCCTTCGTAGACCCATATTCCTAGGGTGGAGTAAAAAGTTGAAATTACTGGCTCGTGTTGAAGGCCTCGGTGAACCAGGCACCAGCCAGCCCATAATCGTCGACTCCACCATAAAGTTGATTATGGAAGTGAGGACTGTTCGTCCTGACCGAATGGCGAATTATTTGTCGAAGGACCTCTTCTATTTCCGCCTCCGTCGCCCCCTCGTCTCCTAAAGCCGTCGGCAGAGTTTCCTAGACAAAGTTCATCAACTTTGGAGAACTTAAGGTGAAGTGAAACACGTCGAGGAACTTGATCGACGTCGGTAAAAAAGATTTTTCTAAATGCCTACGTTGCCGACGTTGGTTTTTATATTAACAGCTGGGTCGAATTATATTGGGTATTGTCCCAAATGGCATATTCCACCTGTCATTTTCGTACAATAATTATAAAGAAATCATGCTTTCTAGTGCCGTAATTGACTGCAGTGGTTAAACAATTTTTTCAAAAAATCCAAATTTTGAATGTGTCAGGACAATTCTTAGATGATCAGGAGTGATGTGTCAAAGTTTCGGACAGTTTGGTCTAATACCCTTAAAAAAAAGTGTCGTATTCGAATCGACTGATTTGAAAGGGGTTTCACTTCACCTTAAGTCGATACGAGAGTGACGTTCCCCCGATGACCTACGACCCTTTACTCTGAATTACATATACCGAATAATTAAACACTTTTTTTAATAAATAATTCCATGTATGTCAGAACCTTCCTTAGGGAGCTCAACTTCAAAGAGAGTACGTAGATTAAAGTAATCGCGACCGATTAAGGCGAAACGATATCCCGAGGTCGAAGGTCCCCATGAGATATTTTTTATTTCCCCACATTCGAGTGTGTCGAGAAATGATACGAAGTATGTACGAGATGAGAGAGTGCAATGACATTCATCGTAACGCGTACTTGCAGTTCCTGGGGATGCAGAAATTTGACAACGGGCTTCTTTCCCGAAATATCGAAGGCGTCTTCTTCCTTCAGGATGCGAAGCAAGTCCTCCAGGACCTTCACAGTCTCTTTGGTACCGTATGCACTCATCTCGAGGAGTATAACTGAAATGTCGAAGCGAACCTCGGTCGCCCCTCCACTCTAGGCGCAACCCACACCAAGAACATTATGTACAGACATTGTACTCTCTTCGAGTATGAGTACAGCTGCCTGTACTTTGCCTTCTCGAACACACGTCGAGCAGACTCGCAAGAATGAAGGAGAAAGCCGGCTACGTGGTGTACTTGCATCCTGAAGAAGAGAGAAAAAGAACGTACATCGTGCGGTCATACGTAAAGAGAAAGAACGTACGTACATCGTCATTTACTTCCTCATCGAGCGTTTATCTTTGCTGCAATAATTCTCTATTAAGTTTTTTAATGCATTAAAGTTGGTAAGGCATTAAAAAACAGTGACAATTTCAATATGAATTCACGTATGGGTTTTTTTGCGTTCTTCGTCATGCTTATGACTTATGGTGTACACGTACATACTAAAGAATTCAGTACCACGCAATAATTCTCTAAGCGGTATTAAAGTTGCTAAGGCATTAAAAAAAAGTGACAATTTCAATATGAACTCCCGTATGCGTTTTTTTTTCTTTCTTCGTCATGCTCATCATGACTTATGGTGTACACGTACATACTAAAGAATTCTGTACCACGCAATGACTCGTGGATCGAAGTGTTTTGCTGCAATAATTCTCTAATCGCCATTAAAGTTCCAAGGAATTAAAAAAAAGTGACAATTTCCATATGAACTTCCGTATGCGTTTTTTTTTCTTTCTTCGTCATGCTTATCATGACTTATGGTGTACACGTACATACTAAAGAATTCTGTACCACGCAATGACTCGAGTATGGAAGTGTTTTGCTGCAATAATTCTCTAATCGCCATTAAAGTTGCAAGGTATTAAAAAGCAGTGACAATTTCAATATGAACTCCCGTATGGGTTTTTTCTGCGCTCTTCGTCATGCTTATCATGACTTATGGTGTACACGTACATACTAAAAAATTCTGTACCACGCAATGACTCGAGTATCGAAGTGTTTTGCACGTTGGGGTTCCATTGTTTAATAATATAAACGTCTCAACAACCAACCAGAACTGTCTGGTACTTGTTATCACCGATGCGGTTAAGAGTGATACGCATTGTGTGTTTAAGTGATAATAGAATAATTGTGCCCATAATTATGAAAGTGGTCTAAGTCAAAATTAAAAAAAAAAGTGAGTTTATCAGTTATTTCACGCCATATTATTTCAAACGAAATTAATTCAATGTAATTTCGAAACAAAAAATATATGACAGACCACTTTCATAATTATGGGCACAATTGAAAGAAATAATTTCAAATTAAATTCAATTTTATTCCCACTGTTTCTTGTGGAATACAAGAAAAGAGATTTTTAATAGAAAGCCTCCAGATTAAATGTGGAACTTGAAGGACGTGATTTTTCAAAAGCTCTCCACAATGATCCGTGCAAGTGCAATTGCCTCTGGTGTATTAATCAACGCAAATGAAGTTAGAATTCTTGGGGTAAACAATACAACGAATGTGGAATTACAACGACTGCGTGAAATTGTCCGTCGCCGGAGAAGCGGAAGTCGCGATGACGTCGACCGGAAGTCGAGGAACCAAGCCCTTCATGGAAGCCCATTGTCCCTCGCAAAGTTCATGGAAAGTCAATTGAACCATGAGTTTTCCTCCCAGATCTCCAGGACCTCTACAAACGGCGCCAGCTCCAAATTCCCAAAAATTGGAAGAATCGACTCCGGAAAGTCGATTTCCGGCCGCCGCGACGTAATCCGCGTATCTTTTCCGCAGCCACATCGCTAAATATGCGGAACCGCAATCGCAATGCCAGGGATTTCGAGCTAGTCGAATTTGTTGTATCGACGGAGTCGCATCCAAAATATGAGCAGGTAAATATGTCAGGTAATTGGCCTCTAATTGGCTGAAAAAAAAAATAAGACGGTGGAAATGTGACGGTAAAAGTTAATATAAAATATTGATTATGGATTTAATGTTACGTCGATTGAAATTAACATTGCTATGCTAAGAGATAAAAGGATGGCTGAAAATAAAAAAATAAAAAATAAGACGGTGGAAATGTGACGCTAAAAGTTAATATAAAATATTGGTTATGGATTTGAAGTTACGTCGATTGAAATTAACATTGCCATGCCAAGAAATAAAAGGATGGCTGAAAAGAAAAAAAAATTAAGACGGTGGAAATGTGACGCTAAAAGTTAATATAAAATATTGATTATGGATTTAATGTTACGTCGATTGAAATTAACATTGCTATGCTAAGAGATAAAAGGATGGCTGAAAATAAAAAAATAAAAAATAAGACGGTGGAAATGTGACGCTAAAAGTTAATATAAAATATTGGTTATGGATTTGAAGTTACGTCGATTGAAATTAACATTGCCATGCCAAGAAATAAAAGGATGGCTGAAAAGAAAAAAAAATTAAGACGGTGGAAATGTGACGCTAAAAGTTAATATAAAATATTGATTATGGATTTAATGTTACGTCGATTGAAATTAACATTGCTATGCTAAGAGATAAAAGGATGGCTGAAAATAAAAAAATAAAAAATAAGACGGTGGAAATGTGACGCTAAAAGTTAATATAAAATATTGGTTATGGATTTGAAGTTACGTCGATTGAAATTAACATTGCCATGCCAAGAAATAAAAGGATGGCTGAAAAGAAAAAAAAATTAAGACGGTGGAAATGTGACGCTAAAAGTTAATATAAAATATTGATTATGGATTTGAAGTAACATCGATTGAAATTAATATTGCCATGCCAAGAGATAAAAGGATGGCTGAAAAGAAAAAAAAGAAAAATAAGACGGTGGAAATGTGACGCTAAAAATTAATATAAAATATTGGTTATGGATGTGAAGTTATGTCGATTGAAATTAACATTGCCATGCCAAGAAATAAAATGATGGACCAATCGCTGCAAATATCGAAATACCTACAGCTTATGTAATTTCGGGATTTCTTTAAGCAATCCAGGATGCAGAATCCTAAGTCGGTTTCCATGAAGAAAGAGAGAAGTCAGCCGGGCGAGGCCCTTAAAGTCGTGTTCTCCCAGAGTTTCCAATGAATTTGCATACAAAATTAGCCGTTCCAAGGCTGGCACTGACAGGAACAAATCTTGGGGCAAGGTGTTAATTCGGTTCTGCCCAAGTTGGAGTTCCTTTAACGATTCCAATCCTGCGAATGCCCTGGGATGTATCTAGGAAAGAAAGAGATCTGACAGCCTTAAAAAGGTACCAGACTTCAGAGCGAAATCCTGATCCTGATCCTGCAAAAGGGACCAGCACCGATTTTCATGGATTTACCCGTTCCACAAAATTGTTGGAGAGTTCCAGAGTGTTCAATCTCCCCAAAGAAGCCAACGATCCTTCCTGGATCTCGGTTATCCTATTGTCTCTGAGATTGAGCTCTCTCAGCTCGATCAGGTTCCCAAAGACACCAACAGGAAGATCCTTAAGCCTATTCTCATCCATCCTGAGGTGTCCAAGGCTCAGGAGATCCCGAAAGACGCCGACAGGAAGACTCTGCAAGTGGTTCTTGGCGATCAGCAGCTCTTCCAAGTTGTTCAAGCCCTGGAAGATGTTGGGAGGCAACGAGGAGATGTGGTTTCCGGTCAGGTCCAACAAAACCAAGGCGTCGTTCGATGCGAACAACCCTTCCGGCAAGGTGCGAAGTCGGTTCCCTGAGATATCCCTAGACCAAAGGACGAAATTAAAGTTCCCTTTAGACCTTCCCAAGTGATGAACGATTCTTCCCCTCTTACAGTACACTGAGACGACGCATCCTCAGCAGCTGGTTCCGGTGAAGTTCTCGAAGAAGATTGCTGCTCAACCTCATGTGCGTCACCCCACGGAGGGAGAAGAAGAGGCTGAGAGGAAGATGCTCCAAGAAGTTGTCACTGAGGTCCCTGGAAAGGGTTTTTCATATGTCGAGGAGTGGGAAATGCAAACCAGTAACTGTCGTATCTGCAACGCCAGTCAGGACAATTCTTAGATGATCAGGAGTGATGTGTCAAAGTTTCGGACAGTTTGGTCTAATACCCTTGAAAAAAAAGTGTTGTATTCGAATCGACTAATTTGATTACAATTAAACCATTTTTTTTTAAATCCAAATTTTGAATGTGTCAGGACAATTTCTAGACGATCAGGAGTGATGTGTCAAAGTTTCGGACAGTTTGGTCTAATACCCTTGAAAAAAAAGTGTTGTATTCGAATCGACTGATTGAAGGGTGTTTCACTCCACCTTAATTGGCAGATATTGGGAGGCAATTAGCGCTAATCCGTACTTACAAGTAGTTCAGTTGGGTCAAGTCCAAAAACGAGTCCCTATGAAGTGCTGATAACTGATTACTGCCAAGGTCTCTGGAAGGATTTACCACATTAAAGATCAATTATCATACTAATCGCCGGTTAGGATCACAGTTCCTTACAACTTGACGATATCTTCAGGCACCAGCTGAGAAGGTGGGACATCAGCAAGTCCTAACCTCCAACAGGATAAGGACTTCGTTTCCGGTCTGCAGCGACAAGGTCCTTCGGCACAGATTTCCCAGTCTCCAGGTTTTCCTCTGATCTGCCAAACTTTTTTCGTACATAAATTAAAAAATCAAAGGTATGAGAGAGGTCATGGTGGGAGATTCTCTGGGAAATGAAATTTCTCATTGTTCCATAGAGGAACTATCCAATACCTGGTTGTTCGACTGCCCTGAGTCTTCTCTCCAGTCTGGATATTCTTCCCTCGATGTCCTCCAAAGTCGTGGAAGATGATCCTTGGCTTTGGGAATCCGGATCGAAGCATTCCTTCGTGACTTCTGGGCAATCGGTGCCCTCGCAGACGCAATAGAGGGCCAGGAACAGCAACTCTATAACTACGTTTGTTTGATTTTAAGGGGGGTTTCACTTCACCTTAAGGTGGAACTTGATCGACGTCGATAAAGAAGATTTTTCTAAATGCCTACGTTGCCGACGTTGGTTTTTATTTTGACAGCTGGGTCGAATTATATTGGGTATTGTCCCAAATGGCATATTCCACCTGTCATTTTCGTACAATAATTATAAAGAAATCATGCTTTCTAGTGCCCTAATTGACTGCAGTGGTTAAACAATTTTTTCAAAAAATCCAAATTTTGAATGTGTCAGGACAATTCTTAGATGATCTGTCGTGACGTGTCAAAGTTTTGGACAGTTTGGTCTAATACCCTTAAAAAAAAGTGTTGTATTCGAATCGACTAATTTGATTACAGTTAAAAAATTTTTTCAAAAAATCAAAATTTTCAATGTGTCAGGACAATTCTTAGATGATCAGGGGTGATTTGCCAAAATTTCTGACATTTTGGTCTAATACCCTTAAAAAAAAGTGTTGTATTCCAATCGACTAATTTGATTGCAGTTAATCATTTTTTTCAAAATATCCAAATTTTGAATGTGTCAGGACAATTCTTAGATGATCAAGAGTAACGTGTCAAAGTTTCGGACCTTTCGGTCTAATACCCTTAAAAAAAGTGTTGTATTCGAATCGACTAATTTGATTACAGTTAAAAATTTTTTCAAAAAATCCAAATTTTGAACGTGTCAGGACAATTCTTAGATGTGTCAAAGTTTCGGACAGTTTGGTCTAATGCCCTTAAAAAAAAGTGTTGTATTCCAATCTACTGATTTGAAGGATGTTTCACTTCACCTTAAATGCCGATTGTACTATCAAACAACTCATTGATACCGTACCCATGACTGGATGGACTTTCGATTATCCTTTTTTAACTGGACCACTCGATCTTCCCGATCTTCCTGATCTTCAATCGCTGAATTTTTCCTAATCACTGGAATTATTTCCAGCACCGACGACTCGCGTCGAGATAACGTCCTCCATCCGCAAAGCATGATCGACTGAGTACATCCTCGGTACAGTGACATCCTCATTACGTCTATTTATGTGAGACACAATAATTATTACTTCAGGAATGAACAATGATTGCCTATAACGATGAAACATGTGCAGGGCACGCATTACGCTCAATCGGTTAATTGTTTCCAAGCAAGTGCCCTACTTATCCTTTAATAAGAAATGGCAGAAAATTGGTAAACTAAAATATAACCATACTCTTTTTGTTCTTTTTCATTATTTGTTCATATTCATCGCGTATGACGAGTTGTTAATTAAGCGTTCCAAAATTGACAGTACAGTAAATAAAAAATGAAACGTTATCAGTAACGAGGGTAAAGGTAAAAATATGAACAACCTGATAGCATGGAATAATTTCCACATTATTTTTTTACCATTTTAAACATTTACCGACCTAACCGGAATTTTCGTTCTTATTAATTCGACTTTTTTTTAATTGTTTATATACTAAAAGGCGATGGTGATTTAATTTGTTGCTCAATTTCAGAACTTCTGCGTCTTGACATTGTCAAGACATGACTGCAGAAAAAGTCAATGCCGACATGGTTGGTTGCACTTTGTTGATCCTAAAAACCTAAGGACCTTCAATTAATTCAGCTAAAAACAATTAACCATTCTTACCTTCTGCAGTTTAAAGTCTGAGATATTTAAATTCGACAATATTAACAAATCTGCGATTCTCTACATTTTTACGTTTTATTGCACTGTACACGCAAATGTATATTGTAATTAATAGAATATGGAGCCGTTCGATTAAATTACACCGAGTTATTGATTTCGCGTTGAACAAGCAATAAACATTCTAATTACGGTAACAGAACTTATACACAATTCTACAGAAGATTCAATTATAACATTATTCTCATCTTATTCGTCGCAATAAAAGCTCTTAATCTTAACAATGATGGGTATGTAAATTGGTAATACTTCTTCGTTTCTTCGCAGGCGGCCATTTTGTCGGCGAATTTTTTAAGATAATCTCACTCCATCAGTTTTCGGACATTCGCCTTTGTTCTTCACAACCAAGTCTGTAAAGGAAACAAAATTAGGGAGAAATCACCGTGAAACAAATGAAACATTGTCTAATGATAGCGAAACGCTTGTTGGAATCGATTTGAAATTCTTTAGGGAACAACGTTCAGTTTTTAGGAAACCGATGAGAAAACATGAACTATGTTCACTTTTTTTATGAAACTGATGAGGAAAAACTAACAATGTCCACTTTTTTATCAATCTAACAAGGATCAGTTATCGTGAAAATTCATGATACTTCTCGATATTTTAAGGTGAAGTGAAACACCCTGCAAATCAGTCAATTTGAATACAACACTTTTTTTAAGGGCATTAGACCAAACCGTCCGAAATTTTGACACATCCCTCCTGATCATCTAAGAATTGTCCTGACACATTGAAAATTTGGACTTTTCCAAACAATTTTTTTACTCAGCCCAGACCAGAAGCAAAATGGCGTCGAGCTCTCATATTTCGATCGATATACAATTATCGAAGGCTCCGATATGAGAATCGAAAGGGTCAGGACAATTTTATGACAATTTAAAACACTCTGGTAATCGATAAACTCGCATTTGAACGGGATAAAGGCAAAAAAAGTGTTGTATGCGCTTCTGTGCCAAAACGATGGTAATACGAGGTCTTGGAGTGAAAATTTAATTGACCTGGAAATCACAGATGGCGCAGGGGGTCCCTCCGCAGTCAATTAGGGCCTCAAAAAGCACGAATCCAGAGGATTTCTGGAGCTCTACTTGGATTTCTTTATAATTATTGTAGGAAAACGACAGGTGGAGTATGCCATTTTGTACAATACCCAATATAATTCGACCCAGCTGTCAATATAAAAACCAACGTCGGCAACGTAGGCATTTAGAAAAATCATCTTTATCGACGTTGATCAAGTTCCTCGACGTGTTTCACTTCACCTTAATTCCCTCGGGAAACTGGTCATGAATTTTTGGGGGAATTTCTTTGACGAAGAAATACAAGACCAAGGCCAAATTTGTTCATCTCTACAAGGCACTTACGAGTTCCCATTTCGCAGTTGTGAGTGTCGAGGACGCAAGCAGAGCCGAAGGTTCTAGGTCTGGATTTTGTGTCATTAGGATCATGTGCACAAACTGGGTTGTACTCAGCAGTGCAAACGGTATTGCAATCCTTCTTCTTCTTCGCATCCTTCGCGGCCTTGATGGCATCCTTCACATCCTTGGAAGCAGTGGCGGTTTCCTTGATCTCCTTCGGCTCCTTCACGTCCTTCGTCCCGGTTTTGGTTTCCTTTTCAGGAAAGGCATCGCTCTCCAGGAAGAGAAGTGACAGACACGCGAATGTCAAGACTGTGGGAGAATATCGATATAAAGGAAAAGAACGAAAATTGAGAAAGAATTCTCATGGAGATGAAGAGAGCGATTTAATCGAGAGAGGAAAACTGCGACCTCACCCAATGCAAATGTGGCTTTCATGGTTCTGATTTTTATTCCTTCTCTTTTTCCACGAGATGACGGGAACGTAGAATATAAACTCGCACGCCGGACTGATAATAGACTGGATTCTGCGACGTCTCTTCCTACGGTTTATATGCCATTTCAACATCCTCCCCACCTTTCGAATGGCGAGGGCAATCGCAGTTTGTGTGTAACGTTTACTCACCGGTATGACCGGTAAATACTGGAGCCACTTCTCGGCCTCTCTCTCTCTCTCTTGTCCGTTCCTCGTCTCTCGTATACCGTGTCCTTAATTTATAGAATCGCTCAAGGCATTCACCGTGTTACCAGCGATGAATTTCATGTTCCTAATCGGATGAAAAAGTAACAAGCAACTCTCAGGACGATGACAACCGAGATTAAAGATGTGAGCTTTTGCGAGATTAATTGTGCCTATAATTATGAAAGTGGTCTAAGTCGAAATTAAAAAAAAAAATGAGTTTATCAGTTATTTCACGCCATATTATTTCAAACGAAATTAATTCAATGTCATTTCGAAACAAAAAATATATGACAGACCACTTTCATAATTATGGGCACAATTGCAAGAAGAGTTCCTAATTTATTCTCAATCTTTTTTGCGTTATCCAAGACGGCTATCTGCCTATTTTCGACAAATCGAAGCTTTCATCTCACGTGAGATGAAAGAGCGAAAAGTGAGCGACTTCATCGGCAACTGAGACTAAAGATGTGAGCTTTTGCGAGATTAATTGCAAGAAGACATGCTAATTTATTCTCAATCTTTTTTGCGTTATCCAAGACGGCTATCTACCTATTTTCGACAAATCGAAGCTTTCATCTCACGTGAGATGAAAGCGGGAAAAGTGAGCGACTTCATCGAAGCTACAAAACAGAGGTCCAAGAATTGCTAGAACGGAAGCCGACGTGGTTATTAGAAAGTTAAAAGACTTTCCGTTATTGTCATTCCGCCTCTCCTTAGAGAACTCGAAATCAGACCCAAGCTGTTCAATCGACAACAATGTAGTTTCACCGGTGACCCCGGGTACAGGAACATCCATCTCTTTGTCATCTCATTGACTGTCACAAGTGAAGATTAGATCACGTGAAGTCGAGTCTAGGAAGGAGATTCAGGTTGCGACAGAAAATGGCGACATACATCGGCAGGGGACTTTGGAGAGGAATATTTTACCGAGAGTGATAAAACGAGCACGAAGTGATAACCGGAAAAAAATTATCCATGAGTGATGACCTGACTGGAAATACGATTGAATGCATTTTTAGGTCCACCGGTGTGTAATTCGATACAGGAAGAAAAATGAATATAATATAAATATAAATCGAAAAATGACGGAAGGTAAAATTCTAATAACGATGATGGACAATGCAAGAATTATTAGGAGACGGATATACGATGATGATACCGAGAATGATAAAACGAGCACCAAGTGATAACCAGAAAAAAATTATCCATGAGTGATGACGACTGGAAATACGATTGACTGCATTTTTAGGTCCACCGGTGTCTAATTCGACGCAGGAAGAAAAATGGCGGAAGGTAAAAATTCTAATAACGATGATGGACCATGAAAAAATTATTAGGAGACGGATATACGATAATGATAAAACGAGCACGAAGTGATAACCAGAAAAAAATTATCCATGAGTGATGACGACTGGAAATACGATTGACTGCATTTTTAGGTCCACCGGTGTCTAATTCGACACAGAAAAAAATATGACGGAAGGTAAAAATTCTAATAACGATGACGGACCATGAAAAAATTATTAGGAGACGGATATACGATAATGATAAAACGAGCACGAAGTGATAACCAGAAAAAAATTATCCATGAGTGACGATCTGACTGGAAATACGATTGACTGCATTTTTAGGTCCACCGGTGTCTAATTCGACGCAGGAAGAAAAATGGCGGAAGGTAAAAATTCTAACAACGATGATGGACCATGCAAGAATTATTAGGAGACGGATATACGATACATACGTCGGAAATAAATCATATTGCGTGCAATTACTGGCGTTAAAAACGTTACGTGGTCGTCATAATGTATACATTGAATCCGGCCTTGAACGCGAGTAAACTGACCATGTATTGCGTCGATGTTAAAAGCAAGGTAATCGAGATCTCCTTATCTCTCCTGCATGTTCTCGTTGAGTCAGAAACAAATGGAGGCGACATTTTCGAAACCTCCACTCAGGCCAGTCATTGATCTTTCCCAATTGTCATTGCACATTAAACTGGTAAGGAGTGTTCGTGAAATCTCGTTAAGTCGAGTTTATCGTCTCCAGCCGGAATTACTGGTTCTCCAAAATGGCGGCCAAGGTCGTCCGAAGACGCCAGATTAGCAGGATGCGATTCTCGCCCTGTGACTCACTCGTCCACGGAATAAACCAGACCGTACTGCGGAATTTTCTAGGGCGTTATCTGCGAGGAAAAATCGGAAAACGACGTCTTGTAAAGGGGAATTTATTAATTAAGGATTAATTCGGATTTTTTGCAGGACTCGACTGAGCAAGCCCAGGACTTGGATATACAGGATCAACGAGAAAACCAGGACCATGGCTCGATAAATTTAATAATTAAATTTATTAATTAAGGATTAACTCGCATTTTTTGCAGGACTCGACTGAGCAAGCCCAAGACTTGGATATACAAGATCAACGAGAAAACCAGGACCATGGCTCGATAAATGTAATAATTAAATTTATTAATTAAGGATTAACTCGCATTTTTTGCAGGACTCGATTGAGCAAGCTCAAGACTGGGATATACAAGATCAACGAGAAAACCAGGACCATGGCTCCAATTTATTAATCCCTCCTTCGAGGACTTCGTGCAAGTTACAAAAACTCTCTTATCAGGCTACTTAAAATAGGAAGACGCGGATATCATCGGTAACTGAATCATCCGTTAACTTTGCGTGATGCTGAGTGGAAACTCTCAATGTTAGAACGAGCCAATTAAGATAATGCGAAGCAGGCTCGAAGTAACTATTGAAGATAATCCCAGGTAATGGGACGTAATCGACCGCGATTACGTTATCGCCGAGGCTGTCGCGAGGTTTCGGAACTCTCAGGAACAATGCAATGACACGTTCGCTCATCTGGCTAGAGATTTGTCTCTTGTCATTTCCTAGGTATTGTTCATTAGGCTAGAACCAGCTTTGCAGACTTATCGTTGGTGCACCACAAACATTTGTGGTAATTGAAAATTCCCATCTCCGGTGTCTCTAATTATTTCCGATGGGACGAAATCAGCGATTCGCTTCTTTATCGGGAATTAAGACACGTCCTCGCAGACTTATTATTGGAGTAACCTCGAGATAACAAACCATTTTCCGGGATTAAAAATTCACATCTCACGTATCCTGGATTATTTCCGATGGAAAGAAACCAACGATTCAGATTTCTGATAAGGAGCGTTAATGGCCAACAATGGCCTGGTCTATATTTCCTTTCGCCTCTCTGCCGCCATTGTTGTTGCCATTGTTGTTGCCATTGTCACCTTGCACGCAACAGAGAGCTGACCCGAATGTACCCACCGGAAACGAGGTGTGAGCTTCCTGCTCATTGCTATCAACAATTGATTCGAGATCACGAGAATGGAGACGAGCTCTTAACAAGTACTCATTGTCGTTGCACCTCGTTCTCTGCATTTTCACTTTCCTCCGTCAACTTCTCTTCCTTAACATAGCTTTTGAAAAGTCTTAGATAGTCCGACCAGGACTCCCCATCCAACAATGCACTTTGAATTCGACAACCGAAGCTTGAACAATCTCCAGAGGAAGTTCCATTCTTGTTCATCCTTTCATACTTTTCGATGGAATTTGTCACCATCGAAGCGAGAATGTCAAGTCGCTCCATCGTGGAATTTCCTATGGCGAAAAAAAAACCCAATTAGACATTCGCTCCTTTGTCTTTTTTCATTTTAAGTAACAATTACGGGAAACTTGCTTGGGATGAAAAATCGACTTTCGTCCTCTTCGCCCTCGGCGTCGCCATTGTTCCCTTTCTTCACCACCTCGAGTTTCGGGATGAACAATAAAAGACAGATCACGGCGATGAACTTAACAATCATCTTGAAGATGACCAGTTTCAACAATATCTTCGCCAGGGTGAAGGCATTTAATTTCAGGGCAAAGGGCCAGGTGAAGTCTATGGTGGGAATCGATGGGAGGTGAGCGAAATCCGTGAGAGCGTATGGTGCTCCGTAAACCGGTGATGGATAAGCTGTAAATATTGAAAACCAAAGGATTATTAATTTTTAGAAGAACCTAAAAAAGGTCTCCTTTCATGAAACGCGTTTCCCAAACCCCATAAACCCCCAAAAAATCCAAAAACTTTCTAAGTTAGCCGACGAACCATGAATACTCTACCTCTGGCCTCACCTTGCTGTGGTGGAGGAAGATATCCTCCACCAGGAGTTCCATAGACCCCATGGGGTGCAGAAGGTGGTCCATAGCCCTTGCTAGGAGTCCCATAACCCTGCACAGGGGTCCCATAACTAATTTGTCCATTAAAGTTCCCCGAACTCTGGACAGGAAGCGCAAAAGAAGTGCTAGGCGTCTGCGAGAACCCATCGGCGATATTGTTAGGGGTCCCATAGCCCAAATTCGGATCTTTCGGGACCCCATAACTTAAACTCGGGTCCTTTGGGATCCCATACTCCGTTTGTGGTCGATAAACAGGACCTGGGGAGTACTCCCTCCTCAGGATCCTGGAAAACTTCGGCTTCACGTCTGCATGGACAACTCCTTCATGGGGGTCCTTGCTGGTATGGGAATGCCTAAGTGCATTCAGATAACTGTCTTTTGGGGTTATGGTGAATCCCTTCCAGCCTTTATTTTCGGGGGCTTTAGCCCCTTTATCAATATCTTTCATGGGAGTCGCTGATAATGGCTCCGTCAAGTTTGATGGAGACACCATAGGATTTTTTGTTGGTGATAAAAAGTCGCTCTTTGATGATGGGTAATTTAATTCTGGATCAAAGTCGTTTATGCGAGCCTCCATTTTTAGGTCCGCGGAGTTGGATATGGTGTCTCTATGGTTTGGAGGAAGAGTGCTACTATCATGGCATGATACTACTCCTAAAATTAGGAAAATGATTCCTGTAGCGATATGGAGTCTCCATCTTTGATGATCTTCGCACATCCTGGAGAGCTTGGGCACTGTGATAAGAAATATCGGAATTTTATGATATGGTTAAATATGGGAATATTTTTAAAGTGGAATGAAAGTGTCATCTCGGTTTATAAATTTCCTTCAAACTGAATGAGGAATCGTTTGGAATTTTTGAATGCAGAGATCCTAAGGAAAGTATTGACTGCGTGAAATTTCTTTTTTTTAAGGACTTTGTCTATAAACATTTTCTAATTTGTTATCAAAATCAGTCCAGAAAGAGTTCCACGCATGAAACTTCATACAGGGCACTTATAATCGCCTTTTTTTAAGGACTGTCTATAAACATTTTCTAATTTGTTATCAAAATCGGTCCAGAAAGAGTTCCACGCATGAAACTTTATACAGGGTACTTTAATATCGCCTTTTGTTAAGGACTTTGTCTATAAACATTTTCTAATTTGTTATCAAAATCAGTCCAGAAAGAGTTCCACGCATGAAACTTCATACAGGGCACTTTAATATCGCCTTTTTTTAAGGACTTTGTCTATAAACATTTTCTAATTTGTTATCAAAATCAGTCCAGAAAGAGTTCCAGGCATGAAAATTCATACAGGGCACTTTAATATCGCCTTTTGTTAAGAACTTTGTCTATAAACATTTTCTAATTTGTTATCAAAATCGGTCCAGAAAGAGTTCCACGCATGAAACTTCATACAGGGCATTTTAATATCACCTTTTGTTAAGGACTTTGTCTATAAACATTTTCTAATTTGTTATCAAAATCAGTCCAGAAAGAGTTCCACGCATGAAACTTCATACAGGGCACTTTAATATCGCCTTTTGTTAAGGACTTTGTCTATAAACATTTTCTAATTTGTTATCAAAATCAGTCCAGAAAGAGTTCCAGGCATGAAACTTCATACAGGGTACTTTAATATCGCCTTAAGCAATTATTTCCGTCAGGATATCCAATGCCACTTGATTTTTTCAAGATTCTTCTCGTTCCGTTTCCTCGATCGAAACCATGCCGAATAATTTGTCCCCATTAAGGAAAAAAAGATGCGGAACACGGAAATCGTTACGAGGCGGGATTTTTAAGTGACTTTGAAGATCATCGCCTGAATACGAAACGAGTTGCCTTCTACTGTGAATAGCAAGTGGAAATTTAACGGTCTACGCCCTTTTTCAGAATTCCTCTAAAACGCAGAAGAATTTACCAACGTTTGTTTATAAACCCCGGTATTAACTTCAACAAACACTTTTGCACCCGAAGAAATTGATCGCCATTACGAAAAGTACCTCTTTTTCTCGGTGACTTCAACGCTCGCTCTTCTTTACTAAAAGTGCCAAAAAATGAGCAAGTTGGAATTTATTCTTTTTTTTTTTTTTTGTTCAGTGAACAGGGTAAAATTTGTTAATAATTTAACGCGTCCAGACTTTTGTCTCTAACTTTGCACACGATTATAAAATAATGTTAATTCTTCCTCTGCAGTGATTTCAATGCTTGGTTAAGCGCGCGCGAAATTCAAATCTAGTATTTGTTTGAAATGTTAAAATTCCACCGTACTTACTAAAATTATTTCTATCACTTAATTAGGAGGTAGTGATTATTTAAAATATCGAAACGATGTGGCTCGATATCTCGAAATAATCCCACTGGCACTGTCATCAGCTTGACAATCCACTGTAGAACACTGTCAACGAAACACCTCCCGATGTCATGTCTTGTCGATAAACGAGTTAAAAAAATATCACGGCCACGTCGAGTATATATGCGAGAAACAATGGGAGGGATATTTTTCCGGGTTACAAGTTCCCCCAGTCGAATTGTATCGAATGGCAAGACCTCGCCCACCTTCTTACCTTTACTCACCTTTTACACCAACTTAATATGTAATAAAACCCGGAAATAAATTTCCTGACCTCCCTATTCCGGAATAAAAATATCCAGGGAAAAGTTGACCCCCTGAAAAGCAACAATGACCCGCCGAAATTGGAACATAAAAAGGTAACTCGAAAATTCAGACTTTCTGACAACAACTCGGAAGATGAATCACTTTTACGAATATCCAGCCGGAAAAACAGGATTCCGAAAAGTGCACCATTTCTATCTTCATGAAGTACCATACATTACCTACAATCCAGTCTTGAACATGTACTTTCCCTTTGTCACTCATTTCAGTGAAATCATTTTCATGACTGGTTCCGAAAGTGACCCTTTTCTTCCTATTTTTTATTCCTAGATTCTGACAGAGAGTAAGTGCAAAGAAATAACCTAAACCCGATAAGAATGTGATTAATGGAGGTAAGTGTGCCACTGGATCGACAATCGGGGGAGGGACCGTTATTGCAAGTACTCTCTGTACATAACAATTGGCCTCGGGTCATGTCCATTGACACTTTCCCGAATACGATGTCGGACAATGACCAATAATGAACTGCACAGAAATTGTATGTCTGATCAATAATGTCTTTCCCTACATTGTTACATCCCACCACTCCAAGAAAACAATTACGTCTCCAAGCAACGTAACAAAGTACCTTTGCTTGTCTCAAACCTTCCTTTCCTCGTTAAAAAAATTAATTGTTATTAAATACAATTAAAGACCTTCTTAGGAACTCAGGATTAACAATGGACTCCTCGAAAGCAGAAACGAAGTGCGCATACAAAACTATAAACAATTAAATCCAGAGGCGTAAAATCTTTGCAAAGTCTCATTGTTCTAATACGATGTCGGACAATGACCAATAATGAACTGCACAGAAATTGTATTAATGTACGTACTTAGCGTTGCCACCTATTTGTCTGATCAATAATGTCTTTCCCTACATTGTTACATCCCACCACTCCAAGAAAACAATTACGTCTCCAAGCAACGTAACAAAGTACCTTTGCTTGTCTCAAACCTTCCTTTCCTTGTTAAAAAAATTAATTGTTATTAAATACAATTAAAGACCTTCTTAGGAACTCAAGATTAACAATGGACTCCGCGAAAGCAGAAACGAAGTGCGCATACAAAACTCCTAAACAATTAAATCCAGAGGCGTAAAATCTTTACAAAGTCTCATTGTTCTAATTTTATCAACAGGTGGATAAAATTTGGAAGTGTGGAAGATATTATTTTCATTGCAAGAGACGTGATCGCCATGGCTTCCGGTATTTATATTTATTTCCTGCATTTGATTACGAACGAGGAGAGAATCGAACAATTCGACAACAATGAAAAAGGGGAAGGAGCTTCCTGTCTCGCTGGACATCCGGTAAATTTCCATTAATTAATTAAAAATATTATTAACACGAGTTATCATACAAAATTTGTCATTAGGTGGTTCCCATGTTCTGCATGTCAGAGAGACGAGAAAATCCAAGAATTTTCATTTACACTTTTCCGGAATTGCGAAGCATTTCCATTTGCACTCGAAATGGCACGACAAAGTACTTGTCTAGTTGCTTTGCAGGTACAGAGTATATTTTAACATTGACATCTCTTCCGGATTTCTTGATTATTCTTTGGCATTGGAAGTCAGGCGATTTACTCGTCGCTGTCAAGACAAAAGTCAATGACGAATTACAAAAAGTCAGGTATAATTAAACAAAAAATAGTAACATACATATTTTTAGGAAGAATTTGCCAATGCAACATTTGTCTTGTATGTGATGAAAATTTATGTATTTATTAATATTTGCATATTGTTAACAGGTGTTCTCCAACCTCCCCACTTTTGGCATCGCAATTTTCTGCAACTTCCGGAAGTCTTTCCGTGTATGAAATTACGGTCTGCTCCAAAATGGCGAATCTACTTCCGGTGGAGATTAAACCGTTTAAAAATAAATTAACATCCGTGTCGTGGTCTCAAGAAGGGTCATTAATCATTTGCGATGAATTTCGAAACATTTTCGTCATGAGGGGCGAAGATAAAAAACGATTACATGTTGTAACTTCAATGATTTCTGAGAGATCAAAAAGGCCATTGTCAATCATCGCCCATCAAAATGGAGTCATCATGGCCGACAACAAAATAACGGTGATTGTTAATCTAAAATAATGAAAAGAAGTCAATTGAACAATGGACATTTTTTATTTGTACTAATTTTCTTATTAATTTTCTCTCCACTTGTTCTTTTTTTTTTTTTTTCAATGAAAATCAATTAATGGGACTAAACATTACATGAGGAAACATTTAGCTTTACAGAAAATCAACAATTAATAGGACTAAACATTAAATGGAAAAATATTTAGCTTTACAGAAAATCAACAATTAATGGGACTAAACATTAAATGGGGAAATATTTAGCTTTACAGAAAATCAACAATTAATGGGACTAAACATTAAATGGCGAAATATTTAGCTTTACAGAAAATCAACAATGGAGTGTCCTAAGGAAATGAATTGGTTTTTTTTTTTAAATGAAAATCAATTAATGGGACTAAACATTACATGGGGAAATATTTAACTTTACAGAAAATCAACAATTAATGGGACTAAACATTAAATGGGGAGATATTTAGCTTTACAGAAAATCAACAATGGAGTGTCCTAAGGAAATGAATTGGTTTTTTTTTTCAATGAAAATCAACAATGGAGTGTCCTAAGGAAATGAATTGTTTTTTTTTTTCAATGAAAATCAACAATTAATGGGACTAAACATTACATGGCAAAATATTTAGTTTTACAGAAAATCAACAATGGAGAGTCCTAAGGAAATGAATTGGTTGCCTTCATGGACTATTGAATCAATTTCTTATCCCACTATCATGGCGGTTCATCCTGACAGAAATGGAATTTTGGTTTATGGGGAAATGGGAGAATTATTCGAAATAGACATGAACGAAGAAAATGTTCCTATTGTTAATGTAAAATGCGACCTGGGCGGATCTTTCGAAGCGATTTCTTGGATTTTTCCGGGATTTCAACACGCGATTACCCTCGATAAATTCGATCGATTGAAGGTAATCGATACCTCGACAGGACAATTTGTTGGAGAATTGCATCTGCATGAATATGACCGAGGTAGGTTATTATTATTAACATTTATATATGTAAATAAATTCATTGCTTTTCATTCTTACAGTTCTATGCATCGTCCCTCATCCCACTCTACCATTAATAACAGCCACAACGGTTTCTGGTTATTGTTTATTCATAAGTGTGTTTAATGTGACGGAACCAATTATCCTAAACTTGGTGCACTTAAATGCGGAACCTTTGAACAAAGCCAAATTTATAAACAATGGGACCCTCTTTGGTGTTGCAACTAAAAATACAGGAGATGTCTTTTTCCTTGGCGACGACAACAATGGAGATGCAATTGTTGTAGGGCGATTAATAACAAATGGCCGGGTATTGGATATCCTTTTTTACTAACGCATTGCTCGAACTATATTTCTGATCTCGCTAATAATCTCTGAAAATCCAAATTATTTCCTTTTTATTGTACTTTGCATCGAATATTAATAACAATCTTATGATTACAGATCGTGGATTTTTTATCTTTCCAAAAGGACGCCGATACGTTAAAAGTGTTAATACTCCCTGCAACAAATTCTGGATTTTCAGTCGGCAACGTTATAATTATTTACACCATAAACATTGAAAATTTCAGTGCAACTGCAAATCATGCGATACAACTTCCACAATTTTACAAATCTCTTCATTTTCATCCAAATGGGAGTTTTGAATTTCTGGGTGTACCTTTTCTAACGAGACAATTACACGTAATGAGCCTGGTAAGTGTAAATATGTAATTATACATATTGTAAATTTTAATTACAATTTCTCGACAGTATAATTACAGGAGCATCGCACTTGTTAAAGCGACATCGTCGGTTCATCAATTAAAAATGTTTCGTGTTATTGCGAGCGAACATCAAATCATTACTTGTGGATATGATGGACTCGTTATCATAAGAGACACAAATGATATTGATAAAGTAATTGCACGTTTAATGCCACATCATCGAAGTGAAGGAGGTGCAAAATGTGCAATCGCGACATCGTCTTTAGAAATTATTCTTTCCGTCGGGAATAATGGAAGCCTCGTCGCAACAAAGCTCTGGTAAATAAAAAAAATTAACAGTTGATTTAAAAAAAAAAATGGCGCCGAAATAATATCATGAATTATTTCCACGTTTTTGCAGTTCAAAATCGAATATCGGAGTTTCGGAATTATTTCCGATGAAGTTGAACTTGAAGGAGATTCAAAAAATGATTTGCAGTTTAACAAAAACGGATTTGGAGAAAATTCAACGAGAAAAGTCGTCAACTTGGGTGGAACGTCGAGAGATGGAAAAGTTGAGGAGAGAGAGAGAAGAAGCTGCGGTTGAAAGGGCGGCCATTTTGGAAAAGTTGAAAATGATAAAAGAGAAGGTATAAATGTATTACTATTTTCCAATTGCCTAATTTTATCCTATAAACAATTACATCAAAGAATTTCTAAATATTTCTAAATCTTTGCTAAATGTCTCAAGCAATTTATAAGCAGCTAACATTTGTCATTGTTGTAAATTATTTTTTTCTGCATGTATTATTGCAGATCGTAACAATGCTCGACCAGAACGAGAAAGAATCGGAAATGTCAAAACTGCCGATTTCAAATTTCGATTTAAACGAAGAATCTCGACGGCGGAAATTAATTAATAATAAAATAAAACAGGAAGAGGAGGAGAGAAATCTTGAAGAATTAATTATTAAACAAGACGGACTCGCCGAGTTCTTGAAAAATTATTGCTGGAATCGAATGCAAGTGCATTGTTGCTTGCTAAAAGCAATTCACGAAGACGCTTACGTGCAAAACTTCCCATTAGCAAAAATTTCCATTGAAAAAGAAGATCGTCAAATTTGGAATGAATTTCTTTTGACTTTGTCGAGAAAAGTGTCGAGGTGAATTCAAAATTTATTATTTTTATTCATTTATTGTTTAATATTCGAAATTCGGAGCGTTTCAAAATTCATTTTTATATAAGGCGCACACTTTTGAAACAAATAAATCTTTTAAATTTAGCTAGATAATTGCTTTGTATATTTTATCCACTTCAGAAAAACGTAATTACATTTGTTTAGAATCGACTCGGATTTTTTGCTCCCGGAATACAAAGAAGAGACTAATGATACAAGAAAATCGGAAAAACACAATTTGCGAAGTCTGACGGTTCCAGAAAAAGATGAAATAAATTATATCGATTATGAAATCGAGAAGGAAGAATATGACAAAGTGATTTCTCTGATAGGGACCAGCACATACAAATGGATAAAAGATGAATATTTGTATTTTGCATACAAATCGTTCGAGATAGGAAACTTCACGACAGGTGCAATAGACAATAGTACAGTAACAAACAAGAAGCATCAATTAAAGGTGATTAATCCCCATAAAATAATTCCCAAGGTTATCAGACATAATCTGATAACCAGAAATAATTTAACCAGGCATCTAATAATAATAACCGGAATTGTTTTTATTTCCAGAAATACTTTAATAAATTATTTGAAGGGATGAAAACCAAGAAGAAAGAAGTTCTGTCTTTGGCAGTCGAGCGAATTAATAAATTGGAACATTGCAAATCGGAATTAATGAATATGTTTGCAATTAATTTCCCTGCTGAACTGTCGGTCGATTCTGCGTGGAGTTTCATAGAAATTCCGGATTATATTATAATTGTAAACGATGAAGAAATTCCAGTAAAACCGTTTTTGGAAAAACAAGAAACGTCTGTTAAAACTGACGAGGATGAAGAATTAATTAATTTTCTAAACAAATCTTATGACTTCAGAGAACAAGCACTGCAAATCATGATGGAAGGAGTAATTGAACCCAGGTAATAAAAATTACTTTATAAACATTACAATATCTGGAAGTAATTTACACATTGCACGGAAAAAAGTTAACGTTAAAAGGTAATGTCTTTGAGCGCAGGATTTTGTTGTTGCAAATTTTCTTTACCAGCGCACTATAAATATCATTTCATATTAACTTTCAATTATTTACAAGATGGGAGGACGAAATAAAAAAGGACATTCCCATTCCCGAGTGCATGATAAACAAAGACCCATCAGAATTCACTCCCGAGGACAACGAAGCAACAATACTCTATGAACAAAAGGTAGAACAATTAAAAGCAGAAAGGGAAAAATACAAATCCCTCCTGCAAGAGTCTGCAAAAAATCTAGAAGGTAATTAACCCCCACCGCAACAAAAAAACCACCCTATCATTGCATAAACAATTACAAATTGTCAACAGAAGCGTTCAACAAAGACATCGGATCATTCGACGAACGCTTACACGAGTTCTCCATAACTCGAATGAAAGTAAAGTCTGCAATCTTGCAGGAAAGTCTGAAAAAACTGAGAATTTCCCGAAGACATTTGTCGAGAGTGGAAGGCGACAAAGTAATTAGTAAATTCCAAGAGAAGCTTTCATTGACAACAAAACGCAGTCAAGAATTGGCAGAATATCTGGCATCCCTCGAAGTTCCGGTAAACGATCTGAAAAATCGTTTTCAGAGTCTGAAGAAGCGGGAAAAATTACTGGAAAGCAAATTTAGGGGAGAATTTTTCGGTCTGAAAACCCCTTTGGTGGGCCATCTTCTCCGCCATTACAAAAAGCGACCGAAAAGCGTCCGTTTGGTCTGCACATCCGTTACTTATTTAACAGAGACGATAAGATGTTTAAACAATGGCGAAGAATCCGACATTCTACCTCGAGATTGCCTGGAATTTCTCCGCGGAATGGAAATTCTGTCAGAAATGCCGAGAAATTTACCGACGCAGATTTTAGACCGCCATTGGAGTCTGATGTGCAGACTACGGAAGCAGAAAATCGAAATGGAGATAAAAGTCAGTATTCCTTTGAAAATCTAAATCAGGTATTCAATTTCAATAATCGCAAACATATATGTAAAGTATGCCGTTCTATTTATGAGCGCAGATAATGGTCTGTGCAATCGAATTAGCCGAAGCCGAGCAAACGTTAACGATGTATCGAAAGCTGCAAATGGCGGCGGAAAATAACGCCACAGGCCTAATGGATTTAATAAACAACCAGATAATTGTTAACGACAGGTCGTTGGACGATGCCGAGGTCCAAGTTATTTTAAAAATTGGTCGAATCGAGGTCGAAAGTCGAGGACGCCGGCTTGATTTAAAAAACGCTCTTCTTGTAACCGCCGAAGAACTGACGCGAGTCAACGACGCCATCTTGGATACCGCTCGTCGGAAATTGGAGGCCATGAATAAAACTCTGTACTTTCGCAGAGCCGTTTATTACGAGGAATGGCGGCACCAGTGTATGCAAATTAAGGTGAAGGATCTCAAGGATCGACTGCAAACATTGCGGAGCGTTAAGGTACATTTATATTGTCTAATTATGCAAAGATCCCCTCAAGGTGCGTAGTGGTGACTAGTAAAAATCGAAATAAATCGAAATAAATCGAGACGTGATAATCAACCCGGTATTACAGATCACAGGAGAAGTCTTGGAATATTTATTCGGAGGAATGGAAAAGCCGAGTTCGAAATTACTGGAAAAATTCGAGAGAAATGCAAAACACACGAGGAAAGTAAGCGCTGTAATTACAAGTTACAATTGTATAAATTAATTAATTAGCTTGGAGGGTGCATACACTCGTAAGATTTGATTTCTTAAATTTTATTCATAAATAAGTCACATCGCCTCGAGGACTACTTTTAGCTTACCGCACAATGTTTTATCATGTTGTATAATTCGAGGGGACCTTCAACCTTGAGATTAAAAAATATCCGGATCACGTAAGGCGACCTTTCCTTGATAATTTCAGATGTTTTATAGAATATTGGGAAGGGAAAAGTCGCAGCTGGAAAAGATGGCGGACGAGATTTCGGAGTGGCAAGAAAGGAACATTTGTTTATTCGAGGAGATCGAAAGATCGAGGTCGATCAACTTCGAGATGTCCTTGCAGTGTCGAGAAGAGTCCAGGGTGAAAAAAGAAGCATTTGAGAGCAGCAAAATCAAGGCCATCATGAAAAGAAACAAGATGGCGAGGAAAGTCGAGGACAATTATGAGGATCTCTTGGAGCTACAGGCGAGATTGGAATTATTGAGGCTGAGGACTTATCCGACCTTAAGATTCAAATTGGACCAGTGATAAGAATCATTGTTGATCGTTTCTAAACATTGCCAGTGTCGGAAATTTATTCCACGACTGGGATGTACCAATAAATTCCCCCCCGATTAATCCGAAGCGCTTCTTTTTCCTTCAGAGCTTCTAAGAAATTCATGACCTCACGAGTCGTGTTTCGAAATCACAAATGTAATCTATATTGTCTGGAGAAAATAATGTAGAGTACCCGTAACCTATCGATGCCACATTATCTGTTATGCCGACGATATTTAATTTCCTACGCTGCCAGATTAGATCTCTCTTTGCGTCGAGAAACAGCGAAATTAAATAAACTATTAACGGAGTTTCCGTAATCCACAATGTAGATAATACAACGAGGAAAGAACATCGAGGTCACTCCCGGGTATTTTCTCGCTTGGAATATCAAAGAACGGATTGAAAGTCTTCTTTCTGAAAGAAGCATATCCCTTCTCCTCCAAACTGAGGAGGAAAGTTCGGTCCATATATACAAGAACGGTTGGGATTTTGCAGTTAGTCTTTAATCCCTCGACGAAGTGTCGAGTCTCTTTTTAAACCTTGACTTTCATTAACAAAAGATGTGTCGAAAGTTTCTACTGGCCTTTGTGGCCACATTGTTAACGATAACGTCAGCGGATCACCATGCACCTGTTTGTAAGTTGTGCAAAAGTGATCTTATCGACCTGCTAGTAAATTTTAAATTATTTACCTTTTATTTACTTTTTAAACCTTGACTTCGATTAACAAAAGATGTGTCGAAAGTTTCTAGTGGCCTTTGTGGCCACATTGTTTGCCACATTGTTAACGATAACGTCAGCAGATCACCATGCACCTGTTTGTAAGTTGTGCAAAAGTGATCTTATTGACCTGCTAGTAAATTCTAAATTATTTACCTTTTATTTACATTTTAAACCTTGACTTCCATTAACAAAAGATGTGTCGAAAGTTTCTACTGGCCTTTGTGGCCACATTGTTTGCCACATTGTTAACGTTAACGTCAGCGGATCACCATGCACCTGTTTGTAAGTTGTGCAAAAGTGATCTTATCGACCTGCGAGTAAATTCTAAATTATTTACCTTTTATTTACTTTATTTACATTTTAAACCTTGACTTCCATTATCAAAAGATGTGTCGAAATTTTCTAGTGGCCTTTGTGGCCACATTGTTAACGATAACGTCAGCGGATCACCATGCACCTGTTTGTAAGTTGTGCAAAAGTGATGTCATTGACGTGCGAGTAAATTCTAAATGATATAAATTACTTTCACTGCTTATTATATATATATATCTTGTACAATGGCGGACATGAATGCCTTCCCTGCAGATACGGCATTGCCTGTGCAGGATGGGAGGGCATTGATGTCTCCCAGTGTACCAGTCGTTGACGATTATTTTTACCAGGAATTATTCCTAGCAAATTTCTAATTGTTTAATTTCAATAGTCACAATGTGCATCCCGGAGAAATTCTGGCAAGAATGCGTGGAGATGATGGAAGATTCTTCATCCAAGGGAATCCCAATTTCTTGTATCTCGGGGAGAGATCGCTTCGAATGCGTCGAAAAGGTTGGGAGAAAAGAAGCGGACGTTGTTGCAGTCGACCCCGAAGACATGTACTTGGCTGCTAAAAGTGCACTGGCAGACCAAGCCGGTTACAACGTCGTCGAGCAGGTTAATATCCCTAAGAAATATTCATGTGTGTCAAAGTTTGGTCTAATACCCTTAAAAAAAAGTGTTGTATTCGAATCGACTGATTTGATTACAGTTAAAAAATTTTTTCAAAAAATTCAAATTTTCAATGTGTCAGGACAATTCTTAAATGATCAGGAGTGATGTGTCAAAGTTTCGGACAATTTGGTCTAATACCCTTAAAAAAAAGTGTTGTATTCGAATCGACTGATTTGATTACAGTTAAAAAATTTTGTCAAAAAATCCAAATTTGCAAAGTGTCAGGACAATTCTTAGATGATCAGGAGTGATGTGTCAAAGTTTCGGACAATTTGGTCTAATACCCTTAAAAAAAAGTGTTGTATTCGAATCGACTAATTTGATTACAGTTAAACATTTTTTTTGAAAAATCCAAATTTTTAATGTGTCAGGACAATTCTTAGATGATCAGGAGTGACGTGTCAAAGTTTCGCACATTTTGGTCTAATACCCTTAAAAAAAAGTGTTGCATTCGAATCGACTGCTTTGAAGGGTGTTTCACTTCACCTTAAACATTGATTAAAATCATTAATTTATGTATCTAACACGTCAGATCAGGACCAAGGAGGAGCCCGAGGAGCCATATCGTTACGAAGCAGTCGCCGTGGTCCACAAAGACTTGGCCATCAACGACGTGCAAGGACTTCGGGGTTTGAAGTCCTGCCACACAGGAGTGGGTCGCAACGTGGGCTACAAAATCCCGATCACAAAGTTGACAGCCATGGGAGTCCTGGGCAGCATCAACGATCCGGAATACTCGGCCAGAGAGAACGAACTTCGGGCTCTAAGTTCCCTTTTCAGCAAAGGTTGTCTGGTGGGGACGTGGTCCCCAGATCCCGCCATCAACCAGAGACTGAGTAAGGATTTCGATCAACCATAACACAACAAGATGACAAAATAAACGGAACGAGCACTTTCCTGCTGATGGACACATCTTCTAAACGGTCGCAAACATTTTTCCTGTCGCTAATCAACAAATTCCTGAGTCTGCATCTCTTTCCAGAGGAAACCTACAGCAACATGTGTGCCTTATGCGAGAAGCCGGAAGTCTGCGACTACCCGGACATCTACTCCGGCTATGAAGGAGCTCTACGATGTTTGGCCCACAACGGAGGAGAAGTAGCCTGGACCAAAGTCATCTACGTGAAGCGATTCTTCGGCCTCCCCGTAGGTGTGACCCCAGCAGTGCCCACGAACGAGAACCCCAGCGAATTCCGGTACTTCTGTCCGGATGGTACCAAGGTGCCCATCAACGCGGAAACCAAGCCCTGCACCTGGGCTGCAAGACCTTGGCAGGGGTACATGACCAACGGAGGGATGAGCGACGTTGGCGCGGTCCAGAAGGTAAGAATGAATCTCGTAAAAAGACACCATGGGTGCGAAGAAGACCCATGATCTTCGTAAAGGAACCTAAGTAGATCTGACACGTTCAGATTAATTAAGGAGAAGGGAATGAACTTAGGGAACAACCCATTTGCAAAATAGGTGGTTCCTCCAAGACTTAACCAGTTCGGTCAGTCAGTCTACGAAGAAGACCCATGATCTTCTTAAAGGAACCCAAGTAGATCTGACACGTTGAAATTAATTAAGGAGAAGTGACTGAACTTAGGGAACAACCCACTTGTAAAATAGCTGGTTCCTCCAAGACTTAACCAGTTCGGCCAGTCAGTCTAAAGGAACCCAAGTAGATCTGACACGTTCAAATTAATTAAGGAGAAGGGAATGAACTTAGGGAACAACCCACAGGCAAAATAGCTGGTTCCTCCAAGACTTAACCAGTTCGGCCAGTCAGTCCACGAAGAAGACCCATGATCTTCATAGAGGAACCCAAGAAGATCTGACACGTTCAAATTAATTAAGGAGTAGTGAATGAACTTAGGGAACAACCCACTTGCAAAATAGGTGGTTCCTCCAAGACTTAACCAATTCGGCCAGACAGTCTAAAGGAACCCAAGTAGATCTGACACGATCAAATTAATTAAGGAGAAGGGAATGAACTTAGGGAACAACCCACAGGCAAAATAGGTGGTTCCTCCAGGACTTAACCAGTTCGGCCAGTCAGTCTAAAGGAACCCAAGTAGATCTGACACGATCAAATTAATTAAGGAGAAGTGAATGAACTTAGGGAACAACCATCTTGCAAAATAGGTGGTTCCTCCAAGACTTAACCAGTTCGGCCAGTCAGTCCACGAAGAAGACCCATGATCTTCATAGAGGAACCCAAGAAGATCTGACACGTTCAAATTAATTAAGGAGTAGTGAATGAACTTAGGGAACAACCCACTTGCAAAATAGCTGGTTCCTCCAAGACTTAACCAGTTCGGACTGGACATACACCCAGATCAAAGGATCCTGGAACTTCTCCTTAACTGTAAAGACACTTTTCCAGGAGTTAACGGAGCTGGGGAAGCTGGGAGAGTCCGAGAAGGCTGCCTGGTGGAAGGACCTCATGCTGCTGGACGAGAAGACCCTGGCGGTGCCCGCTACACCTGTCCGCCCCAAGGAACACCTTGAAAATTCCAAGTACCTGGACGTCATCGAGAGGAACTCTGGAGCGCCGGAAAGAAACGCGCGTTGGTGCGTTTCCAGCGAAGCTGCTTTATCGAAATGCCGCGCACTTGCTCGAGCAGCATTTTCCAGGTAAGGAGATCAAACCGAGAAGTTAATTCCCCGTCTAAACGATGGTTCCTTTCTAGCGAAGCTACGTTTATCCTAACTATTTCCGACTTGACGTAAAGTGTCGCTGAATTAATTCCGGTTCCTTCCAGAGATGCCAGACCTAGATTCGACTGCATCAGAGAGAAGAACGAGGAAGAGTGCCTGAAGATCGTGCGAGACGATGGAGCCGATCTGACCATATTAGACGGTGGATCAGTCGGCAACGCGATGAACAAGTTCAACGCAAAGCCGATAATCGCGGAAAAGTACGGAGAGGGATCAACGAAGATGAGCGAGAGACCCGCGGTGGCAATTGTCAAGAAAGGAGCCGCTGTCAACAGTCTAGGTAGAGTATTCCGGGATGTTCCCAAGCTTCATCGGCAATATTCCGAAGGGCACCACAGCCCACGACATGTATGGTGACAAAAAAAAGTATGTAATGGGGTATTTCAAATCGACTGGAGTCCGTTGCATCCCATCGGGCATCTTGTGTTGGGTGTGGGACCCCTTTTTATGGGTGTTTCCCTGGACTGGCATGAATTTTAGCTTCCAAATAACTAGATCCCAACTTTGGGAAGACTCTATGTATGATACGATGATCATGACACGATGATGGGTGATAACAGCTGATCTTCGAGGGAAACGGTCCTGCCACTCTGGGTACCATCAGGACTTCGCTGGCTGGACTGCTCCCGTCCACGCTTTGAAGAAATCTGGTCTGATATCTTCCGCAGACGACGTTGCGGAATTCTTTTCCGCATCCTGCGTGCCAGGAGCAGCTTCAGGATCTAAACTGTGTGCACAATGTGTCGGGAACGTCGCTTCGAAAGACGACAGGGTGATCGAGGCCACAAAGTGCAAAGACACAGAAGCCGAGGCCTTCAAGGGTGGCGTTGGTGCTCTGAAGTAATTCGAAAGAAAAATTATTAAATGATGAATCATTAACACTTTAACGACCGCTCACACAACATGTGTGTGATAGCGTTTGACTGCGTAGACGGGCGGTCGTTAAAGTGTTAAAAGGGAATTTTTCTTTTAGTAACGCGGCACTCTTTTTCAGGTGTCTCATCAGCGACAAGGGTGACGTTGCGTTCCTTCCACTGACCGCCTTAATACAAACTGGTGAGGAAGTAATACCTCCTTAAGGGGATGCGAAACCTGAACACCGGTCTGAAAAAGACACTTTAGGACACGGCTCAGGAACGCCTGAGGAATATCTCCACCCTTTCAAAATTTGAATTAAAAATGACTGAACACGTCACTCTTCCAAGTGTAGGCTCGTTATCAAGGCGATCATTTTTCGAAACAGTTTCAGAAAGACCTGATAGCGCTGATAAGGTGGACTTGAAGACCACGGACTTCCAATTGGTATGTCCCAATGGAGGGTTGGCTGCTGTTGAAGACTGGCAGAATTGCAATCTAGGCTTGGAGCCACCTCGTGTCATTGTCAGCTCTGCCACGAAGACTGTCAATGCCCTGGAAGAGTTGACACACGGAGTTTTGGCAGCCAGTTCCCTTTACTCGAAGAGACCGGACTTCCTCCAGCTTTTCGGGAGCTGGGGTGGAGAACAAAACGTCATGTTCAAGGTTTGTCATCCTTTTTCGATCCGAAGACCCGTCGCCATTTTTTTTTTTATTAGATTATAGATTATAGATTAAAAACGACATTCAACCACGCCAAGTTATCAACGTGTTCGTTTATTTTCAGGACGACGCAAAGGGCCTCGTCTCTGTCGACAATTCTTGGGATCGTTGGGAACAATGGGCGACAACAAAGCAAGAATTTGTTTGAAGTACATAAAGTGTACTTATAACTACAATGGTCAATTACAATCATTTTATCGCACTGCTTTCAACGCGCAATAATGCTTAAACCAATACTTTATTTAATTTTATAAAAAGGACGAACTTTTGTATTAACTAATCGAATACACAAAAATACTTCCGACTTCTTTTCCCATCATTGTTATCAACTTGACGGCATTGCCATCTCAAGTGTCTATTATTATAATAATGATGGTAACATTGCGTTGCATCACGTTAGCAATTACTCCACCTAATAAACTGCTGATACGAATAATTTAAATGTGACAATGGTCGTGCAATTAATTTATGACTCATTCAAGCGTTTCTATTCCTTCCTTTTCTTCCCCCTTTTCGACTGGTAGGTTAATTTAAAAAATACAAAACGCTCAACGAATAAGAAGAAGCAGCCCAAGAAGACGCCACCAAGATGGAGGACAAACAACGGCAAAACGTCAACAATGTCCACCGAAATCCATTGTTTATTGTCGGTCTAAAAATTAAAGAATAGCAAAACTCTCTCTTTCGTTTCAAGTACTTCGATTTCTAATAATAATTGCCACTTGATATCTCATTAATAAACATCTTTCACTCACCGCAATTCCGCTTATCAACGTCTCGTTTTGCAACATTCGTTGGAGAATTCCACAATCTCGAATTTCGAGAATGCTGAAACACGTTGATGTTGAAAAAAGGCGGAGAAGGTGGAAGGTAATGTCAAAATTTGTAGTAATTACTTGCTGTTTATTATTCCTCGGTATGGGCTTTTTTTATTCACTGCCATGGCGACTGTTACTTGCATAATCGCGTCTAATGGTTCTAATGTGCAGTCTAGTTTGTGTTTCGAATTTTTCGCCATATAATCCACGGCCACCATGGCCAGTTTTTCTTTTTCGCAGATCTTTTGAAGTCCTTCTAAATAATTCCTCGGTAATTCCTCGGGATTCAACATTACGTCGTCGCGTAATTTTTTAAGAATTTTGTCGGTAGTAACCTGAGTGGACGGTTACAACATTATTTAAATAAATTCAACATTACATCTTCGCGTAATTTTTTAAGAATTTTGTCGGTAGTAACCTGAGTGGACGGTTACAACATTATTTAAATAAATTCAACATTACATCGTCGCGTAATTTTTTAAGAATTTTATCGGTAGTAACCTGAGTGGACGGTTACAACATTACTTAAATAAATTCAACATTACATCTTCGCGTAATTTTTTAAGAATTTTATCGGTAGTAACCTGATTGGACGGTTACAACATTATTTAAATAAATTCAACATTACATCGTCGCGTAATTTTTTAAGAATTTTGTCGGTAGTAACCTGAGTGGACAGTTACAACATTATTTAAATAAATTCAACATTACATCGTCGCGTAATTTTTTAAGAATTTTGTCGGTAGTAACCTGATTGGACGTTTACAACATTACTTAAATAAATTGAGATAAAAAATTCGACACGGATGTACCTCGAATAAAAAGGAGTCGGCAGAGTCATTGACAACCGCGAATTTGTAAGTTCCGTCTTGCAAAAGTCCTTCCATTGTTGTAAACGGCATTATGAAGCTATTGACAGCAAGAAAGCTGATAATATAAGCCGAGTATGCTGACAGCACCACAAGAGCTGTCAAATGGACGACCACGTGGATAATTCTGACAGGATCCACTGTCGATTGTTGCAGGCCTGACAATAAATTACGTAGCAACATTAATCGCGACAATACTGACCTAATAATTTTTAACATCTTTACTGATACTTCTCCCATAAAAAGGGAGGAAAATAAAATACGTCCGCATTGTTGCTACAAAATAAAATCGAAAATAAATTTACCTTGACTGCAAAAAGCCCCGAATACGAGAAACATGATTTCCGAAAATCTGGAGGAGAAATATTCGTCACGGTCTGATTGTGGCAGATTTTTCGAGGCGGAATTAACGACAACAATTGTGCCACTGCAGATGACCATCAACAATCCAACAGAGGCCCAGATCCCTCCACTAAAAGGCAATGTATATTTCTCCCAATTGACAACAGTTGAAGATGGTCTCTTGATGTACATTCGAGTCCTACAATAGCGGAATTAGGTTGAAATTTCTAATTGTTGTATATTTTTTAGATGATTATTTACTTGGTGCTGCCAACTGGAGTTGTGTATGCGATGACTGACATTAAAGGAGGAATTAACAACAATGCAGTTGCTGCCAGATCTGCCTCATTGTTAACTAACATTCCTGTTGCTCCAGACCATTCCCCATCTGACGATTTTGTTCCCCAAGAATATGCTTCTTTGTACGTCATCCTAAAAATTGGAATTGTTCACAGAGATGAGTTAGAAGATTGGTCGCAGGTGCGAACAAAATTCACATTGCGAATTATGCAAAATAAGATACCCCATGCGTTATAACGAAATCGAAGTAAAACTCTATAAACCCCTTCAATTCATGATTCTTGTTAATATCATCGACAAATGGCGCCATCTGGTATATTTAGCAGAACTAAATTTGCGACATTTTTCTATCGATTGATATGAACTGCCTTCATGACAAACATCAGACAGAAGTTATTCCCCAACCTCTTTTTAATTATGTTCATAGCCTAAAATATAATTTTCCTCCAAAATTTGTATTCCAGCGAGAAATTTTCCTCCAATCGGAAAATCGATCCAATATGGCTGGAGCCAAAAATTGAACTCAAACCCATGGAAAAAAAATGAAAAGAAACGTTATTGCCACTTTCTGAAGCTCGGAAATAATGTCAAGACGATGCTACTAAAATTGACAATGCGTTGCATGAAGATAACGAGAAGTAAACTCGTCTTTAAAGAGGAAAGGAAATTCTTTTCCGAAAGACGTCGGCGTAGAGGCGATGGCACCAAGACCGACATTTTCGAAGAAAGAGCAGCAGCAAGCCAAGAAGAATATTTCCGAAGAGAGACGGCCAGACAATTAAAGAAAATCAAGGAAAATATTAACGACAAAGATAAGGAAAAAGGGAAACCGAAAAGAGACGGAGATGACGAGGAAAAATGAAAATTAATATTTCAACGCGCGAAAATTAATTTCAAGGGTCATTTTTTCTGGTGAGTTGAATATATTTGCCTGGCAATAAATAATAGAGGAGAGACGGCCAGACAATTAAAGAAAATCAAGGAAAATATTAACGACAAAGATAAGGAAAAAGGGATGACGAGGAAAAATGAAAATTAATATTTCAACGCGCGGAAATTAATTTCAAGGTTCATTTCTTGTCTTGAGTCGAATATTTGCCAGCCAATAAATAATCGAATGTCTAATTAAAATGTATATTAACAAACTCACGTGCAATTCATTCTTTCTCCCAGCAGGTCCAACAATTGACCGAAGAATCCGTCTATGCCTATCATTTTTCCATGATCATCTCGAATGATCATCGAGAGAGGAGGATCCTTGAAAAAGATAATTAAACGTGATACAAAAGGAATTTATATTAATGAAAGTACTCATGGCAAGTGTAAAAAATCCTTACGTGGACGGAGACGATTCTCAGAGACTTCCCAAAAAGATTATTTCTGCGACGGTAAAATTCTAGCTGAGGAACCGTGACCCCATTTTTGGCATCCCATTTCCCGAAGACATCACTCCTAATTTTCGAAACCTCGTCCAAATAATAAACTTCCGTAATGACTTCGCCATCTTTTTCAGGGTTCTCTTCAGCGACCAAAAACTTGCAATCGAAAGGAACGTGAATGTCAGTGAAAAAATTTTCCAAACTGGTGCCGTTCCTGAAGAATATCAGCCAAGTGGGATAAGGCATAGTAACCCAGGTGGAAACCTAACCTCAAAAAAAGATCCAGTTAAAGGAACCATAATCCCGAATATTTTATCCGGATTAAATCGTTAAAAACACTAATTATCTGATTAAAATTATATTATTTTTACAGATTATTTACGTCACGGAATTCATCCCTGGTGTCGTTATGGTCGTTCAAAATGACGAAAAGCGGTCGTTTGATGTGAAAATATTTCAGTCCTATCTGGAGGATGAGAAGATTAATATAATAATGAGACAATAATAAAATGGCGTTTATACTTACTCGATCTCGAAATGTATAAAAATCCATAATGGCCGTCCTGATGCGTTTATTAGCAGAAAGGAACATTTGAATATTCCTCAAAAGATGTCCGATTTCCAAACCTATATTTTGCAAAATAACGAGCCTCATATATTCCTTTAACCCTCGAGGGGTATTATTTATTTTTTGCGAGACTTTTACTCATTTTTATGTACGTACGACTGAAGTTGTTAAGACTACGCGATAATAAAAAAGACGGACATTTTGTTTAACAGCATAATTAATAAATTATTTCGTACAATACCTGAAGAGCCCAGAGGATCTGTTGCCCCATGCAGCAGAATAATGCATGTGTTATTAAAATAATTGTGAATACCATCGATAAGACCCTCGTAAACGTGTTGAGGTCTGATAAGAAGATTGCAACTTCCCCTCAATATGAAAAATCCCAAAAAAAGGACAAAGACAATGCGAGTGCCCCAAAATGTCATTTTATTCTCTCATTAGACTTCTAAATCGCAGACATTATTCTAGGGATTTTATCCTGCGGAAAACGTACGTTCAATTTCACTAAATGCATTGAAAAGAAAGAAAAAAAAATAAACGAACATGCAACAATTACGGAAGTCGGATATCAATCGTGGCTTCATGGATAAGAATAATCGATGGACGGATTTGATATCAATCTTATCTGCGATATCCATGAAATTATTATGTAAATGTACTCTGAAAATGACACCGAGTGGTAAAACAACTCCATGGACATTTTTAACGTTTAATTTAACCATGCGTTAACACTAACCGGAATTTCTTTTATTCATACCGTGAACAATTATCCTTGGGGAAAAATTCCGATCTCTTAAATTGTCCTTTTCCTCTCTTCTTGACAAATTGTCTTTTTCTTGGCTTTCAAGAATAATCTTCCTTAGTTCATTGTTACTCTGATAAGGCACTGAATGCAAAGAGAGTTTTTCTTGGAGTCGAAAATGTCAATAATGTTGATTTCAGATCAAACTACCATACACTGTTTACTTTTGCATTTATTAGTGGTTGAAGTAACGAATCAGACATGTCGGGAAATAAGTGGAGCAGAGGATCGATACAGGAAGCTTTATTGATTGTGCAATCAGGTTTCGCATCCCACGTGAATAATAAAATGTCAATAAACCACAAACTGGCCGCGATTGATCCACCGATAATAAAAATGTAATTCAAATGTAATTCGTAGTTATCGCAATGACTTTTCCACGTGAATAATAAAATGTCAATAAACCACAAACTGGCCGCGATTGATCCACCGATAATAAATGTAATTCAAATGTAACTCGTAGTTATCGCATTGACTTTTCCAACAGGGGAACTATAATTAAACCGAGAAAAAAGAAAATATAAACTAAAAGTTTAACAATAAGAACTCTTTGAAAAATTAAAACAACCGACATTCTAATTCTAACTACACTTTTTCCTTCCCCAATGTTATCAGTCCAATGATAAGAGCCGATACTTCACTTTCATCCGTGGAATACAAAATTGACGCGTAGGAAGAAACGGATTTCCCGCATACGTTATATGATAAGTTCTCGAAATAATCGATCAATCGATCACTAGTGATACCAATGATAGCGCAATATATATCGGAGCAAGTTACTTTACCTGTCTCTTCCTTTTCGCATCAATTACGAATCGTATGAATTTTCCTCGCTTTTCCTTCGTTTTTTTGTTACAAACAATGCACCGAAGAGAAAAAAAAAATAGTTGCTATTATCAATTTGTTTTTTTTTTCCTCTTCTCGCAGGCAATCCTTCAAGGATCGTTATAGAAGGCATGATAAGTTCTCGAAATAATCGATCAATCGATCACTAGTGATACCAATGATAGCGCAATACATAAAATCTTAGATACTAGCTGCGGTATTTAGTCCATCGCGATGATCGGAGCAAGTTACCTCATTTGTCTCTTCCTTTTCGCATCGATTACCAATGGTATGAATTTTCCTCACTTTTCCCTCGCTTTTTTGTTATAAAAAAAAAATTAAAAAAAATAATAACTTGCCATTATCGATTTCTTTTTTCCTTTTCTCGCAGGCAATCCTTCTTCAAGGATCGTCAATGGGTTCAATGCAGTTCCGGGCCAGTTTCCCTACATGGTTTCTTTACGTGCAGCCGGAACTTCTGCACATTACTGTGGTGGAAATTTCGTGACGACTCAACATGTCATAACAGCCGCACATTGTGTGTCTAAGAGAAAACCGGAAGACATCTTTGTCGTCTCCGGAAGTATTTCGAATTTCGAGGGAGGGGAAACACACGGGGTGAAGGAAATAAGAATGCATGAAAAATATATCGGAAAACCTGACAGCTGGAGGAACGATATAGCCATTTTGAAATTGAAGACACCTTTCAAGATCAGTGCACTTAGGCAGATCTTGGTGCTGCCAACGAGGAACATCACGACGGAAAATTGTATTTTCAGTGGCTGGGGCCGAACATACGTGAGTTTGCCTCAAGAATCAACGATTTAATAGCCTAACCCTTAAGGTGAAGTGAAACACGTCGATAGAGGAGATTTTTCTAAATGCCTACGTTGCCGACGTTGGTTTTTATATCGACAGCTGGGTCGAATTATATTGGGTATTGTACCAAATGGCATACTCCACCTGTCGTTTTCATACAATAAATATAAAGAAAGCCAAGTAAAACTCCAGAAATCCTCTGGATTCGTGCTTTCTGAGGCCCTAATTGGTTGCAGAGGGACCCCTTGCGCCATCTGTGATTTCTAGGTCAATTAAATTTTCACTCCGAGACCTCGTATTACCATCGTTTTGGTATACAAGCGCATACAACACTTTTTTTGTCTTTATCCCGTTCAAATGCGAGTTCATCGATTACCAGAGTGTTCTAAATTGTCGCAAAATTGTCCTGACCCTTTCGATTCTCATATCAGAGCCTCCGATAATTGTATATCGATCGAAATATGAGAGCTCAACATCATTCATCGATCTTAAGGTGAAGTGAAACATCGATGGACCCCCTGCGCCATCTGTGATTTCCAGGTGAATTAAATTTTCACTCCGAGACCTCGTATTACCATCGTTTTGGTATACAAGCGCATACAACACTTTTTTTGCCTGTATCCCGTTCAAATGCGAGTTTATCGATTACCAGAGTGTTCTAAATTGTCGCAAAATTGTCCTGACCCTTTCGATTCTCATATCAGAGCCTCCGATAATTGTATATTGAGCGAAATATGAGAGCTCGACGCCATTTTGGTTCTGGTCTGGACTGAGTTAAACAATTTTTTTTTTAAATCCAAATTTTGAATGTGTCAGGACAATTCTTAGATGATCAGGAGTGACGTGTCAATGTTTCGGACAGTTTGGTCTAATACCCTTAAAAAAAAAGTGTTGTATTGAAATCGACTGATTTGATTACAGTTAAAAAATTAAAAAAAAAAAATCCAAATTTTCAATGTGTCAGGACAATTCTTAGATGATCAGAATCGACTAATTTGATTACAGATAGATAACTTGAAGGGGGTTTCACTTCACCTTAATAGCCTAACTCTTAAAGGGTTGTGGAAGTGACGTCAGTGGGCAATATGAAACTTGCCCATTTCTTTTGTGTCGTTTCCAGTTCCCATCTACAAGTCTTCCCGCTCGGCTACAGTACTTCACCCTGAGTACTTTGAAAAACTCTGATTGCGCTAAAAAATGGAATCCAAGTGCCATTGCCGAATGTCATCTCTGCGCAGCTATCGTACACAATCAAGGAGTTTGCAATGTGATTATCCCATTTTCCTCCAACATTTATTTCATCCATTCGAATCAATTCCAATTTCTTTTTTCAGGGGGATTCTGGAAGTGCCTTGGTGTGCGATGGCGAACACCATGGAATCGCTTCTTGGGTGAATCCCTGTGCCAATGGGGTTTATCCTGACGTCTACACCAGGGTGTCTCTTTACCTCGATTGGATCCATAAGAGAATTCTCGATATAGATCATTGACCAATTTGCTCAAAAATCGTTAAATGTAACGAGATGCATTAATAAATCCTGAACTTACAGCACCATGAAGACTTTTCATTATAAATCTAACTTTATCATCATTAATCAAATCCTGAACTTACAGCACCATGAATTCGACTTTTCATTATAAATCTAACTTTATCATCATTAATCAAATCCTGAACTTACGGCACCATGAATTCGACTTTTCATTATAAATCTAACTTTATCATCATTAATCAAATCCTGAACTTACGGCACCATGAAGTCGACTTTTCATTATAAATCTAAGTTTATCATCATCAATCAAATCCTGAACTTACAGCACCATGAATTCGACTTTTCATTATAAATCTAAGTTTATCATCATCAATCAAATCCTGAACTTACAGCACCATGAATTCGACTTTTCATTATAAATCTAACTTTATCATATTACCCCGATATCAGCTATTAATTGATAATATCGTATCAATAGAAAAAAAGCTGTTTCTTTATTTAATAAATCCTGAACTTACAGCACCATGAATTCGACTTTTCATTATAAATCTAACTATATCATATGTGCCCATAATTATGAAAGTGGTCTAACTCATATATTTTTTGTTTCGAAATTACATTGAATTAATTTTGTTTGAAATAATATGGCGTGATATAACTGATAAACTCATTTTTTTTTTAATTTTGACTTAGACCACTTTCATAATTATGGGCACATATTACCCCAATATCAGCTATTAATTGATAATATCGTATCAGTAGAAAAAAAAAGCTGTTTCTTTGCGGAAAGTGCAAACATTTTTTAGGAAAGATTGATCGATCAGAGGGAAAAAAAAAGAAAAACATGCCAAAAGGCAAATCCAATCGACTCGCTGATTATACGCTAATTAAGGCCGAGCTCGTAAATTCGGAAACGAAGTTTAAGATTTCTCGACCCAACTGGCGTTCCAACTTCCAGCTGCATTTCGGAAGATCGCAGTCGAGAGCAATTGGAGTAAAGAAAATATACCAAGCCGGAAAAAGAAATGTACCTTCAAAGTCTGATCTTCTGTTTCCTCGCTTTCGAAATTATTCTGCAAAGTGGAGGTGAAAGCGTCAGCGAAAAAAATCGGAAAATGTCGAAAAGCTTTCAAGAGCCGCAAAGAACTGAAGATTACTCCAAGAGGCTTCTTAAAAAAGAAGGAATCCCAAAAAGGAACGGCGTGGATCGTTGGAAATATCAAAAAGTGATCTTTGGAGGATCTCTGAAAACTGGAAAGCAAATCCCGGGGAGGTTCAAGAAACGGCTATATTTTTTAAACAAGAAAATTAAGAGAGATCTCGACCGGTCTGAAGAAATTTTGGCGAATCCTGGTGCCGAGATTTTCGAAAAACCTAATGATTACTCAAACCTCGTCGATTTAGATTATCCAAGGTCCATAGAACTCAGGATCGAAAATGCCGACCTGGAAGGAAATTTAGGAGACGTCGAGACAGGTAATTGTAATTAATTGCCACTCCTCTACTCGAATAAAATTAATATTTAAACTCTGACATGATTTTAGAGGAGTACATCTCTCACTCTGATAAAGGACATGATGAGCTTCTGTACGACTTCCTGGAGGACGAATCCGACAAGAAGTCCTTCGAAGTAAAGAGTCACTTGTTCTCGCCCACCTCCGAGGAAACAATCGATTACTCGATCTCCGGGCCATTATCGACGTATCGCATAAAAAATCGTCATCAAAGCAACAGGTGGAAAAATCCCAGAAGGCGGAAACAAGAGCAAGAGGAGAGACAAACCCTGGAGATCTTGACATTTGTCGCAAAAGTACTGACCCAGACTATTCGGTCCATCGGAAACGAGACCAGCTCCAAAAATCAGGATCATCGAGAATCCACCCCAAGATATCCAAATTTGCATGCCAACCTGAGGAACAGAATAGAAAAAAGGGTCACCATAAAAAATGTTCCCCCAGTCGGAAACGGGAACAACAGTTGGGCAAAGTTCTCGATAGACCTGAACATCGAGTCAATGGACAGAAATCCAGGAAAGAGAATTACGGAAAAACGTGACATCGAGACCAGCTCCAAAAATCGGGATCATCATCTAAAATCCACCTCAGGATATCCAAATTTGCATGCCAACCTGAGGAACAAAGTGGAAAAAAGGATCACCATAAAAAATGTTCCCCCAGTCGGAAACGGGAACAATAGTTTGGCAAAGTTCTTGATAGACCTGAACATCGAGTCAATGGACAGAAATCCAGGAAAGAGAATTACGGAAAAACGTGACATCGATGACGTTTTCCAGAATCCCATGCTGGACGACATCACGGAAAAGCCAACAACAACAACGTCGTCATCGAGGATGAAAAGTGCTGATGAGGCTGAGCTGCAGGTTGCAAGATCGGATGAATCACCTCTTGGAAATGATTCGTTTAAGATTGAGAGGCATGATGATTTGGGCTATTCAGGGAAAATTGGAGTTGATGGGATAGGTCATGACGAACGATCTGATCTGATGGGAAGAGAAGTGGACCCCATCAGGCCGGTTAGGACGAAGATGGGGATCAATCGAACTTCTAATGACGAGGCGATGATGATTGACGTTGACGAACACGTCTCAATGGGACCCAGTCAAAGCTTGACCGAAGGTATTGACTTTAAAATGACGATTTGTAATCTGTACAGGGAAATCAGGTGAAAACCTGGTTGGTACTTTCGTTGCAACTGCCTCTTAATTGTTCGTTGTAATTAAAACTCGAGAATAAACGGTATGAACAAAAATTAGGAGAATGAATAGGTTAGGGTTGCGACGACTTTTGTTTACGTGCTCCCTCAAAGGTATTGACATTAAAATGACGATTTGTAATCTGTACAGGGAAATCAGGTGAAAACCTGGTTGATACTTTCGTTGCAACTGCCTCTTAATTGTTCGTTGTAATCAAAATTCGAGTATAAACGGTATGAACAAAAATTAGGAGAATGAATAGGTTAGGGTTGCAACGACTTTTGTTTACGTGCTCCCTCAAACATGATTTAAAACAAGAACCATGTTCTTGTTCGCAGAGTACCAGGAAAAATGGCACATCGAACTTCCGCCGTGGCCATTTTTACCGGGACCCATCACTTGCGATGATGGTAAGACTCATTTTGTAATAATTTATTAAAAGATCGTAACAACTTGAGTTTTCAACAAATCGTTTTTATAGGAGCTGTCAAAAGCGTCAAGTCGAGCTTTTATGCTGAGCCTAAAGAATTCAGACACGTGGTAAGTGACAATTGTGAAATTGGATCTGAAAAACAATGGAAATCGAAAATCTCTGCTCATATGTGTCCGTAATTATGAAAGTGGTCTAAGTCAAAATTGAAAAAAAAATGAGTTTATCAGTTATTTCACGCCACATTATTTCTAACGAAATTAATTCAATGTAATTTCGAAACAAAAAATATATGACTTAGACCACTTTCATAATTATGGGCTCATATGTGCCCATAATTATGAAAGTGGTCTAAGTCAAAATTGAAAAAAAAAATGAGTTTATCAGTTATTTCACGCCATATTATTTCAAACGAAATTAATTCAATGTAATTTCGAAACAAAAAATATATGACAGACCACTTTCATAATTATGGGCTCATATGTGTTCGTAATTATGAAAGTGGTCTAAGTTAAAATTGAAAAAAAAAATGAGTTTATCAGTTATTTCACGCCACATTATTTCAAACAAAATTAATTCAATGTAATTTCGAAAGAAAAAATATATGACTTAGACCACTTTCATAATTATGGGCACATATTTTGTGAATAAAACTCAGAAATAAAAATTATAATCCTTCGAATGTCAGCCTCAAATGCCAGTCAAGAACGATGATCTTGTTCGGGACGTCTTCTAACTTGTTTCTACGTCTTGACGAGATTGAAAAGTCATTTAACCAACATTTTCCACAGGTTTCCGTGCAATACCAATTCTCCCCCGAACGACCCCCCGAGCACATTTGTGCAGGAGTTATTTACGGCCCTAAACATGTTCTTGTTGCTGCACACTGCATACACAATTTGTGTGACGACTACGGTTTGATGGTCACCCAAACGAACAATTTATGCGAGAAGAACGGATTTGTCAACGTGAAGGAAGTCATCGAAAATGAGTTCTACGACGAGGAATTCAGATCTAACGACATCGCCATTCTCAAAGTACGACCTTATTTAATTTTTATAAAATCCCACAAACACCCGGGAACGTTGTGTTCACTTCCACACAAATTTGTTGTGTTTCTTTAAGCTGGAAAACGAAGTCACTCCCACCGCCAAACTTCCTGATCTGTCTTCCGAAGGAAACCAGGGATATTTCTTCTCGATCGGATGGCGAGAATTATTGGTAAAACAATAGGGAATTATTTAAAACAAAGGAGTGACTTAACATGCAAATGAGTTAATCCATGTTTACAGTGGAATAGATTTAAGAGGAACGCCACCATGCTGCTGCAGAAGTTCCCCATGGTGAGGCATCCCAGGAAGACGAAGGAAAAACCGGGAACTCTTCACATAGCTCCTGGGAAATTGGATTTAACTGGGACATCTAGAGTGAATATTCTTTATTTATGCTCTACTTCAATATTTCCCCATTTAATTCGATTTTTATTATATTTTTAGGGCAACGATGGAGGCATACTTATCAACCTCAAAGGACAACTTGTTGGGCTGCAATCTTCTGTGATTACTAAATCCGAGGGCTATGAGGTTTACACCAGGATTAGAAGTTACCTCAACTGGATTAACGTCGCGATTAGAAACGGCAATCACAATTCCAGCTGATACTCTGACAAAATGTACAAATTGTTATCACGGAACGAATATGAAACTGTAATTACTCCATTAAAGGATGCAATTAACCTCTGGCGATCGGTAATCCAGCTTCGGCAATTAATTAACGATTTCATATGCAGAACGACAGGATTTGAAACCAGAAATTTTGCACAAATCAACCTGAACAGTTCTTTTCAAAAATGAAAAGATATCCATTATTGCTGCTGCTTTTTACGGTGAAAAGAAGTTCAGCGAACGGTAGGAATGATTTTAGATTTTTTAATGTGGCAATTAAGGTAATGTAGAAGTTTATTTATTTCTCTTCGAACTAAGTGCACCAAATCGTGTGCCTTAAATTTTAAGTTCTAGACGGAAACTTCTCTAGAAAAAAAAAAAACATCCTCGTGTATTACAGAAGCTGAAATGGCGTTTAATCATCAACGAAATTCTCTTTCTTCAATTTTGGAGAAGAATAATCAAATGGAAGAAAAAACCTCTACGGAACAAATACACTCGACAATTTCCAGTTCCAACCCGTACAAAACAAATTTGTTGAGTTACTTGTTTACCGACAAGTGGCATCAACAAAAGAACTTCAGGTGGCCGTTTGTAAAAATCAGAAAAGATTCCCTAGGAAAATTGAAAATAAGAAGATTCGGCATGAACTAACAATAAAGGAGTGTCGAGCGTGAAGCTTAAAATAATTAAGAACGAATGAAAAAATTCCCCGATGAAGTCATGCCATAATTGTCATTGCAATTTCGAAAGGCTGCACACGCGATATAAATAATTAAGCAATTTACGATAATAATGAGGACAATTTCCTTTCACCGGAAAGGAGTGAAGAAAAGTGGCATTCAATTTCCCGGCACCTTCTTATCGGTACGAAGGTTCAAGATAGCAAAAAAATTGCAGTCATTACGATCGATTAAAATAATTAAATAGAAAATTCGTCGGTATCTAAAATTCACGTTTTTAGCGTACATCGAAAATGACATATCGTTGGCCCTGAAATTCACTTGAGCTACTTGCGCATTGTTTCCTGGATAGTTATACAACCCATTGCGCTACTTGTACGGTGCAAGACTCGTGATAAGAAAACACGTCACCAGGTTAATAGAGGACATACATGAATATTTCACTGATGTCTTGTTTAATGACACCTGAATGTATGGTGTAATTCATGGTACTCAAAAATCTCGCACATCTTGCAATTATGCCAATAATTAATTTTATTAAACTGCAGTTAAAAAATCACTCCACCTACAATTACTACCCACGTAACAATTTCAACACTATCTACGTATAAATATTTATATGTACGCGCATTTACACAGTCATTATTCCAACACGATAATTCCAAATAAATAGTCTATAGTTTACATTTGCGGGGACATGAGATTGCCCAAAATTATTTCCAGCAATTATTATTGCCGTCATCAGGACATTTAATTTAAAATGCTCATTACGATATGCTCGCCACGATACGTTAAAAAAAAAAGGAGAAAAAAAAATAGGCGACTGATAAAATCCGAGGAAAAGGTGGAGGGGCCGAAGTTTAAAACTCTACCCTCGGCTTTGTATTTCTCGTATTTGTTCCCGAACTGTGGACAAAGTCGTACGATATTAATTGTTAAATATGGCCACCTTTAAATACGCCTTAGTGATTGTATTGATAACTGCTGCCACTTGGATTTGTAATGCCGAAGGACGAAGCACAAGTTTGCCGGAACAGAATGAAGGAAGTAATCCAGATCAAGGAAAGGAGTTGGACCAATTGATGGAGAAGTTTCGAAACGGTCAGTACTTGTAATCAAATTAATCGAGCCGATCGGTATGAAGGCATCATTAATTGAAAGGCTAGAAAATCCTAACAATGACAATTGATTAATTTCTAATCGACTCTATGACACTGTCATGGAAATTTCGGAAATTAAGAGACATTGTTAGGGTATTTGTACATGTACTTGAAATTAAGAGACATTGTTAGAGTATTTGTACATGTACTTAAGGGGTGCAATGGAATAAATAATAAAAATAACGCTGTTATTCTTGAGATTGCTGCTATCAAAATTTTTTTAACACTGTCATAGAACTTTCGGAAATTAAGAGACATTGTTGGAGTATTTGTACATGTACTTGAAATTAAGAGACATTGTTAGACTATTTGTACATGTACTTAAGGGGTGCAATGGAATAAATAATAAAAATAACGCTGTTATTCTTGAGATTGCTGCTATCAAAAATTTTTTAACACTGTCATAGAACTTTCGGAAATTAAGAGACATTGTTGGAGTATTTGTACATGTACTTGAAATTAAGAGACATTGTTAGACTATTTGTACATGTACTTAAGGGGCGCAATGGAATAAATAATAAAAATAACGCTGTTATTCTTGCGATTGCTGCTATCAAAATTTTTTTAACCCCCTTATGAATGATTTAAAACCCCCTTAATGATGTTGCACCTCATTTTATACATTTTTTAATTCCTTCCTTTCAGGAATGTCAACCATGGGTATTTCTATACCTTCAGGAATGCAACCTTCGAAAGTCATACACTCCATGGAAAAAGTACTCTTATCAATTCCCTCTGATATGATGCAGTTCGTTGTGTCGGTCGTCAAATTCGTAATTCAACTGCCAATGAAGATCATGAAAAACGTCATAAAAGTTCCCGTGAAATTGGTAGGCAGTAAGAAATTACCATTTCTAAAAGTACAATTTTTTAAATAATATTTAGCACAATTAAGGTGATATGAAAGGGTCTATAAATACATATATATACACATAAACTTGAAATTTTCAAACTTTTCTCCATTCGGAGGAAAGGTTCATAAACGAAACTTCTCGGACACTTTCAAATCGCCTTAAAGAAGAAATTGCTTCGAATAATAATTTTATTTTTCAGGTATCTTGACGCAGATAGGAAGGCCTCTCTTGGAGAATGTCGCCATTAACATTATGAACTTCATGACTCCAATTTTATGGCGCTTCTTCACGTCCGCCATTTTGCCAAATTTGGACAAATTCGGGATGCTTTTGGTGGACAACCACGTATTACCAGGAGAAGTATCGACGATTATCAAAAATTTTCACATGTTGTACACGCTGGCGCGAGGATTTTCATTCCTGATCTAAATATCTATTTTTTTTTCATTTCTGCCTCCACTTCAACATACAGAATTTTGCGTAATCGAAATTGTTTTTGACTTTGTATCCAATTTGGCGTAATATCAATTTTCGGCGTAATCGAAGTTTTCCGTTTTCGCGTACTCGGTGCTTCAACTTTTAAACGCGTTTTGAAAATGAAACTTTAATGAAAACAATTAAAGTAGAGAATAATCGGCGACATACCGACGAACATATATATTTATTATGGAATGTATTTATTGTACACATGTATTTATTATGAATTAAAGTGTACCACACGCTGCAAGCTTTTCTCAAATTACTTTAAAGAAATGGACACGATGTTTCATCGTTTCATAACCTTATAGCCTTTACCAAATAGGAATATCTTAAATAAAAAAAACATGGGGGGTTTAGGAGCGTTGAAAGAGTTGAAAAACAAACCCATGAAATTTGTTTAAGAGGAACACCGTTTATTGGACTCAGAAATACAGTCAGTCCCTAAAAATGGCGACACATGGAAAGTCAACTAAAAAAAAAAACAAAATTTTCTCTCAACATGAGGATGCTGATTTGAGTATGAAAATAAACATTTTATACAGACATTTCGAGTCGCTTTTATTTATTTTTCACATCGAACATCCCTGATGGTCACATCCTAACCTCAAAATTAGGTCTAAGTGGCCTTAACCCTTCCGAAAATGCTGTTTAAAATGGGACTGACAACGTCATTATCAACGTCATTAACACTGGACATAATTAATTTCTTTACAAACGTAGGCAAGAAGAATGAGAGTATGAAAATAAACATTTTGTACAAACATTTCTTGTCGCTTTTATTTATTTTTGCACATCAAACATCCCTGATGGTCACATCCTAACCTCAAAATTAGGAGATCTAAGTGGCCTTAACCCTTCCGAAAATGCTTTTTAAAATGGGACTGACAACGTCATTAACACTGGACATAATTAATTTCTTTACAAACGTAGACAAGAAGAATGAGAGTATGAAAATAAACATTTTGTACAAACATTTCTTGTCGCTTTTATTTATTTTTCACATCGAACATCCCTGATGGTCACATCCTAACCTCAAAATTAGGAAGTCTAAGTGACCTTAAGCCTTCCGAAAATGCTGTTTAAAATGGGACTGACAACGTCATTATCAACGTCATTAACACTGGACATAATTAATTTCTTTACAAACGTAGGCAAGAAGAATGAGAGTATGAAAATAAACATTTTGTACAAACATTTCTTGTCGCTTTTATTTATTTTTGCACATCAAACATCCCTGATGGTCACATCCTAACCTCAAAATTAGGTCTAAGTGGCCTTAAGTCTTCCGAAAATGCTTTTTAAAATGGAACTGAAAACCTCATTATCAACGTCATTAACACTGGACACAATTAATTTCTTTACAAACATAGGCAAGAAGAATGAGAGTATGAAAATAAACATTTTGTACAAACATTTCTTGTCGCTTTTATTTATTTTTGCACATTAAACATCCCTGATGATCACATCCTAACCTCAAAAGTAGGAGATCTAAGTGGCCTTGAGTCTTCCGAAAATGCTTTTTAAAATGGAACTGACAACCTCATTATCAACGTCATTAACACTGGACACAATTAATTTCTTTACAAACGTAGGCAAGAAGAATGAGAGTATGAAAACAAACATTTTGTACAAACATTTCTTGTCGCTTTTATTTATTTTTGCACATCAAACATCCCTGATGGTCACATCCTAACCTCAAAATTAGGTCTAAGTGGCCTTAACCCTTCCGAAAATGCTTTTTAAAATGGAACTGACAACCTCATTATCAACGTCATTAACCCTGGACATAATTAATTTCTTTACAAACGTAGGCAAAGAAGGAATCGAGTCGAGGATCGAATTTAACAATGTTTGTATCCCGCCACTCTGTTCGAGTCCTGTACAAACGAGTCCATTTTCCGTGCTGATTTCGCAGGGAAGAATTCCGTCGAAAAATCGTGATACCGCCCCATGGGTAATCCTTTGCATTGTCACTATCAATTCAATTATCAAGTTTATCAAAATCGCCAGATATTCTCCAACGATTGGTACCACTCCGACTCTCGATGTGATGGAAGTGACAATTCCGTGTGTGTCACCATTATAGTCCCCTCTATCAGCTGGGAAGAAATAGTGGCACTATCAGAGCGATATTAACAAAAGCCCAATGAATGAACAATTAATAAAAATCCAGTTAAGGTGAGAGAAAAAATCAGGAACTTCGTACTCACTATTTGCAGCATTGACGGCCGCAATTGTAACGACCAGCCCCAAGATCAAAGTATGACTCGTGTGTACCTTCATTGTTCCGCAAACTCAAGAATGCGTGGCGGCACTATGGAATACAGGGTACCTCGACAACCCCTTATAAACATATCGTAAACATATGTAAAATTCATCCTCTAATCAGCAAGAAACGTCAGCACACACAAACGCGAGTTTTCCAGCCGGTAAAAAGTGCCGATGTCTCGGTATCTACCTATGAGACACAACTATACCCACCACTATTGCGACTATATCAGTCACCTTGTGATTTTTTGCATCTATTGTGCAATCCATATTCCCGATTTTCTACATGTTCTCATTCTTCGCCGAAACTCGGTGCGACATTTCTAGTGACGCAAATGCCACCGTAATTAAGGAAGTCGAAGATGATTCAAAAGTTATTGCAATTTTTATCGATACAATCACTATATTTTATAACAAAACGGCATTGATAATTACAAGGTAGAAAATGGCAGAGTTATTTTTTATCGCAAGAGCATAGAATTTTTTAGGAAACTTGAAGCACCTTCTGGTGATCATTTTATTATATTCGAATAATTCGATGGAATAAACAAAGACGATAAATGACGTAAAAAATTGATAAAAGCTGCAGGATTGCGATATCGTAACGCGTTCATTAAACAGTGCTCTGCCGTACCGATTGGAGATATTTAAAAAAAAATGAAATTCGAAACATGCTCGGTATCGAATCGATGCGATATCGATAAAGGACTCTAATTAATTGGATATATGAAAATTGTTAAATAACACGAAGGAACTATTTTATTTAACAACAGGCGGTATAGTTTGGGAATTACTTCACCGACCGCGTCGACCATTTTCCTGTAGAGTAAAAGTATTAACTGTTGATAAATACGAAAACTGTTTGTTATAGATACTTTTTTAATACTAAATGACGCTGCTAAATAATTATCATAGAGTACTTTGTTCATCGTCGTAACATTCGGGTATGACGCGGTAACTCATTACCTCAGGTGAGTAATGTTAATGAGAATTTGTCCGAAAACTGTTTGTTATAGATACTTTTTTAATACCAAATGACGCTATTAAATAATTATCATAGAGTACTTTGCTCATCGTCATGACACTCGGGTATGACGCGATAACTCGTTACCTCAGGTGAGTAATCCTTAATAAGCGTTTGTCCGAAAACTGTTTGTTATAGATACTTTTTTAATACCAAATGACGCTATTAAATAATTATCATAGAGTACTTTGCTCATCGTGGTGACACTCGGATATGACGCGATAACTCATTACCTCAAGTGAGTAATCCTTAAAGAGCGTTTGTCCGAAAACTTTTTTTTATAGAGATTTTTTTAATACCAAACGACGCTGCTAAATAATTATCATAGATACTTTTTTAATACCAAACAACGCTACTAAATAATTATCATAGAGTACTTTGCTCATTGTGGTGACACTCGGGTATGACGCGATAACTCATTACCTCAGGTGAGTAATCCTTAATGAGAATTTGTCCGAAAACTTTTTTTTATAGATATTTTTTAATACCAAACGACGCTGCTAAATAATTATCATAGATACTTTTTTAATACCAAACGACGCTACTAAATAATTATCATAGATACTTTTTTAATACCAAACGACGCTACTAAATAATTATCATAGAGTACTTTGCTCATCGTGGTGACACTCGGGTATGACGCGATAACTCGTTACCTCAGGTGAGTAATCTTAATGAGCGTTTGTCCGAAAACTTTTTTTTATAGATATTTTTTAATACCAAACGACGCTACTAAATAATTAACATAGATACTTTTTTAATAACAAACGACGCTACTAAATAATTATCATAGAGTACTTTGCTCATCGTGGTGACACTCGGTTATGACGCGATAACTCGTTACCTCAGGTGAGTAATCTTAACGAGCGTTTGTCATCTCTAGAGAAATCTCTCGACAGTTCTTCATAAGCAACGAGACAAACGGTGTCTTGACTCGAGCATCTCGTATTCACTTTCAACGGTGCTTAGCAAGTGTTCGTCCTCTACCGACTACGCAATTACTCGTTAAATAGTGCATTACGACATCGGTAACCGCCACCTTTTCTTCATTCGTGAGTGAGCCAACTTGTCACATCGCTGGAATTTCCACCGCTGGGCCATTTAAGGTGAAGTGAAACCCCCTTCAAATCAGTCCCAATATAATTCGATATAGCTGTCAATATAAAAACAAACGTCGGCAACGTAGGCATTTAGAAAAATCTTCTTCATCGACGTTGACCAAGTTCCTCGACGTGTTTCACTCCACCTTAACGATGAAAAGAAAATTCTAGTTGTTACTCCTTTTATTTCTAAAGCCCTAACTTGACATCGACTACTATAAAATACTATTAAAAAATTTTTTCAAAAAATCCAAATTTTAAATGTGTCAGGACAATTCTTAGATGATCAGGAGTGATGTGTCAAAGGTCTAGTACCCTTAAAAAAAAGTGTTGTATTCGAATCGACTAATTTGATTACAGTTAAAAAATTTTTAAAAAAATCCAAATTTTGAATGTGTCAGGACAATTCTTAGATGATCAGTTGTGACGTGTCAAAGTTTCGGACAGTTTGCTCTAATACCCTTAAAAAAATGTGTTGTTTTCGAATCGACTAAAATTTGAAGGGGGTTTCACTTCACCTTAACGATGAAAAGAAAATCCTAGTTATTACTCCTTTTATTTCTAAAGACCTAACTTGACATCGACTACTATCAGAAATGAGTTGGGAAATTGTTCACGAGCAGGATCGCAAGATCGCAGGATCGCAGGATCGCAGGATCGCAGGATCCTGTGCAACCCCTTATAGGGGATGAAGACGGCTAACGCTATTCTAGTTATTACTCCTTTTATTTCTAAAGACCTAACTTGACATCGACTACTATCAGAAATGAGTTGGGGGATTGTTCACGAGCAGGATCGCAGGATCGCAGGATCCTGTACAACCCCTTATGGGGGATGAAGACGACTAACGCACTTGCCAAGCGAACCGATGCTTCGAACCCCTGTATCTCCTCTGAAAAAAATCCCAACCACTCGCTCGAGGGCTCAATTTAAAGAGAAAAACCTTCTCCGTCGAGCTACGGTGGTCGCGGTTGGGAAAAAAATTCACCGGAGGCTGGGCAGCCGGAAAACCGGCTGAAAAAGTCACCGAAGGGTAGCATGGGACGCGATCGCGCGACCCTGCCCATGAGCGATCCTCCACCTGATTTCAATTTGAAGATGTACTTCGATTTCTGCTACTATCCCACGGTATCGACATGAAACGGCTCGTTGATCGATCGATTTTACAAAATGGACTCGATCCTCCATGTCGGAGTCACTGGCCCGTGCAAAGCGCGGACGAACGAACTCATGAAGACTGGACAGGAAATTGCAAGTGAATTGATTCGACAAACCGTGAAAGCACCCGCTAATCGACAGTTTAACGATGTCGACGCATTTCAAAAATCATCCAACAAATCTGAGAAAAATTGAAATTTCACGAGGGTAAGGACCTTCCTCCTATCCTCCATATTCACGTTGTAAAGTTTCAAACTATTCGGCACACCCAGTTTCGTAAAAGAGAGCTTTGACGACACTTTCGCGTCCCCTTAAGGTGAAGTGAAACCCCCTTCAAATCAGTCGATTCGAATACAACACTTTTTTTTAAGGATATTAGACCAAACTGTCCGAAACTTTGACGCGTCACTCCTGATCATCTAAGAATTGTCCTGACACATTTAAAATTTGGATTTTTGGAAACAATTTTTTAACTGTAATCAAATTAGTCGATTCGAATACAACACTTTTTTTTAAGGGTATTAGACCAAACTGTCCGAAACTTTGACGCATCACGCCTGATCATCTAAGAATTGTCCTGGCGCATTCAAAATTTGGATTTTTGAGAAAAATTGTTTAACTGTAATCAAATTAGTCGATTCGAATACCACACTTTTTTTTAAGGGTATTAGACCAAACTGTCCGAAACTTTGACGCATCACGCCTGATCATCTAAGCATTGTCCTGACGCATTCAAAATTTTGATTTTTTTTTTTAATTTTTTAACTGTAATCAAATTAGTCGATTCGAATACCACACTTTTTTTTAAGGGTATTAGAGCAAACTGTCCGAAACTTTGACACATCACTCCTGATCATCTAGGAATTGTCCTGACACATTCAAAATTTGGATTTTTGGAAAAAATTGTTTAACTGTAATCAAATTAGTCGATTCGAATACCACACTTTTTTTTAAGGCAAACTGTCCGAAACTTTGACACATCACTCCTGATCATCTAGGAATTGTCCTGACACATTCAAAATTTGGATTTTTGGAAAAAATTGTTTAACTGTAATCAAATTAGTCGATTCGAATACCACACTTTTTTTTAAGGGTATTAGAGCAAACTGTCCGAAACTTTGACGCATCACGCCTGATCATCTAAGAATTGTCCTGACACATTTAAAATTTGGATTTTTGGAAAAAATTTTTTAACTGTAATCAAATTAGTCGATTCGAATACAACACTTTTTTTTAAGGGTATTAGACCAAACTGTCCGAAACTTTGACGCATCACTCTTGATCATCTAGGAATTGTCCTGACACATTCAACATTTGGATTTTTTCTTTTAATTTTTTAACAGCCCAGAACCAAAATGGCGTCGAGCTCTCATATTTCGATCAATATCTGTTTAAAGAAGGAAAATCGCCATTGATAACTGGTCATGAATTATCAAACGTCGATGCAAACAACTCGTTTTACGTAACGACAAGGACGCAATAGTTCCAGGGATTCTAGATTCTCGTTAGATACCATAACGGCGATGCACGGTGCCACACCATTTTGTCATGCAAATGGAGTTATCTAGAGCTGATAAGCCTCAATGTCGCGTTAGAACATCCTAACCTCATTTTCCTACCGAGGTTCGAAGACCTTCCAGGATTCGCGATTACCGCGAAAGATGTGGAACAGCTTTTGTTACTCGATGCTTCTTTGTCGACGCATCGCTGCACTCGGCATGCATCGATTAATCGCATCCCCTCCGATAACGAGCAAAGATACCCGATAACGCGTTAACGTTCGCATAACCTTGAATCTTGAACATCGGAGTTGTACTTGTTTCAAGGCATCATAACTCTAATCGGTGCACCGTGTCACGGTTCCTGCATTTACCTCGGAACTCGGTATTACGTTGCACAGATGCAATTGTGATAAGCGCAGAGTGCATCGGAATGTCAAGGCGAACCATGGGCAACTATTTACTTGATTTGGGAATTTTCTTTTTAATTTTGAGGCCTGCTTCTCTGTCAATTTTGAAAATTTCCACATTTTTTGTGCAGATTTTTTGCACGGATGCAATTGTGATAAGCGCAGAGTGCATCGAAATGTCAGGGCTAACCATGGGGAACTATTTCCTTGATTTCGGAATTTTCTTTTTCAATTTTGGGGCCTGCTTCGCTGTCAATTTTGAAAATTTCCACATTTTTTGTACAGATGCAATTGTGATAAGTGCTAAGTGCATCGGAATGTCAAGGCGAACCATGGGCAACTATTTACTTGATTTGGGAATTTTCTTTTTAATTTTGAGGCCTGCTTCCCTGTCAATTTTGAAAATTTCCACATTTTTTGTACAGATGCAATTGTGATAAGCGCAGAGTGCATCGGAATGTCAAGGCTAACCATGAGGTACTATTTACTTGATTTCGGAATTTTCTTTTTGAATTTTGAAGCCTGCTTCTCTGTCAATTTTGAAAATTTCCACATTTTTTGTGCAGATTTTTTGCACGGATGCAATTGTGATAAGCGCAGAATGCATCGAAATGTCAAGGCGAACCATGGGCAACTATTTACTTGATTTGGGAATTTTCTTTTTGAATTTTGAGGCCTGCTTCTCTGTCAATTTTGAAAATTTCCACATTTTTTGTGCACATGCAATTGTGATAAGCGCAGAGTGCATCGGAATGTCAAGGCAAACCATGGGCAACTATTTACTTGATTTGGGAATTTTCTTTTTGAATTTTGGGGCCTGCTTCTCTGTCAATTTTGAAAATTTCCACATTTTTTCGGGGTGGGAATGACTGTTTGCGAATCGACATCAAATTGCATATGCTGCATTGATAGGGAAGAAAATTTCATACGTAATTAGTGTTATTATTAGAGGACAAATGAATTTCTATCTGTGGAATTTACAATGCGCGATAGAACTCCCGCATTTCTTATCAGTCTCCACTTTTCCTTGCTCAATACCTTGCCACATTTTGCTGCACATTGACCCGGATAGATTGCAGCACTTTCTCGACGGATTTGTGCAATTGTTCCGAAAACTGAGGGAATAAAAAATTGCATAACGACCCCCACGAACGTGAGCTTCACAAAGCTGTGCAACTTATTAGCATTGTTCTCGCCCAAGTCTGATAAGTGAAGACTCGTTATCAGCCTCGAGCTAAAATTCGGTATACGTTAAAACGGTCAACAAAATAGGACGAGGATTAACCGTGTCAGAAAATCCCTTTCAGACCGAAGACGCGGTTAATTTTTTATTATATAATTAATTAAAAAATATATAATTAATTTTAACAAATTACATCCGACCGTAACAAATTGCGACAAAGGAAAGTGAATTAAGAAATCAACCCAAGGGTAATAACGCCGATATCGAAGTCGTCGGTTTTGCAATCTGCAATTTGCTTTCACGTGCCCAGACCCTAAGACACTCATAAAGCCCCATTGAAAATGTATCATTACTCCGGTATTGAAAATATGTCATTACTTTTCTGTCCTCATAATTTCCGCTCCTCTTCAACAATCCGTGAAATCGACAGCCTTGAATTCCCATTGACACACATAATCATCCGTGCACTTCTAAAAGATCTTTAAATATAAGTACAAGTACATGCACCTATATTTATCAAACCGAGTTATATTTAGTAAACGTTAAATATACAATTATCGTTTAGAAATCCTCAAGTAACGCTTGCGCAATGCAGAAAAAAAAAAGGAAAAAAAAGGTCTGCAGCTTCTCATCGACTTCCCAGAGTTCAAGGAAACGTTTCGCAATTTCCTGGTAGAAGGCCTCACCTTTTTCTAATTATCGATTACAGGCAATGTCTGAGTTGACGGTGGTTAATTATAAATAAATCATGTTCATACCTCCCGCGAAAACAATATCTCGCGACCATATTTCAACAGATTTCGGTTATCAGAATTTTTTGGTAACGTTAATCGGACTTTTTCATTAATCATAACTAGTTAACATTAACCGAATTTTTGTTTAGTGCCCTATAAACATTTTTTCTGTTGGCATACAAACTGCTGTTTGTATAGATGTAACATAACAGACAATTTCGCGACCATATTCCAACAGATTTCGGTTATCAGAATTTTTTGGTAACGTTAATCAGACTTTTTCATTAATCATAACTAGTTAACATTAACCGAATTTATGTTTAGTGCCCTATACAAATTTTTTCTGTTAGCATACAAACTGCTCTTTGTATAGATGTAACATAACAGACAATAGTTCGAAGTCGTTTTTACGCACGACTTTGGATTCGTGTCAACGAAATGACAAATGTGAAATCGGACTTTTTCATTAATCATAACTATTTAACATTAACCGAATTTTTGTTTAGTGCCCTATAAACATTTTTCCTGTTACCATACAAACTGCTGTTTGTATAGATGTAACATAACAGATAATTTCGCGACCATATTCCAACAGATTTCGGTTATCAGAATTTTCTGCTCACGTTAATCGGACTTTCTCATTAATCATAACTAATTAACATTAACCGAATTTTCGTTTAGTGCCCTATAAACATTTTTTCTGTTAGCATACAAACTGCTGTTTGTATAGATGTAACATAACAGACAATCGTTCTTACGCACGACTTTGGATTCGTGTCAACGAAATGACAAATGTGAGTGCGTGGCGGTCGTGCGTATGTCTTCCATGTGTTTGTGCATATGTTCTTACATGTGTCTGTGGGTATGCCCGTACGTGGCTTGTCTGTTTTACGACAATGCAGTCAGATATATAGAGTTTTGCTCACATCCCGTTCTGTCAGTTGGTCCGCACCTCATAGGTGACTCCGGTTCGCGTTCGACGATTTTTTAATCCGCACATAATACGCACCTGTCATCAAATTAAATTATTTTTAGGTAAACGAGTGTCTAAATTAAACGTCGCATAAAAAAAACGCGTACTTAAACGGTGCTAAACAAATACTATTCCCATATCCTTTATGCGTTAACTTCAACTCAAACGAAAAATCGATTATGAAAAATGAATCTGAAATTTCCTTTCGAAAAACTAAACTCGACTTTCTACTTTCATGCTTTGACTTTTGCTCTTCCTGAAAAAAAAAAAAAAATGAAATCGTTGCATATTTTCAGGTAAAAGTAGAATGTGGATTTGTCGATTTTTTTATTTCGCACAGAATACGCACCTGTCATCAAATTAAATTATTTTTAGGTAAACGAGTGTCTAAATTAAACGTCGCATAAAAAAAACGCGTACTTAAACGGTGCTAAACAAATACTATTCCCATATCCTTTATGCGTTAACTTCAACTCAAACGAAAAATCGATTATGAAAAATGAATCTGAAATTTCCTTTCGAAAAACTAAACTCGACTTTCTACTTTCATGCTTTGACTTTTGCTCTTCCTGAAAAAAAAAAAAAAATGAAATCGTTGCATATTTTCAGGTAAAAGTAGAATGTAGATTTGTCAAGAGAACGCGGATGTCTCTTCTATTATCTTCCTCAGAAAGTGCAGACCACTTAAAATATTAATACGTGGAAAAAGGGTTATCTACAATGTGGACGTTTACTAGTGCCGTAATTAGAATTACCATTACAATGGGGATTTGTCAAGGCAGAACGTGACGTTTTTTCTCTGACACTTTTAACCAGAAATATGACAAGAACGCGTTTAACAAACAGTTAAAATGACAAAAATTCAGGATATAAACATGGAATTATAAATAAACAATTAATTCAATCGTAATTTTTTTCAGGTGGAGGAATTACTCACAGAAAATCTGATGCTCCGCAATTTTAAACTTCAATGAGAGATCTTTCCAAGACTCGAGTTAATGTACATCGACAAGTACATTCGCGAAGTTCAATTATAAACAAACAATTAATCCAATCGTAATTTTTTTCAGGTGGAGGAATTATTCACAGAAAATCTGATGCTCTTCAAGCCGCAATTTTAAACTTCGATGAGAGATCTTTTCAAGACTCGAGTTAATGTACATCGACAAGTACATTTTCGAGGGCGAATAAATGGCTTCTGAGGAATTATTTACACAATTGCGGAATCATCTAACTGCGAGATGTTAATTGAAAACGAGAATCTGGTCGACTTTAAATCGATCCATGTTATACGACACTTGAGAAACGAATTAACGTGCCTTAATATGGTGAGACATAAAACCACAAAGAAGGAAAAGTGACCCCAAATTGCATTTCCAAAATCCAAAAAGATATTTCGGACCGACCCGGAATCTACATACAAAAATGTGGAAAGTCATTTGTTTCATTGGAACAATTTTCCTCGGCAACATTATCCATCCAGGTAATTATACTCGAGCGAAAAATGTTTTTTGCGACACTTCTTGCACTTCTAAAAATAAGTTCAAGTGAAAATTGCCATTAAACATGGAAACATTATTAACGTTTATCTCTTAAACATCTCAAGGCTTGCTATTATCTTGTACCCTGAATTTAAAAAAGCACTTTAACAACCAGAAGTCGGGGAAATAAATTCTTTTGTGCATATACGACGCGATAATTGCAATCCGAAAGGATGAGTCAACTACAAACAAGGACGACAAGTAATTGTATCCGACTAATCCTCCAAGAAATACTATTTTTAGTGTCGCCTCGATTTTCTAAATCATAATTCCAGCGTCGTCGTAATGAAAAATAAAAATAAGCAATATTCAGCGAGGAATAAATAGGAAATAAGCATTGTAATAAAAAAATAAAAAAACGCGTTAAAAATTAATTTCAGGATGGTGTCAAAATTGTCGAGACAAAGCGTGGGAAAAAGTGAGCGGAATGAGGCCAGAATCAATAAATTCGAGTGAAATTCTACACAGTGGAATGGATTCCCAAGGGATTGTTAGTACGTGCTTCAGAAAGTAAGTCGCGAAATAAATGTGCATTGTAAATTTAATTCCCCGAAATATCCTCCAAATATTAAAAAATAAAATAAAATAAATTTCCAGATGTAAAAGCACAAATTGCTCGGCATTTATAATCGATCTGAAAAGAAGCGGCTGCTTCAGCATTGTTCCAAATAGCGAGGAATTCGTCCCAGAAGCTAACATAACATTTTACCACATAATCTGCCTTAAAGGTAAGCGAAGAAATCCTAATGACAAAAACGTAACATTTTAATGCAATTTTATTTTTATACAGTTCCGCCGATTTGCAGTCATTCAAGATTGTGGCAAGTCGAGAGGACGTTGGGAGCAATTTTGATTGACACATCTACAGAGTGGATGCCACAAATTATGACAAGACGACAGTGCTACGAAAAGTGCATAGAAGAGGGTGAGCCAGGACTTTAACCTTACGATGATGTGAAAGTAAATCCGATAATAAATTTTATGAGTCCGATAATAAATTTTATGAGTCCGATAATAAATTTCAAGAGTCAAGCATATACGACAGATCTCCGAATTAAATGTACAGAATTGTTTAAAATATTACCACGTGAATTAAGGTCTTGACACTCGCGAGATGTCACACAAAACGACTTAGTACACCCAGGAGAAAAGTTTCATATTATTAATAATTAATATGATTAATAATTAATTATTTCAGGAGATCGCTGCAAATCTGCACAATTTCGCACGAGTCACGATCTCTGGATTGGCGACAGTCGAGGAAAATGTGCATTGTCAACTGTTGAAAGAGGAATAAGACCGCAAGCGTACAGAGCTTCGATGTACAGAGACGAGTACTTGCAGAATCAGTGCCACAACATTTGTACGTATTCTAATTAATGAATTATGCTTACATTATTAAAAATACTCATGAAATTCATACACATTTGGTATATATAGTTATAATGTGATTTTCAACCTCTTTACTCATGAAACATTTTTTTTCTTTTTTTTCTCAGCAACAAATGATTACTGTTCATATGCAGAATTTCGAAACATGACAATACCATACTCGGATGTCAAATTACAAGGTCTCGATGCCAAACAGGTGAACTTTCCCTTAATTGAAATCAAGTGTTGCAATAATTTATACCGCGTAATTTCCGATAATAAATTTAATAATGCAATTACAATTACGTAGTGCGAAGAGAGGTGCAATTTGGGCAGTGATGGCTTCGTCTGCAGGGGGTACACGATTTTGAACAAGACGACATGTCTTCTACATGCCGAAGACACCATAAGTGCTGGTGTGAGCTCATTAGTGAATCAAGCAAACGCCATATACAAGGAACGTGAACCCTGTTTGGATTGTATGAACTAAAGATCCTCTTTTCCTAACCCCCGACCCTAACAATGGAATAATTAAACTGGGAATTTCACTTCAGTGAAGGTGAAATGTAACGATTCGAGTATGAAATTGGAACTGACCACCATAGAACCTTTCTGGGGTCGGATTTACGTAAACGGATGGGGTGAAACTTGCGGCACCCATGGAAACGGAAGAAATTCCACCACTCTGATTCTTCCTCTGCCAAAAAAGGAAGACTTGTCATCAAATCGAAATATCAATTGCGGCCTGATTCCTGCGTTTTCCGTGGACCGGAATAATCGGTAATTATGCGCAACAATAATTTCCGCAGGGTGGAAAATCACTTCAATTTTTTCATTGCATTTCCAGAACTCGCTAGAATGGAAAAAGCCCGGTTAGGATAGGGTTATATTCGTCTGGGACAGGTTAGGATAGGGTTAGAATGGAAAAAGCCCGGTTAGGATAGGGTTTTATTCGTCTAGGACAGGTAAGGATAGGGTTAGAATGGAAAAAGCCCGGTTAGGATAGGGTTTTATTCATCTAGGACAGGTTAGAATGTAAAAAGCCCGGTTAGGATAGGGTTTTATTCGTCTGGGACAGGTTAGGGACAGGTTAGGATAATGTTGGAATGGAGAAAGCCCGGATAGGATAGGGTTTTATTCGTCTGGGACAGGTAGAATGGAGAAGCCCGGTTAGGATAGGGTTTTATTCATCTGGGACAGGTTAGGATATGGTTAGAATGGAGAAGCCCGGTTAGGATAGGGTTCTCTTCGTCTGGGACATGTGAAGATAATGATAGAATGGAGAAGCCCGGTTAGGATAGGGTTTTATTCGTCTGGGGCAGGTAAGGATATGGTTAGAATGGAAAAAGCCCGGTTAGATTAGGGATTTCTTCGTCTGGGAAATGTTCGAATGGAGAAAACCCTGTTAGGATAGGGTTTTATTCGTCTGGGACATGTTAGGATAATGTTCGAAAGGAGAAAACCCGGTTAGGATAGGGTTATGTTAGAATGTAAAAAGCCCGGTTAGGATAGGGTTTTATTCGTCTGGGACAGGTTAGGATATTGTTAGAATGGAAAAAGCCCGGTTAGGATAGGGTTTCCGTGGACCGGAATAATCGGTAATTATGGGCAACAATAATTTCCGCAGGATGGAAGATCACTTCAATTTTTTCATTCCATTTCCAGAACTCATACAATGGTATGGTCAACGATCGTAATTCAATTCAACCCGATTATCCAAAGATTGGGAGATCAAGCAATCAGAGTAGGATGTCGATTAGGGGAAGGCGAATTACCGGAGCCAAGAAACGTAACAGTTCAATCCAGTATCTCTTTTCTGGACCCCAAGTGAGTTCTTTGTCGCATCAACCAGACTAAAATTAAATAAGGATTCAATTATTCCGCATTTTGTATGTCTTTTGATTCTCTAACCAGCGCAGGTATCCCGACCATAACCTCAATTAAAAATGCTTCGTCGGAAGCTCCCATAATTACCATGAGAATTCTCGACAACGACATGAAGGATGCTACATACACTCGAGTGGGGGATAAGTTGATGCTAAAAATTCAAATTACCCCAGCCAATGGTAAATTACCATTAATATAATTACCCCATGCTTTGTGGTGCTTTGAGGCGACGTGAAAGTGGCATGAAGCTTTTTCTACAAACTACCAGACCTCCCTTAAGGTGAAGTGAAACACGTCGAGGAACTTGATCGACGTCGATAGAGAAGATTTTCCTAACACTTTTTTTTGCCTTTATCCCGTTCAAATGCGAGTTTATCGATTACCAGAGTGTTCTAAATTCTCGTAAAATTGTCCTGACCCTTTCGATTCTCACATCAGAGCCTTCGATAATTGTATATCGATCGAAATATGAGAGCGACGCCATTTTGGTACTGGTCTGGGCTGAGTTAAAAAAATTGTTCGAAAAATCCAAATTTTGAATGTGTCAGGACAATTTTTAGATGATCAAGAGTGACGTGTCAAAGTTTCGGACAGTTTGATCTAATACCTTTAAAAAAAAAGTGTTGTATTCGAATCGACTAATTTGATTACAGTTAAAACATTTTTTCAAAAATCCAAATTTTGAATGTGTCAGGACAATTTTTAGATGATCAAGAGTAACGTGTCAAAGTTTCGGACAGTTTGGTCTAATACCCTTAAAAAAAAAAGTGTTGTATTCGAATCGACTAATTTGATTACAGTTAACAAATTTTTTCCAAAAATCCAAATTTTGAACCTGTCAGGACAATTCTTAGATGATCAGGAGTGATGTGTCAAAGTTTCGGGCAGTTTGGTCTAATACCCTTAAAAAAAAGTGTTCGAATCGACTGATTTGAAGGATGTTTCACTTCACCTTAAGGCCTTCATGATTGCTTAAAAAAATTCCAAGAGACTCGGTACATAACATTAGGAGAAAAGTGTCATACACAATGGACCCGCCACTTTCACATCCCCTCAAATTAAAGGATACCAATTTTTAATAAACTACGGATTAACTCGATTATTTTAGGGATTTACGACATCGCAGCTGGACATCTCGTCGCCAGCAGTGCCAATGGGGAATCTTCCTATCTTTTACTAGACGAGGCAGGATGCCCAACGAATCCTAGAACCTTCCCAGCACTCGACAAAGATCCTAGGGACAATCGTTCCCTAATCGCCAGATTTAACGCCTTTAAGTTCCCAAACAGTCTGGTAGTGAGATTCGACGTTATCGTTCGATTTTGCATGGACAAATGTCTATCGGTGAGAGAATGTTAAACAATAATCGCATATAAAAATGGCATCATGAATTTACTCGCCGATGGATATGAAGGTGTAAACCGACTTGCACGGATTTACCCGAGGATGCTGGGAAATAACTGGGATTTACCTGCACCTACTAATCGCCACGAATTAAACGAAATTGGAGAATGTCGACTTTCACCGGTGAATGTCAACAGATACCAAAGACGTCGGTGAAAGATCGAACATTTCATTACATCGTGGTACATTCGGACCCTCTCCAGTGTGTGTCGACAATCACACACCGGTGAATGTCAACATTTACCAGTGAAACCTTCTCAACATTCACCGGTGAAAGTCGACATTCTCCAGGTTTCGGTGTTTCACCGTAACATCCTCACCTGCCTAGACTTATTTTACATCGTAATTTATAATTCTAGGCAATATGCGGAAATAATTCAATCTCATACGGGAAAAAGCGTCGGTCTCTTCAAACCGAACCGACCATCGCTAACGTAACGGAAATAACTCAAACCCCTACAAACAATTCTGTGGATGAACTATCACTGCAATTGTTCTTAATTGTTCAAGACCAGTACAACACCGCGGATCCTCTTTTATCTAAGGAAACTAAACCTCCGGACACCTTGCTCATAACTGCCGGACGTGAGTTAACAAAGTACTAACGCGATGACATTTTTCTTTTTTTTTTATTATTTTTTTTATTATTAAATATCACATTAAATATGCAAAATGACAAATTTTCAGAGACTTTGGATAATCTTCTATGCATGGACGCAGGCCTCGTCCTGGGATTACTTCTCTTCTGGCTAGTGATCCAAATACTTTTACTAATTGCTTGTCTATTATCGGTAATGAAGTACAGAAAAATAGCAAAGCAAGCCGAGGAGGACAGAGCGGAAATCCTGACGAGACATTTTTACGGAATTCATGGCGGGAATTTTGAAATCGGCCGAAGAGTCCGATGGGCCGATCACAATAGTTCTTCGATTAGCTAAAACCCTGCCAAGATACAAGAAACAAGAAAAGCGAATCGTAGGACCCTGCCTCAGTTTTCCTACAATGAGAAAAAAAAAAATGTCATCGGGAAAAAAATATAGATAATTATTTGACAAACTCGAGTAATTACCTCGGACAGAGATGAGGTCGGGGATTGCACACGAACTGGGATAATAAACATTTAATATTTGTCAACATCCTTTGATTGATTCCAACATGATTTACGACATTACGTATCTTGAAAATTTTTGTACAAATTATATGTACCATACATCCGCGAGAATAAACTTCTCTAATTAATCGCTAAACTATCTTTGGCTGAGTTTATTTATAATAATGCACGTATACACAGTTTAAACTTATTTGTACTACAATATCATTTATTAAACCACTAAATACTGATATTTAAAGCGTTATTATTGCTCCGTGTCGGATAACGTAATCATCGGCTTCTCGGAATCGAATGTCAACTCTTTGTTAAAAATATTCCCGACAATATGTTGGAATATATAAATGTAAACAAGAATATGTTCATCTGCGGCAAGTACGTATAAACTTTTTTGTACAACAATTAAGTCTACTGACCAGTATTAAAATAAAATCAGTACTCATCTACGCTGTAGTTGAATTTATGTGCAATCACACTGATATCAATACTTCGGTAATTAATACAAAATTTACAACAATCTACTCGTTCTTAAAAATATACTCGCTTTTGGAAAATTATTTCACTAGTAGTTAACATTACGCCTTACAATGTCCCTTCTAATTAATTTCATTCCTTTATCGGTCACTCGTTACTTTCACAAACATTTGTATATTAAAAAACTGACTAGTGTCAATATCCACTTTTAGGAGACCCTTTTGTTAATCGATTTTTCACCGATATTTCATTTAGCGTCTTACAATAAAATATACAGTCTATTTAATTTATCCATTTACCCACCACTCATTCCGAAGTATTTATATTTTACATTATTAACTAGTGTCAATATAAACTTTTAGGAACTATCGACCGAAAGTCTTGACCCACGCTGAGGAAAAAAATCTCACCGAATCAAAGAAATATTTTCATAATTCAAAGAATAAATATTCGACTCGAATAAATTCGATGCAACATTTATTTGGAATTGTGGACAATTTTAAGTGAAATAATTATCCTCGGAATTAACCAAATATATCTTTGGTTGAATTAATTTTTTTTTCCCCAGTGCAGGAACCTAGGAACAATTTGAGTAGAATGAGGCAGTCTGTTTTCTCTTTTATGATATTAACCTGGTTCGGTACACCTGGTTCGGTACACCTGGTTCGGCAAAAAGTTACTTGCTCAAAGTACTATAAAATGCCATTTCCCGCCACTTTCAGACATAACTTTCCTGTTCTTTAACAGCAACAAGACTCCCAGCGACAGTCGACAGAAGATCTTCATCTGCATTTCCACGGTTTACTTTAAAATTCCATTTCCCGCGTCTTTCAGACATAATTTTCCTGTTCTTTAACAGCAACAAGACTCCCAGCGACAGTCGACAGAAGATCTTCATCTGCATTTCCACGGTTTACTTTAAAATTCCATTTCCCGCGTCTTTCAGACATAATTTTCCTGTTCTTTAACAGCAACAAGACTCCCAGCGACAGTCGACAGAAGTGAGATCTTCATCTGCATTTCCACGGTTTGCTTTAAAATACCATTTCCCGCATTTTTCACACATAATTTTCCTGTTCTTTAACAGCAACAAGACTCCCAGCGACAGTCGACAGAAGATCTTCATCTGCATTTCCACGGTTTACTTTAAAATACCATTTCCCGCCTCTTTCAGACATAACTTTCCTGTTCTTTAACAGCAACGAGACTCCCAGCGACAGTCGACAGAAGTGAGATCTTCATCTGCATTTCCACGGTTGCTGGTGCACCGGGAACCTTACAACTACTTTTACTACTATGTCTCTTCCAGTAATCGGACTGATTGCTGCTGCAATCGGTAGATCCCGTAGTATACGTCCCAGTTCTCCCAGAAGAGGACTTCTTCTCCTTCTTGGCACCCGACAAGCCGCAAATCCTCAAGAAACCCTGCCTGAACTTCGTGGACATCAAGTTGTACAGAATCGGGTTGATGGTGGAGTTGAGCAGCAACATTGTCCGACAGAAGTACAGCAGACAATAGTAAGTTTCCACGCCGAAGCTGAGGATTGTTTCCGGTTTCATGAACAAGATCCACAGATTGAACGCCCGGAATGGGATCAAGCAGATGAAGAAAGTCAACACGACTGTCCCCAGCATCAGGACAACTTGTTTCCGGTATTTCAGAAGATTGTTTGCAGGACCTCGACTGATTGCTGGGTTTGCCATCAAGTGCCGAGCTATCACACTGTACAGGACGATCAGGATCAACAAAGGCAGGATGAAGAAGACGACGATGATCGTCAGGAAGTATCCCACCCTCCAAGTCTCGTCCAACATACAATGACAAGTCGGGACTAAAGACTCGTCGTAGTACTGCTCTATCCTGTACTGTGATATTAGCAAGATAGGGCTGCGAACAAAGGAATTTCAGACTGAGATCTGATCATTTTCAGACTCTTTGTTGGTGTTTCAGCATTTTCTTGGAGGTGACAGCGAAATGAAATGACACAACCTCGCAGGTTAAGTCGAAAGCAATGTCCGTATTGTACAATGTCGAGCAAACAAATTCCCAGGGAGCGTGAAAGCGGGGAGAAACAATAAATGATTCTTGTAATGACACAACCTCGCAGGTTAAGTCGAAAGCAATGTCCGTAGTGTACAATGTCGAGCAAACAAATTCCCAGGGAGCGTGAAAGCGGGGAGAAACAATAAATGATTCTTGTAATGACACAACCTCGCAGGTTAAGTCGAAAGCAATGTCCGTAGTGTACAATGTCGAGCAAACAAATTCCCAGGGAGCGTGAAAGCGGGGAGAAACAATAAATGATTCTTGTAATGACATAACCTCGCAGGTTAAGTCGAAAGCAATGTCCATATTGTACAATGTCCAGCAAACAAATTCCCAGGGAGCGTGAAAGCGGGGAGAAACAATAAATGATTCTTGTAATGACACAACCTCGCAGGTTAAGTCGAAAGCAATGTCCGTATTGTACAATGTCGAGCAAACAAATTCCCAGGGAGCGTGAAAGCAGGAAGAAACAATAAATGATTCTTGTATAAGCTTACAATGTGTAACGTGCCAGGAGTACGAGTACCACATGCACTGCAACGCATATAAACAATTATTCAACAAAGATCATTATCCACACAATGATTAACCTTTTTAGCCACTTGAACATTGTAGAATCGAAAGACAATTCAATTCTTTATGGGACTTGCAAAGGAAATATGAAAGAGTCAGCCTATATATGTGCCCATAATTATGAAAGTGGTCTAAGTGATATATTTTTTCTTTCACAAACATTTGTATTTAAAAAAAACTGACTAGTGTCAATATCCACTTTTAGGAGAAATTACATTGAATTAATTTCGTTTGAAATAATATGGCGTGAAATAACTGATAAACTCATTTTTTTTTTTTTAATTTTCACTTAGACCACTTTCATAATTATGGGCACATATATCTGGTTCCTCCTGATCTACCAATGTTTTACATCCACAATCGTCCATATCCTGATACTAAACTCTCATTTAAAGTGCCACAGTGCCAAGGCATCACGTCTTATCTTAAAAATATTAATATTTGCCGATGCCATCGTTCTCATTCTTCAGCGTCAGGTGGGGAAATTCCTCGTTTTCTCGGATATGAGATTTTGGGGATCCCATTATTGGAGCATCTTTCTTCGCCAACAATAAGATGACTTCTCCTAAATGAAAAGAGACGCCAGCTGTCACGAGCGACGCCTTTATCGACGTCCTCATCCAAGAAAGGCGTCGTTAGGGACCTCTGTGGTCCCTTGATGAGTTCCACGGCAAATATCTTTCCGTTTTACGCCTTCTGCTCGAGAACCAGTCACTCTGGGGAAACGACATAAACTAAGTCGCCCTTTGTTTTATCCCATATATCCCGGTGATTGTTCGGTGACGTTTCGACTTTTCCGTTCCGGTCTTGCATCGCAATCTGCAAGAAAGATTTCCCGAAGGACGTCGAACCGACCACCGTGATGCTGTAAAGATTCCTAAGAGGTTTTCTTGACCCTTCTCATCACTGGACGGGATTGTTACCTCGAATAAAAATTCCCCGATAAAAGGTTCCTAATGGTTAACGTTGAAATTTAAGGTGAAGTGAAACACGTCGAGGAACTTGATCAACGTCGATGAAGAAGATTTTTCTAAATGCCTACGTTGCCGACGTTGGTTTTTATATTGACAGCTGGGTCGAATTATATTGGGTATTGTACCAAATGGCATACTCCACCTGTCATTTTCGTATAATAATTATAAAGAAATCCAAGTAAAACTCCAGAAATCCTCTGGATTCGTGCTTTCTGGGGCCCTAATTGACTGCAGAGGGACACCCTGCGCCATCTGTGATTTTCAGGTCAATTAAATTTTCACTCCGAGACCTCGCATTACCATCGTTTTGGCATAGAAGCGCATACAACACTTTTTTTGCCTTTATCCCGTTCAAATGCGAGTTTATCGATTACCAGAGTGTTCTAAATTGTCGTAAAATTGTCCTGGCCCTTTCGATTCTCACATCAGAGCCTTCGATAATTGTATATCCATCGAAATATGAGAGCGACGCCATTTTGGTACTGGTCTGGACTGAGTTAAAAACTTTATTTGAAAAATTCAATTTTTTAATGTATCAGGACAATTCTTAGATGATCAGGAGTGATGTGTCAAAGTTTCGGACAGTTTGGTCTAATACCCTTAAAAAAAAAAGTGTTGTACTCGAATCGACTAATTTGATTACAGTTAAACATTTTTTTCAAAATATTCAAATTTTGATTGTGTCAGGACAATTCTTAGATGATCAGGAGTGATGTGTCAAAGTTTCGGACAGTTTGGTTTAATACCCTTAAAAAAAAAGTGTTGTATTCGAATCGACTGATTTGAAGGGTGTTTCACTTCACCTTAATGGTTAACGTTGAAATTTACCATATGTAACGTGTCTTTAGGTTTTACAATTGAGATTGCAAAGTATGCTCGTGTCTTTTTTTTATTTCTAGCTACAACGAATTTCTCATGCGGTATTGGAAAGGCATAATTATTACAAAAGCATTGCTGGATTCCTTGCCGGAACGTTATTACTATTGCTATTCACGCAAAATTTGTACACAGAAAAATTTACTTTCTAGGCGAAATTAATTACTCGCAGCATTCCAAATGTTTCTCGATAAAGAAGTTTTTAATATTTAATATAAGAAAGTATTTAATAATATAAGTTATTAATATTCTTGCTGGCTGCGAATGAATGTCTAAAAAGTGACTTTTTCGCTCAGTGCAGAAACAAAGAGTTGAAAAAATATATCTTGTATAGGACAAATACATCTTTTTGTTTAGTTTGTCTAACGCTAACGTATAATACTGATCGGGCTTATGTGATAATCAGCGAAGTTACAAACACTAAAAACATTCTAACATTAGTTGAGAATTTTTTCATCTCGTTTGATTTCATTATTCGAACTCCACATCCGCTTTTATGGCAAAAATCAGGAATGATTGTCAGAAACATTTCAACTAAGAGTACTCGTATCACCATTTCTATCTGATAAGAGGGCTGTACTTGAACCTGGTTCAGGACCAGGACCAAGACAAAGACCAGATAGTCTTGACCATGACCTTACACTAGCTCCTTCCCAGGTGTCGCAATTTTATCAGCCGCCACTTCGTTATCATGTCCACCTCACCCCTAAAGAAAGTTCTGTTGATTCTCCTTACCGCTCGTCTTTGTCAACCTAACCCCAACAATGGTACTCCTATCGACCTTTCTTTTCCTCTTTGCCTTTACATTAGCTTCTTTCCAGGTGTCGCAATTTAAAGAACCGCCACTTCGTTATCACGTCCACCTCACCCCTAAAGGAAGTTCTCCTGTTGATTATCATTGCCGCTCGTCTTCGTCAACCTAACCCCAACAATGGCACTTCTATCGACCTTTCTTTTTCTCCTAAGTCCGAAAACCTTGAGAAACTCAACCCAGACAAAGACAAAGACCAGATAGTCTTGACCATGACCTTACATTAGCTCCTTTCCAGGTGTCGCAATTTAAAGAGCCGCCGCTTTGTTATCATGTCCACCTCATCCCTAAAGAAAGTTCTCCTATCGACCTTTCTTTTCCTCCTAAGTCCGCAAACCTTGAGAAACAACCCAGACGAAGACCAGATAGTCTTGACCATGACCTTACATTAGCTCCTTTCCAGGTGTCGCAATTTTAAGAGCCGTTTCGTTATCACGTCCACCTCACCCCTAAAGGAAGTTCTCCTATCGACCTTTCTTTTTCTCCTAAGTCCGCAAACCTTGAGAAACTCAACCCAGACAAAGACAAAGACCAGATAGTCCTGACCATGACCTTACATTAGCTCCTTTCCAGGTGTCGCAATTTAAAGAGCCGCCGCTTCGTTATCACGTCCACCTCACCCCTAAAGGAAGTTCTCCTGTTGATCCTCCTTACCGCTCGTCTTCGTCAACCTAACCCCAACAATGGCACTCCTATGGACCTTTCTTTTCCTCCTAAGTCCGCAAACCTTGAGAAACAACCCAGACAAAGACCAGATAGTCTTGACCATGACCTTACATTAGCTCCTTTCCAGGTGTCGCAATTTTAAGAGCCACTTCGTTATCATGTCCACCTCACCCCTAAAGGAAGTTCTCCTGTTGATTATCATTGCCGCTCGTCTTTGTCAACCTAACCCCAACAATAGCACTCCTATCGACCTTTCTTTTCCTCCTAAGACAGACAAAGACAAAGACCAGATAGTCCTGACCATGACCTTACATTAGCTCCTTTCCAGGTGTCGCAATTTTAAGAGCCGCTTCGTTATCACGTCCACCTCACCCCTAAAGAAAGTTCTCCTGTTGATTATCATTGCCGCTCGTCTTCGTCAACCTAACCCCAACAATGGTACTCCTAACCGTGCTCCTATCGACCTTTCTCTTCCTCCTAAGTCCGCAGACCTTGAGAAACTCCACCCTAAATCTACTGCTCATCAGGTTATACAATATAGGATTAACGGCGCTATTCAGGATAAACATGATCCTGCTGAAGTAAAGGACGTTGTAAAAAGCCTCATCGACCTGAACGGAACCCTGAGGAGTAACGATGATGTAGATGGTGAGGATCCTAAACGGCGTTAAACAGATAAAGAAGCTGAGGACCACCGACATCAACATCAACACCACCTGTCTACGAGCCCTTAGATGATAAGACTCCCCAGTGTTGGAGGAGTCTCGCACCAAGTGCCTCACGATAATGGAGTAGAGGACCGATAGGATCACCAAGGGAAGGAAGAAGAAGAGGAGGATAAGGACGAGGACGAAGACGGAGGTCTTCGTGTCGTTGACGACCAGTCGACAAACCGACACGTTGAAAGATTCGCTCCTGTTTGCCGATTGGTTGGACGACTCGTCCCTCACCTGGTCGTACTGCGACGTCCAGATAATCGGACTGCAACCAACCAAAAAACAAAGATCTCTTTTTAGAGTACCGTCGACGTCCACGAGAGACATCTCTTTTCCTTGCTCAGGCGAAGCTGGGAGTTTCATCTCGAAGGAGGGCATTGCAAATCAAAACCACACTTCTTCTTTTAGCCCCGTCGACGAGAGAAATCCTCTTTGCTTTGATTAAGGTGAAGTGAAACACCTCGAGGAACTTGATCGACGTCGATAAAGATGATTTTTCTAAATGCCTACGTTGCCGACGTTGGTTTTTATATTGATAGCTGTGGCGAATTATATTGGGTATTGTACCAAATGGCGTACTCCACCTGTCGTTTTCGTAGAATTAATATCAAGAAATCGAAGTGAAACTCCAGAAATCCTCTGGATTCATGCTTTTTGGGGGCCTAATTGACTGCGGAGGGACACCCTGCGCCATCTGTGATTTACAGGTCAATTAAATTTTCACTCCGAGACCTCGTATTACCATCGTTTTGGTATACAAACGCATACAACACTTTTTTGCCTTTATCCCGTTCAAATGCGAGTTTATCGATTACCAGAGTGTTCTAAATTGTCGTAAAATTGTCCTGACCCTTTCGATTCTCATATCAGAGCCTTCGATAATTGTATATCGATCGAAATATGAGAGCGACGCCATTTTGGTACTGGTCTGGGCTGAGTTAAAAAAATTGTTCGAAAAATCCAAATTTTGAATGTGTCAGGACAATTCTTAGATGATCAGAAGTGACGTGTCAAAGTTTCGGACAGTTTGGTCTAATACCTTTAAAAAACAGTGTTGTATTCGAATCGACTAATTTGATTACAGTTTAAAAATTAAAAAAAAAATCCAAATTTTGAATGTGTCAGGACAATTCTTAGACGATCAGAAGTGACGTGTCAAAGTATCGGACAGTTTGGTCTTTTACCCTTAAAAAAAAGTGTTGTATTCGAATCGACTAATTTAATTACAGTTAAAAAATTTTTTCAAAAAATCCAAATTTTGAATGTGTCAGGACAATTCTTCGATGTGTCAAAGTTTCGGACAGTTTGGTCTAATACCCTTAAAAAAAAGTGTTGCATTCGAATCGACTGATTTGAAGGGTGTTTCACTTCACCTTAAACAATACCAGGAGTTGATTTTGAGCCGAAGGCACTGCGGAATGATAGCATGCAGACAGAATAGAATGATAAAGCAGAGAAGGATAAAGTCTGAGGCGATTTTGAAAAAGTCATCCGATTCAAACCCTACTACCAAAAAATATACAAGGTGTCATGATACTAGCTCTTCCGTCAGCCTAACACGGAGATATACATAGACGGTGAGGATCGTTCTATTTTTAAATCGATGCGCGAAATACGTCATCGAATGATTTATCGCCGCAAATTTCGGATCTCATTTCATCGCGCGGCGGGAAATTCGAAAGCCTAGGAATATCTCCTTTATTCGGGTGAAGTCGAACGAGAATAAAGGGTCGTGGAATAGGAGCTGGGGTTGAAATCGAATTTCCCGGCCGACAACCCGTGGCTACACGTGTTTCCTCCTGGATTTCGGGAAGAGGAATCACAATGTGAAGGCTAAACGTAAAATGCATCTCGCCGATCCATCATGGCGGCGATCGAGGTGGAGGGAAAGGGAGAGATCGTCCGACCGAAATCTCGAATGGCACCCTCGGATGGTCAAGAAAGTAGATTAACGTCCCACGGGATAAAATTCTCTCCTCCTCCATAAACATAAAACTTGTTTCCACCCCCTGGCCCTTTATTACAGCCCCATTGTTGAGGGGAAAAATCGACAGGAGTGCCCTACTAATGCAGAATCTCGCACCCTGATCTACAATGAAAAGAAAGTTTTCCATCGATCCAGGGAGATGTCTCTTGGTCCCAATAAAATAATTTATCCGAGGGATGTATAAAACTTTTAGGGAAGATATTATTTGATTAATCTTTCCGAGGGTTCCGAAGGGTCCGAAAAGGGTTCTACGGAATCGAATTTCTCTCCTAATTCCGTTGACTACCAGTCTCTTCTCTGTTGCGAAAATGGGAATAGAAGCCTAACCCTTCATGCCCAATCCCTCAAAGGAAGTTTCAATTATTATTACTTGATTTTTATTATTAAGCGATTTATCAGCTGGTAAAGTACATTTATATGGGATCAGGAAGTCCACAATCAATATTCAAAAAGAAACCGAGGGCCAATAAGATGTATTGTCGAAGGTTCTCCCGCAGTTAAACAGTGACATTGACAAATTGCATTTACAAGAGCGTAAATTCCCACGGGAGGTTTATGGGTTCTCGAAGACTTCAGCCGGAATTTCGATGACCAAAGAGAAGACGCGTCTTCGAGAAAACACATCACTTGCAAGATTGTCTTTTACTCTCTGGTCAATGTTGCAATTTATTCCGACGTCCATTTATCGACAAACGTTTTTTTACCTTCACTAATATTACTTTACAATTTATTCCGACGTCCATTTATCGACAAACTTTTTTCTTACCTTCACTAATATTACTTTACAATTTATCGACAAACGTTTTTTTTACCTTCACTAATTTACTTTACAATTTATTCCGACGTCCATTTATCGCCAAACTTTTTTTTTACCTTCACTAATATTACTTTACAATTTATTCCGACGTTCATTTATCGACAAACTTTTTTTTTACATACACTAATATTACTTTACAATTTATTCCGACGTCCATTCATTGCCAAACTTTTTGTTTACCTTCACTAATATTACTTTACAATTTATCGCCAAACTTTTTTTTTACCTTCACTAATATTATTTTACTTTGTTACAAACTGAATTGGCAAATATTCCGGCAATGTCGATATTAAGGTGACGGCAAACAAAGATATTTCGACACACCTTTGTCATACTTTTCATCGTCAAAAGAGTGTCCTAAGTGTTACTCGGACTAGTCATACTACTAAAATGCTATTTGTTCGTGATAATGTTATCAATCCTACGGCCATTTAAGTTCATTCTCGTTCTCAATATTTTCAGGTTAACGACTGAACATTTCTCCGGAACTTCTGCTGATATAACAAATTAACCCAGCCCCAATATTAAACATTTAGTCGCCTCTGTTGTATATAGTATTGTTGCAGATAAGCGTTAACACAACAATGAAAGCAAGCGAGTGTGGGTGTTAAATGCCAATAGAGTTTGAAAGGTGTCAAAGTCTTTGTATTTGTTTAATCCTACCTTGTACAAAGCGCTGCTGCGGTCCACGCCAAGAGACAAAGAAACGTTGCCCTTTCCTTCGTGCAAACGTAACTGAAACAAGAACAATGTCTTCTTACATACATTATTCCTTACAATGTTATGCACATTATTCCGCATTTTTATGAAAAATAACGTATTGTAATTTATTATCATCGCTGAGCCTCGCGCCAAGTGCATTCGAGGGATTAATGAAATGTTACTTATCGTTCGAGTAATTGTTACTTACCCTGCTCGTAGTGGTTCGCAAATCGCGTAATAACGCTCGAAACTGATCGCCAATATTGTTAAGACCGATGCATGGGCTACAGTCAATTCCACAAAAGGCACTGCTTTGCCTGAAACAAAAACAAAAACAGAAAACGTATAAATTTCTGGACGCGTATGGACTAAAAATGGAAAGTAAAATATTAAATTTCATAAAATCAGACCGAACAAAGTGTCTTATAAAAAAATTCCCAGCTTTTCCAATTTGTTCCTAACAATTGTCACAGTCTAGACGAAACGCAACGACTCGAGACAAAGAATAAAGTAGATAGAAAGCTCTGATGATACAAATTTCTGGACGCGTACTGACTAAAAATGGAAAGTAAAATATTAAATTTCATAAAATCAGACGGAACAAAGTGTCCTATAAAAAATGCATAGCTTTTACAATTTGTTCCTAACAATTGTCACAGTCTAGACGAAACGCGACGACCAGGGACAAAGAATAAAGTAAATAGAAAGCTCTGATGATACAAATTTCTGGACGCGTATGGACTAAAAATGGAAAGTAAAATATTAAATTTCATAAAATCAGACGGAACAAAGTGTCCCATAAAAAATGCATAGCTTTTCCAATTTGTTCCTAACAATTGTCACAGTCTAAACGAAACAAGACGACCAGGGACAAAGAATAAAGTAGATAGAAAGCTCAGATGATACAAATTTCTGGACGCGTACTGACTAAAAATGGAAAGTAAAATATTAAATTTCATAAAATCAGACGGAACAAAGTGTCCTATAAAAAATCCACAGCTTTTCCAATTTGTTCCTAACAATTGTCACAGTCTAGACGAAACGCGACGACCAGGACAAAGAATAAAGTAGGTAAAAAGCTCTGATGATACAAATTTCTGGACGCGCATCGACTAAAAATAGAAAGTAAAATATTAAATTTCATAAAATCAGACCGAACAAAGTGTCTTATAAAAAAATTCCCAGCTTTTCCAATTTGTTCCTAACAATTGTCACGGTCTAGACGAAACGCGACGACCAGGGACAAAGAATAAAGTAGATAGAAAGCTCTGATGACCGAACCGACCCGAGGAAGGGAGAGAACGAAACGAGTGGGTAAACTAGTACCCCCCGCGAAGAATTACCGCTGCTCTTAGCCTATACGTGTTCGAGCATTTAATGTAGCTATGTGGCAGAGCACCTTCCACTATTACCTACGGCCTTCCATCCAATTCGGTTTAACCTTCATGGGAGGAAATACAATAACGTCGAGAACTTAAGGCAACGAAGGATAAGATTTTTCCGAATTTTCGCGCAATCCATTGTCAAGAAAAAGAAAAGAAAGTGCCTGGATTATGGAGGCTCTAACCAACAATCGTAATTCCGATTCCTTTAACTGAGCTTTTTTTTTTTTTTCAGTGTAATATAAATCACGGGGCCCAAGATGCGTCCGAAGGGTGGCTCCTAAAAAACAATGCCGGCGCTTTTAGCTTTTACCCCATTTCCTTCGATATAGTTTACCCGAGAATACATCGTATCGCGTTTCCGCAAAGTCCGCACCCGTTACTACCAGCGCAAACAGAGACTAAGTACCCCGAAGAAGCGGGAAGAAAGGGGAGGAAAATAAGAGAATAAGAAAATAAAAGAAAATCGTTCATAAAGCTAACAGGAAAGAAAAACCACCGCACTCCTCCGCAAGACTTCTCGGAGAACTCAAGATAAATTATCCCTAATCGAATATAAATTGTTCATCATCGCCCTTAGATCTAAAAGTCGCAAAGGTGTCCGAACCTTTAGCTTTTTTCCTTCATAAAAATTGTTAATTGAGGCTTTAAAAAAAAATGTGAAAATTCTCGCTCACACATATGCTCTCCCAGTGGCCAAACTTCCGGTCTCGAGTTGACTTCCATTAAATAAGAAAAGAAAATCGTTCATAAAGCTAACAGGAAAGAAAAACCTTCTCGGCGTACTCAAGATAAATTGTCCCTGATCGAATATAAATTGTTCATCATCGCCCTTAGATCTAAAAGTCGCAAAGGTGTCCGAACCTTTAGCTTTTTTCCTTCATAAAAATTGTTAATTGAGGCTTTAAAAAAAAATGTGAAAATTCTCGCTCACACATATGCTCTCCCAGAGGCCAAACTTCCGGTCTCGAGTTTACTTCCACGAGGACTGTCGGAGCACAAATGAGCAGCACGCAAAGATCGGCGACGCTTAAGTTCACCAGGAAGATGTTCGTGCTGTTCCTCATTTCTTTCCCACGAAGCACTACCAGAGGTACCTGCCGACGAAATGAACAAATAATCTAAATAAAATAATATTAAAACGTCGAAATAATTCTCGCGATATCAGCGAGATTAAAAATCTATATTCTTTGAGAGGAGTCGAGGATCGCGATAATACCCGATATGAATGGGAGTTAAAAGCGTAATTAATCAGGTTACTTGTACTCACCATGAGGTTACCCAGCACTCCGAGCACCATGACGACTATGCAAATTACCGTCGACGTAATGCGAATGTACCCAGGTAACATGTAAGGCGTACTTGTGATATTATCCGCTTCCATCATAGAAGCTGAAAAAAAAAATAAAAAATTGCAACGCCTAGAAATATCCTACATTTTCCATACATGCATATTTTTATTATCCGCTTCCATCATAGGTGCTAAAAAGAAAAAAAATTGCAACGCCTAGAAATATCCTAAATTTTCCATACATGCATATTTTTATTATTCGCTTTCATCATAGGAGCTAAAAAGAAAAAAAAATTGCAACGCCTAGAAACATCCCAAATTTTCCATACATGCATATTTTTATTATTCGCTTCCATCATAGGAGCTGAAAAAAAGAAAAAAATTGCAACGCCTAGAAATATCCTAAATTTTCCATACATGCATATTTTTATTATGCGCTTCCATCATAGGAGCTAAAAAGAAAAAAAAATTGCAACGCCTAGAAACATCCCAAATTTTCCATACATGCATATTTTTATTATTCGCTTCCATCATAGGAGCTGAAAAAAAGAAAAAAATTGCAACGCCTAGAAATATCCTAAATTTTCCATACATGCATATTTTTAGTTTAACGCGTCATGTCCACTTTCGGTTCGGTGTTAGGTAAACGTAAGCCGGATAAAAAAAGGATGTTATAAAACGTCCCACGTGTTTTTATTACACTTCTAAAATTTGGCCCTTCGGGCTCGAACATTTTATCCCGGCCGTCGACTGGTAAATCGGATTTATTTTTGGCATATGGACCAACGCGTGTCTGACAGGCACACTTGGAGTGCAAAAGGATAAAATATAACATAAGTCTGTTTTCAATATTAAATATCCATATATTTACTGAATCACGATGAAGTATTTATTGTATTAAAATTAAGTGCACCCAAAAATGTATAGTATTGCCCTCAAGAAACCCATTGACACCGTGTGTAAATTAAATCAAAGTGAGAAAATGATGCCTAGATTTAAGGTGATGTGAAAGTGACGTCGAAGAGGTTTTGTTTATAAAACTTTTCTCCCAACTCGCTTTACCGAATAATTTGAAACTTTACAACGTGAATAGGGACACTATAAGGAAGGTCCTGAAGCTCATGAAATTTCAATTCTTTTCAGATTTGTTTATAGGTATTTTAAAAATAGTTTATAAAAAATGAAATTTCCCGAGTTTCAGGACCTACCTTAAGGTCTCCATATTCACGGTTTAAAGTATGAAACGATTTGAGACACCCAGTGCGGGGAAAAGTTTTATGAACGATTGAGCTTTCGGGTGCCACTTTCACATCCCCTTAATTGACACTGCTGTTTTAAATAAAAGTAAGATGTATGAAATACATGATGCATAGGGATTTAATTAACACTGCTTCCATAGAAACCGATTGAAATATAATCGGGATTATCCTTGCGAGATAGAGTTAAAATAAACGCGCTTGTATTTAATAAAATCAAAGAAAACGTACTTATGTTTAATAAAAACCAAAATAAACGCACTAAATGCGCATAAAGAGACGGTTTTAAATAACGAAAAGTAAGATGTATGAAATATATAATGCCTAGGGATTTAATTGACACTGCTTCCATAAAAACCGATTGAAATTTAATCGAGATTATCTTTGCAAGATAGAGTTAAAATAAACGCGCTTGCATTTAATAAAATTAAAAAAAAACGTATTTGTCTTTAATAAACACCAAAATAAACGCACTAAATGCGCATAGACGGTTTTAAATAACGAAATGTAAGATGTACGAATCTCAAGTGTCAATAAACGTCGCGTGTTAAAATGAAAATAAAGACCGACATCGTCGACCTAACCTAACCGACTATGAACCGTTAATAAGGTCGAAACGTGTCCGCGTTAAATTGCAACGAATTGACAGTGACACGTGTTCAGGGATTTTGTTAACGATAACAATCGGAATCCTGTTCTACCAACACTTCGAAGTCACTCTCACCTTAACCCTTCCCGTTGACCTCAATTGACCCAATACGGCATAGAAATCAAGATCCAGTGACATCCTTTTGTCATGCGATCAAATGATCGATCTATCTACCCTGAGATAAGAAATCCATTTAACCGAAGAATTATTCAAGTTTGAATAAAATAATAATTCTTTGGATTAACAAAATATTTCTCTGGTTAAATGAATTTTTTTAATTGGAAAGACCCTTTTATAACGCCCTAAGAAAGTCCGGGATTTCCCCTCGGGAAGTTCCTCGTAATCGTCGCAAGTCGTACCGTGGTTTACTTGCATAATTGCTCGTAATCAGCGACAAACGCGGTGCGCAATACTAACCGATATAATATCGTCGAGGTAAACGTCCGCAATGTGACCTGATAACTTGTGGCGTTACGAGGAAGACTTTTTCACATAGTCTAGTTTCACGGTTAATCTTAAATTCCCAGGCAATTTAAAATTAACCGTGCCGACAATTTATAACCATTAAAAAACGGTCATTTGACCGGCCGGCGGTACTCTTAGCGATAATCGTCGGTTATCCTCCCGGTTACGGTAACCGGGGAATATACCCGCCAAAAATTCTAACCTAACCTACTTACCTCGCAAGCGCCGGAAGCGCCGGCAGCGCCAACCCCCGAAGACGCGCACTCAGCACGACCCGCACCCCGCGAAGCTCCGCCGCGCACTGCGCGGCTCAGCCGTCGCGCCACCCTACTTGAATATCTTGGAACCTCTTCGAGTATGCGCGGTAAGAACTCGCCCCTACCGACGCCATCTTGCCGCACTCGCCCTTCTTCCTTTTATTATCACCGCGTTTATTTTTTATTGCCTAACGTTCGCGGAAACGTCCTCGATGATGTCTGCCACATTGAGAAATGGCTCGCGAAGGGATATTTCCAGATTTTCCTGTTTGTCGTTACGAATTTAGGTTTCGAAAGGATGAAGTGAATCTCGGAATTGTTGATTCGAATAGGACAATTTTTTTTCTGATTATTGCCTCGAACTGGTTGATAATTTTACACGGGACTCGTGAACGTCTAAGGATTGTCTTGATCTTTCCAAAATTTCTTTTAACAATCTCCGGACGGCTGTGTAATGATTTGGAATATTCTAGGAATCGCGAAACGCGGATTTCAGCCATTTAATCGAGTTCTTTCTCGGTTTGTATGGGATTATCGTCACTTGTGTTGCCACCTTTATGGAAAGTGAAAATCAACATCTACTGAGAAAATTATATAATTGGTATGTCACGCTTAAATTCTGCAAGTTTCTTTATCAATACGTTTTATCATTTTTAACTCTATACGCGCGAACTGACTGTAGGTAAATTCGTTCGTATGAAAATGCCTCAGAATTTAAATTTACGCGCGTAATCCTCTTTACCGATCAGAAGAGTTCTTAACTCGGAAATGTTTCGCCGTTTCTCCGCTAGGTGGTGCAACAGTCGACAAAATAGATCTCGTCGAGATTAAAAGGGACATCATATAAAAGGAATAAAAACACGGAAATAAATCTGCAACTTGTTTAAAGAGTGATTCATCTCTGCATTTAAAATAACCAGAAATGAAATATGATATTTCTCTAAAGGAGAATAATTTCCCACATCCTCTGTGAATGAAAAGCGTGGAAGAAAATTAATAATTTATAGTAGACCGAATGGCACCTCTTACCAATTTAATTTTATGCAGTACGATAGGTAAGAAATATTTAATGCAACTCAATTTATTGTATTATACAAGTATTAAGAATAAATATGTAAGGTTCGGTGAAAGTGATTAATATTTTAAGCGTGAACTCATGCGATGTTTGTGTTATATTTTTATTAATATTGTTTATTAAAATTACAGAAAAAGATTGCAACGGTGACGTGCTGTGGACCTGGTCTTATCCCTGCATCTCGGAATCGCAGAAGGCTGCGATAAGCAGGAAATGTTATTTACATGCTGAGCAAAATCAGAACGTTCCTTCGTTCACCTGTGCACGACACGGTCACGAATGGTTTTTTATTCACTGCAGTGAAGTCTTTGACTCTGATAAATTACCAAAGGTATAGTCATTCTTTATATTTGTCCATATACAAATGCTTTCAGAAGGACGATTATAACACTATGTAAAGAGTAGAACATAAATAAATACTTTGACGACTACAAATTTCCAGAAATGACCCTTCTTTTTTTATATATCGTCACGTTTCCTATGATCGTTCTTTCAGGTGAAGCAGTTCGCCTTAATCCTCTTTACAAAAGACTTTAATCCAAGCAAGTATGAGACTTTATGCCGCATTTTGAGCAAAACGTACTGCAAAAGTGGAAACCCAACGGAGATTCTCCAACTTTACCTCTCGGTGTACACGAAAGGTACTTGTACAACGCAAGAAAATGGAACCTTTATATCTGATGAATTTACCAGCCATTGCTTCGAGTCGAACACCAACATTAAGGAACTCATTAAAACGTTCGAATTGGAGACTATTTTAATATACACCGCGCTTCTGTTAAAGAAAAGAATTATAGTTTATCATCACAGCTTGGAACAGCTTCTTAGATGGATCGTCACATTCCCTGCGTTAATGAAGCACCGCAACTTAACGGAATACTTATTTCCCTGGATAGAACTGATACCAGATGAGCTGAACGACTTAAAGGTTTGGGTTCATTTAAATAAATATACAATTGGCATCTAGTGTAATGAAGATAAGTTTATTATTAATTATTCTTATCTATAATTTCAGAAATATACATATTACGTAGCTGGCTGCAGGGACAGCTCGATTTCCTCGAAAACTGAATTGTATGACTTGCTTGTCAATTTACCGGCGAGAGAAATTACTGTCGCTTCGCATGCGAAAGGTACTTAAAATTGGATTCCTTTATAGTTACATAAATGCATTAAAATTACACGCTCGTTACAGGATCAATTATTTAACACGTTAACTGTCACGATAGTTAGTGTGTTAAAATTCGGTATCGCAGTGTTTTTATAAGGTTAAAATTTACAAATAAAATTAAGCTTGCTTTTTAAGCATCCATGTATGTCTTATATACGTATAAAATATGAAGACATCGCAGTAAATATCTTTTCTTTACAGAAAGCTTAACGATGACAAAGACGCATAAAGAAATCGCTCTCTTTATGGTCCAGCTCTGCGAGAAACAATGTACCGAGTCGCAGATAATATCGGAAATCGCAGAGAAAACGCAAATCTTGTTAGAACAATTAAAATCTTTGGCAACAATCCACACCCCGGAAGGTAGAAAAATGGTGTCTATTGAGATATTTAAAGAGAGAAACTTGGCTCCCGCAGTTGAGAATTTCCTCATCAACCTGGCGATAGCTGAGAACCTTTTTATGTTGTAATATAAACTAAAACGGTACGTGTATAATACAAAACCAACAATCGACAAATTTCTGCAAATTTCCCATCAGCGAATAGTCTGATATGAGAATCCTGTTTGGTTGGCTGATATATAGTTAGTTCTCTTTTTCTTGCTTTGTTGAAATATTCCTTTTTGCATTGCAGAATCGTTTCCGAAGAAGTTCCAAATCAACAAGGCTCCATTGTACATCGTTGCTGTAAAAATTCAATATTATTAAATTACACTTACATTAAGAAATTAAATATTTATCCTACCCAGCTGCGTATTATCAGGACTGCAAATCAGGCGAGAAACGTAAGTTTTCTTTTCTACAGGAAGGACATCGACAACTCTGTTGAAATTGCTGAACACCGGAATGGTGCTAATCTTGGTTCTTCTCTGCGAATAAATCCAATTGACCACCAATTCGCCACTTAATTTATTCCATATCAAATTGTTAACAAAACCCTTGAGCTTGATCCATCGAAGGCTTAATAATTTTTCACTGTTAACATTCCACAAAGTCAGAGTGCTATCTTCGATACCTCCACCGACACACAATATATTACTTTTCCATGGATGCCATGCGATTGCCTGAAAAACACTTGTTCATAATTAAATAATGCAATGATTGAATATAGAAAAAAATTGCCCTGTTTTGTATATATTCCTTTTGTTCATAAATTTATGATTTATGAGTCGAGTATCACTTTGTTACAAGATACGAACAGTAATATAATAATAAATATTATGTACTCCGAGTCTCACCTTTGGAACCACTTCGTAACAATACTCTGCAAAAGCGGTTAATTCCGGCCAAATAAAAACTCGCAAAACAGGCTCGACTCCAATTGTTGCTAAATATCGATAATTCGAAGAAAACGCCATGGAATAAATGCCACAAGAATGCGCCATAATAAATCTATTCTTCGCACCTGAAGAGGCTGTGTAGACCATTACTCTTCCTTCCGAGCACCCTCTTAAAGAGAAATTATTCATATGTTAATTACAAGGCATAACATAAATATCTTATATCGTACAAGCTCTTCAGAGTGTAGAGAACAATTTCTATACTGATTGCACCATTTTACAACTATATATTTTTGAAATAAAATTGGCAAACTGAAAGGATTATTTTTAAGAGTTTTGTACCCGCCATTTTGAAATTTCGCGGTCGATATCGAGATTTAATTTAAATTTCCTGCAAAAAGTCATACCTACGTGACAATTTCTTTGTCGTCCTGCGACCAACACAAGCAATTTACTTCACAGTATACGGATAATTGCTTGGAACAACTGCACGAGGTTTTCCACTCGATTTTGTGCCGTAAAATGTGGTTGTGAATGAAGATCATCGAACGCGACGTCGCGACGGCCATTTTGTCTCCTGAGAGCAATAGCCAAAACTGTTATAAATATTCATAAAATGTCAATGATATGATTAAAAATGTTCAAACCTACCTGCCTGATTCCACTTCAAAGCACATACGTCACCAAGGGTTTCAAATCGCACGAAGACCAAGAATTTGCAACTAACGTCGAAAATTTTAACCGAGTTCTCGGCGTTCGAGGCAAATAAATTTGTGGAACTCCAATCGAGTAACGAACCCCCTTAAAAATAAAATCGAGTATTAATATTCAATAGAAAATATACCTGAATTATAAATAGGTAAAAAGGGTAAATTAGCACTAAAAGTGAGAACGAGGACGAGCATTAATATCTAATAAAAGCGTGCCTGCATTTTGCGGCATGTCGGGCATGTCCAAAACGGTTTCCGGAGCTCCAATTACAGGTCGTTTGCGAGGACGACAAGGCCAAAGATATTCCGTCTCGGAGCCGTCATAACGGAAATCTTTCGGTTGATCGACGCAGCTTCCGGGGATCTTTTCGACAGAACCAGAAGGTTTTGTCAGCTGCAAAATGCGTCGATTTTTCGAACGAATTATCCCGAATTTTTCGAAAGCTTGACTCATCTCCCTTTTACGCCAAGAACTTTCTAAAGATTGCACCTTCGAGGGGGAAAAAAAAAAAGAAACTAATTACAGGTGTCGTTACGAAGAAAAGTATCCCAAAAATTTAAACGCGGTTTCAGGAATAATTTCATACAATGTTCTTGCTCGATTCATACCTGACCGAGAACATCCAGATAACGATCCACTTTTGCGGATTCTCTATTTATCGAATAATTGCTGGCGTCCAGATCAGAAGAGCGCCGTTGAGGAATGAATCTATCCAAGGAACTGCGCCCGCCACTTTGATAGGCTAAACCCCATTTTCCTCTATTAACATTCACCGGATTTTCAAGTTGTTCCGGAAACTCAGGCTTTACATATTTCGGGACATCGTCCTAGGAGCGGAAATAATTTTAAGTAGCCACATAAAAGCCTCGAGAAAAGGCAAAATCCAAATAAGTCCAAGGGTGCAAATAAAAGGGCAACAAGAAACGAAAAGCTTTATTTCCTTACGACTAGCCCTAACCGTTAACAATAAAAGATAAGATAAAATAAAAAATCACAAGGCAAAATCCGAATAAGTCCAAGGGTGCAAACAAAAGAGCAACAAAGAACGAAAAGCTTTATTTCCTTACGCACTACCCCTAACCGTTAACAAGTTAAGGTAAGATAAACTAAAAAATCACAAGGGAGTCCGCCATAGGTCGGCATGACTCATTCGGACGATCCAAGTCACCACTCCTCCGTGCGAAAGAAAGGCAGCCGTTTCGCCCTCGGATCCGGTCGTAGCTCCAACCCTCCAGACACCGAGGGTAAATTCTCCGCCCCTGTAAGGACGTTCCCGGATTGGTGTTCCTCTCCCTCGCACGTGGTTCCGGTGTCCCGGCATTGGCGGCAGAGGGGGCAGCCCGGCGCCCATGGGCGTGTCCCTCGACGAGTCCGAAGAAAGGGTCGCAGATGCGTCTGGATGCGTCGAACCCCCCCGCAATGGGACCCCCAGCAGCTCCATCGATTTTTCGATGGAGACCCACCCCGTGTGCACGCATGTGCGTGCACACACGTCCGGCGCTGCGCCAGAGGAGGACGTCGAGCCCGAAGATGTGCGTCGCGAGCAAAAATCGAGCGCGGTCGTATGTAGGACAGGCAACGTCGTGGGAACGCCGCGGGTCGAGCCTCGCTGCGCCGCCATCTTGGGTTGCCTCGGCTAACCTCGGGGGTCCTCGGGTATCCTCGGCTATGTCGCCGGCCGGCGTCGCCGGCCCTCCGACCGACGCTCACCGGGTGTGACTCCACAAGGATGCGCGGTTGCGCGTCGCAACCTTGACCTTGGGCCGCGTGGAGGCCGCACGTCCACCTTCGCCGGCGTCCCCCAGGAGACTGACGACACTCCCGAGACCGACGTCCGCGTGCACTCGCGCGACGCTGCGCACTAGCTCCCGCGCACTCGCGGATCCTCCGGGATCCACCCTGGAAACCCTGGACGCCGTTGACGCCGTTTCGTCGGGGAAGCCTCTGGAGATACTCCTAGTAAGTAAATAGGATTTAAGCTCGAGATGTCGCAGAAAATTCGGGACTCCGCGTTCCCCGACTCCTTCGTGGAATTTCCATCGCGACGCCCGGCGTCGGTGTCTTTTACGCTTTCCGCCGCGATTAGATTTCCCGTTACTCCTCTTCGGGAAAAACCAACCCTTATTCTTTAACCCTTTCGTTACCTTGGACGAGATATCTCACGACCCGATACTGGCCGATTAACACTTTTGACGAGATATCTCGCGACCTGATACTAGCTGATTAACGCTTTTGACGAGATATATCGCGACCCGGTAGTCGCTTTATGCGTAACACCATGTTTTCAATTATACCACGTAGAAGGTAAACAAAAATAATTTCGTTACTCCTCTTCGGGAAAAACCAACCCTTTTTCTTTAACCCTTTCGTTACCTTGGACGAGATATCTTGCGACCCGATACTGGCCGATCAACGCTTTTGACGAGATATCTCGCGACCCGGTAGTCGCTTTATGCGTAACACCATGTTTTCAATTATACCACGTAGAAAGTATCGTAGACGTAGAAAGTTTCTGGAGTTTTACTTCGCTTTCTTTATAATTATTGTACAAAAACGACAGGTGGAATATGCCATTTGGTACAAAACCCAATATAATTCGACCCAGGTGTCAATATAAAAACCAACGTCGACAACGTACGCATTTAGAAAAATCTTCTTTATCGACGTCGATCAAGTTCCTCGACGTGTTTCACTTCACCTTAATTCCAGCCTTTTGTAGAAGAGCGTCGCGACGTTTCCAGGAATCTTTTAGAGAGAATTTCGACTTTCTCAATGCAGAGTATCTTTGTATTCGCTCAACAAACTATAAATTCACCACTTCCGCACACTTTGCGACTATTCTTTGACATTCGACGTAAGATCGTGGTCTTTAATATATTCTACAGATTTTGCGACTACTCTTTGACATTGGACATAAGATCGTGATCCTCGACGTCAGTCTTTCGATCATGGAAATCGGACGTGAGAAGCAAGGAGCATTATGCTTGCATTTATTAAACCGAAGGCAAAGTCCCCTGACCACTTTCAGTCTCCGGTCGGCGATTCAACCCCTGCTGCTCTTTCAGTAGACAAAACCTTCTTCTTAAAGTGGTAATAAATTTATACAGAGCGATTCGCAGAGCTGGATTTAAATAGCTGCCCCCGGAGAGGGGAATATTTTCCGTTCTTCCTTTAGCGGGATTTGACAAAAGAAAGAAAACAACTATTCTTCCCACGTTTTTCAGCATTCACTGATCATGTTTAAATTTCGTTTATCGAGAGATTCTGACTGAAACTTCCGGAAAAATGTACGGACGGAAAATCACTCTCTGTTTTTCTTCTGCATTTATTTTCTGCATTTTTTCTGCATTTATTTGCTCGGTTAAATGAATTACTCGTGCTGATTTAAGTAACGGGTACTGCAGCTATGTTTGCTTATTTGAAACGGACGGCATTTTTTAATCACACCAGAGTAGAAGGAGCAGCAGAAATCATTTTCCACGATTTATTTCACAAGGCAGACATATTCGCTGACGCTGGTGGGCGGAGCTCCTGGGGAGGTTCGCTTTCCTCTTCCTTTATGCTAAGTTTATGTCGGAGCTGCGAGTTACAAGCATGAAAGCGAAGCAATTCCTCCCTTGCCCTCCTCTATTTGCAAGAAACCCTCTATTACTCCTTTTTTCCCGTGAAAATAGATGAATTCAAAGGAGGAAAGGAAACACGCCGCGCCGCCATCTTGGAAATCCCGCATCGAGTTATTTCGAAAGTTCCGTCGCTTTTATCGGCAAATATACAAATTTTAACGATTCACAACACAGAGGAGCGTTGAAAAATAGTCAGTATTGTAAATAAAGTCAAGAAAATTACGGATAAAAGTGCTAGAACCTTCGAAACGACTGATGTAATAATTATACTAGAATCTGCTACATATCGTTTATGATTTTCACTTGCGGAATTACTCGACAGGAATTAAAATGCCGACGACGCAGGTCCAGTAATATGCATATATATTGAAAAATGACGGTGATAATAAATAGAATATATCGTTTATGATTTTTACTTGCGGAATTACTCGACAGGAATTAAAATGCCGACGACGCAGGTCCAGTAATATGCATATACATTGAAAAATGGCGGCGATAATAAATAGAATATGTTGCGGCAATGTTGGGGTTTCTATGCGGCATGTGCCTTATTTTAGAACTGCAATGCCCTTGGAAATCCCAAAAATGTCCAACGTTCGCTTCTTCACGCCGATTTGCAACGCCGTCTTCTTTAGGATAAATTTTCCATAAAAGTTATTTATTGTAAGCGATAACTCATCTGCTAGGTTTATAAAGTTTGGTAATATTCGCTGTATATATCATACAGGCCATGTATATGTATGTTTCTACATAAATACACTTAACAATAAGTAATTCTGACTGAATAAAATTCCAGGAATCGGTCGGAAACGATTTCAAGTGTCCAGTAATTTTACATGTAAGTAAATTGTTATAATAAAACGGTTGAGAATTCGCAATTAACTTAAGATTCTTTTATGCGCAAAGGGAACTTTAAATGTATGAAAAAACTCACCAGCCTGAAATGTCTGTCCAGAAGTCGCAATTTCGGAAATCTGGCGAAATTACCTCGCAATGGCGTCGTGTCAATTCTGTCATTACCGGACTCTTCCAATTCACCTTCGAAAATTCTCCTATGCATGGTTGGCCAACAATCGTCGGATGAAAACTTAAGATTTTTTATCTAAAATGTATATCGCATTTATCTTCACTTATTACTCAGGAACTTCAAAGAAAAAATAGTATAAATCACAGAAATAGAATATGAGGCAAGTATGCAAACCAAGTTCCAACAATGGACCTTCACTCACCATTATTTCATATCACTCAAAACAGATTTTATTCCCACACGTGGTTAATTTTTACATTAATAAACGCAGAATGACAACAAAATTTCAGGTCTTATTAGAATATATCACGAAGACGTACGAATGGCTTTGATCGATATCTGAGACTGAAGAATGTCAACAATCTGAGGAATCGTTGACGTCCCATTACGCGTTTTTTATTCCATTAACGGCTAAGTCACTCTATAGTTCGATCGAAGGTTTATACATTTTTTTTTCGGAGCCTCGAAATTCACTGATAATTGATAAGTCGACGTAACACATAAATTGTTATAAACGGATTATGGCGATTTGTTCCACGTAACAATGGAGATAAGAAGACACGATCAGTATTTTTTTTTTAAATACAATGTTGTTGAATCTTCTTTGCGTTAATAGAAGTCAATACAACAGAAGATTCTTGTTTTGTTTAACAATAATCGATAAGTCGACGTAACACATAAATTGTTATAAACGGATTATGGCGATTTGTTCCACGTAACAATGGAGATAAGAAGACACGATCAGTATTTTTTTTAAAATACAATATTGTTGAATCTTCTTTGCGTTAATAGAAGTCAATACAAGAGAAGATTCTTGTTTTGTTAACCTTTAGTCATCATTCCCAAGTGGTGTCTTCAACGAAGGTTCTCTTCGGCGACGTCTTCGACGGGTTTTCCGACGCCGAGAGCTTCCGCTTTCGTTTTCCTGTAATGAGATATTATTTATTAATAAACAAGCATAATTGTCAACAATTACAAACGACAGGAAAAACCGGAGAGGTCTTCGACAACGATACCGTATAAATAAATTATATATTATAATAGGAAAAAAATAATAAAGTTCATTTCATAATTTTTTTTCTTCTTCCTTTTTTTTACCTACAACCATCTTCCATTCGTTCTCTTCTCCCTTATCATCTTTATCTTCCCGCGATTGTTCCTCTTCCTCCTCCGCCGTGATAACATTCCTGAAAGAGATATTTCTATAATTTTATGCTCACTGCATTTGTCATGTCTATTATCGCTTATCAACATCGTGACTATATACCAGAATTTAACATAAACAATACTCATATTTGTACAATTGTTAACCCGCCACGAAATATTAAAAACAGTACATAAAATTGTATTTAATAAAATACAGGAAAATCTAGAGGATAATTCTGGGCTGTAATATATGATAAAACCGCGATTAACAATTTATTAACAAGTGGTGTGATATAAAATTCCGTTCACATCAGCAGGTAAGGAAAAATGGTATCAACTTTATTAAATCGGCATGATTCATTTTGTACATAGGTCCATAAGTAACAAAATATATTAACAACATAATATATTTCGATAATAAGGTACAGGAATATGTAAGACTATCCACAATTTCCGTTTACGGTCGTACATGATTTCCATTAAAAGTCCGTCAACTTATGTAAAATAATTCCTACTAAACAAAGTAGGAAGTCGTCTTTTTGCACTAAGTTTTCTACAGAATATGGCGCCGCTTTTCCTTCCCAGCATCACTCCAGTACTTTCAGTATAATATATATAACTCTCCTTGGTCTGTCTCTTCCGTTATCATAAAACCGATATGTCAGACACTTAAACTGGATCGATAATTTCATTAAATGTCGTACAACATTGTAAGGATCCTATCGATGTGCATGACAGACATCGGAGGGAAACTCAAAATGAGTTAACAAATCACCGATAGTATTAATACTTACGCAGACGGAGCTTCTTCCGCTTTGTTATTCTCCAGCTTGTCATCGTTGGCATTAACGCTGTCATTATCTTTAATTTCTAGCGATGCTTGGTGATCAGCGTAACTTAGAATCTGGAATTGCTTTGTCTGACGTACTTTTTTTAAAACCATAGCACGTTGATTACGTTTTTTCAGAGACACATAAGCGGACGTATCATTTATCCAGTGTATTAAAATTCCACCTATTGACATTTGTAAGTGACGAGCCCAAAAAAAGAAATGGCGACAATTCTTAAAAATAAACTGTGGAATTTATATAAAAAATATGCAATAATTTATAAATTCACTTACCAACTGGTTGGAACTTTTGCTGTATTTCATTCGTTCTCCACGTTTTTGGAAACGTGATATGGAACACATGGTCTCGACTAGGATTGGCTGAAAAATATAATTATGTATGCAAAATTTAGCTGTCAAGAGATTATATTATTAAACTTATCGTTAATAATATTAGGAAATTAGTTTATCAAGAAATATATGAGTGTCGAATAAAATATCACTTACGATCCTCTCCGTTCAAGCTGATGTACGGCATGTCTATTAACCTCCCGAAGATAACTCTGCAATAACAATAGAGGGAAAAATTATTCCAGAGAATATAAAAAAAGGCAAAGTGTAACTTACTTGTTCATGAATGATTCTAAGAGGGGAGAATCCGATAAAACCGTAGAAACTTTAGGATTTTCCAAAGAACCTAAAAATTCAACACAAAACTGCATCCGTTATGAACACCATTATAGGTTAGCTATCAAGATGCATACCAAATTTTAATTCCTTTCTAATCAACACTACTTTAAACCAAACAGTAAAAATGTCCTGACGATTGATATTATTGTTAACCATCAGACTCGAAAAAAGGAATTTTTTCATCTAAATATTTTAACGGAACGTTTTAAAGTTTACGTACATGGAAAATGGAACCATACCAGCCTTACCTAAATAATTGGACAAAGAGATGAAACACAGTCCAGTTATGTATGCATCATATCCAGCTTCGTGTGTTTTATCGGTCTGCGTAGAATAACATCGACCTTCTACTCCTTCTACTTTAGGCATCGTAAATGGTTCTTTGCTAACTGTCTCTAACAGAATATGTAAATGCGACATTCGAACGATGCCTTTAAATTTCGGCGACTGACACATAATTCGTGTGTCCAAGATTCTGTAAAAATAATAACTCGTATTGAAATAATTAAGTAGTATCACAAAGTGCTCTAAAATAAATTTTATCTTGTAAATATCCAGAAAACCTTGAAAGTTCCACTGGATTTTTAGATTTTTCTAGAAAGCCACTTACCGTGGAAAAAGTTCTTGAACTTGAGATTTAAACGTTGTGTATTTAGCTGGTAACGGTTGTACAAATTGATGAATGATATGGCAGATGTCGAAGAACATATTATGGCCTACGAGGAGCTTTTTCTGAAATTTCGTGAAATTTAATATTAAATTAAAAAGGCTATTTATATTCGTATTTGTTATCAATGCATTTAAAGTGTATACTAACCGATTTCGAAATTTTCTCTACCAATGTACTAAGTCCGGACGCTTGCTTTAACTCCAGCTCGTCCTGTTCTTTCCTCTCCGACTCTTTCTGTTCTTCTTCGTCTATTGTTCCCATTTTCTTAATTACGAATTTATTACTAACGTCAGACTTGGCGTCAACTTTAATGATACCTGGCCACCTTAATTTCACTTCTTGTCGTAATACCTTTCTAATGTAACTATTACACCATTCCATCGACAGTTCTTCTTCTTCCGACTTGACAAAGCCATCTATCCTGGAACTGAAACTAATATTGTAATAAACTCATCTAAACACAATGCTTTATCAGGATATAAAAATATTGCTTTACCGACAAGGCTTAATTGAACAGACTGGCAGACTTTACTCGATAATTACTGCATAAAGCTGTCCATAACTGAAGTTATTTATACAACATCCGATAGAGACAGCTAAAAGAGTTACATCATTTATTAATTACATTTCTATCAATCATTTGATACAGATATGATATCATAATCTATGAGATAGAAATCATTGTCACAAATTTGCTGAAAGCTTGATACAGAATCCCAAAACTGACATTTATTCCAATAGCAAAGCAAAACTTCAAGAACAAGGACATACTTTTTGGTTAGGATGACTTTAAACGATCGCTTCTTATACAATCATAGTATTGTACGCAAGGTGTACTATAAGATACAATGTGTATCCATTGTCTGACACTTAGAAGGAAACAAGAGATTGCTGGTTTGCATCTGTTATGAAATACATCAAATAGCAGTGCCCAAAATGTGCCTCTTTTTGCACCTGAAATAAAATCGTAACACTTTTTACTTATTCTAGAACACCGGAAACAGATTAGACCACTTTCAAATACTACATCGACTCCCTAAAAATTCTAGAACATTATAGATTGATCGTATTTGACAAGCTGCAATTATTTCATAGGATATTTGAGTACCGAAACGAACTAAATAATGCAACTCTTTCGATCATTAGATTTTATACCATACCTATATTTTAGATATGAAAAACTCGGCCAGTTTTGAACTGCCGTTAAAAACAAGCAATTGGAACTGATCAAACACTGTCAGTAAAATAATATCTTCATACTACCGGAATGCTATCTATAAATCGTAGACAAATAAATGCGTTACCAGATGTCCTCTATGCATGGCTTATCTTCCTCAGAAATTAATATAAGCTCTGCCGACTTTTCTTTACTCTGTTGCTTCATTTCTAACTTTTTCTTTAATATATTTCTATCCTCACTAGTGAGATAAGGTATACCAAGTCTGAAAAGCTTGTTAAAGTCGAATCCCTTGTCTATAAGAAAGGCCACCGAGGACGCTTGACACATAAATCTACAATCTGGAGCCATTCGATTGAAGGGTCTTGGAAAAACATAGAAATTATACGAACGTTGCATGTACCTGAAAAAAGAAATACATGCACATATTAACCATTCCCATTAATTGTCATAAAAGTAAGGCTTAATTATTTCATGTTCTATTTTTCATTCCTATTACAAAAATTCTTGTTAGATTCTTCACTCTACCGTTTAATCGTACTTGTGTTATTTACATGAATTAAAGACTTATTACCGAGTTGGTAAAGCTACATCAATCGAAGCAGATTCTTATTTACATTCCTATCTCTTAAATATAGAGATTTAAATACTGAATGCGATAGAGTTACGTACGTATCTCTTTCCGTGTCGTATGTGAAAACCGACAGACCCAACTGGACTAAAAGAAAATCCATTGATCCAGATCGAATGCTATCGTAATACTGTTTCGGTGTATTAAACGCATTAGCGGCAGGCCCTGCGATAAGTCCCGTAAACTCCCCATCGATCGCAAGGAAAGCAGCATCTGGTAAAACTGTGTCCAGCTCGTCCAAGACCTCTTGAAAGTCTGTCAAGAAATGTTAAAACAATAATCAATAACACAGTTCTCCCTGAAATCTCTAGATTACTTACTCTCAGAAGTAACCTCCATTATCTTGCTTTCTATTGGTTTCGTTTCCACTTATATTTGCAGGAATCCACGTTTTGGCCAGTTTTCGAGTTTAGAACCAACTTAAGAGACGTTTGTTGACGAGCAGTTCCTGGATTTACCGCTTTACCGTTACCACATTTTCTAAACACTATTTCTAACCCTCGAAGCGATAAATACCAAAGAAAGACCATAAACTATGATACAAACGAGTTCCGTAAACCACCACCGTCAACTGCCGCATGGTATTACCATCACCAGAGATGAGGAGGTTAGGTTACTGTTCATCTTTACCATCACAAATTCGTGAGCCGCCAACGGCGACTGGTAGATGGTGCGGCCATCGCGAGTGCGCGAGCACTTACCAGAAATTCGTTGCGCCACCCTTGGGGGGAAAAAACGGTGAAAGCTAACGTACGAAACCAGAGGGCAGCACAGAATGCGATCGCGCAACCCTGCCCGTGAGCAATCTCCCAACTCGTCTCTGTTCGGAACGTACGTCTATGACGCACGTCGCGCTGGCATTGTTCACGGACGTTTGGTCGCTGGTAATTAATCTTTTTCATGAAGAATTCGACTAGGCGTTTTGCGACCCCACGAGTGGCAGGAGGTTAGGTGTAGCATCGAGGGCTCGTCGCTTCCTTGATTTCCGTGAGCTTCCGAGTGGCAGGCGGACGCGTGAGCAGGTTCGACGTATGTATCCTATTTTTTTTCTCTCTAGATTTTCTGTCCTCCCCACACCGAGTCACCTTCTTCTCGAGGGACCTCATTGCGACGCCCTTGTTGCAGTTTTGTGTGTTTTTGCATTTTAGGTTATGTTTCTCACTGTGTATACCGTAGCCCCGCTAGCGAGAGGTGCGTGGGGGCCAAAGAATTCAGAACTTCTGAATTCTTTGGTGGAGACGCGAAGAGTCGTAAAAGGGAGCGAGGGAAGCATCGCGAGGTGGTATTCGCACGAGAGGGGCCCAGTTTAGCGAGGGATTTCGGTTAGTCACGCTCTCTGTCTCTGTCTCGAAGCTTAGGCTCGCCTCCAAGGTTCACTTTGACTGCACGAATTCAAGCATGGTGATGATCGGAGACCCAAGCGTAAGCACATATACCTTTTATATATGCACGATCATGATTAAATGTCTAGTTTTTGTACCTAGTATGACATACTAATACTCCCGCTGATAAGTCCGAGTCAATCTTTTTTTCCCTGGGTACTCCCTTGACGCTTTGACTGCCGTGTCGCCCACGTTCGGGCGACAGGGCGGTCAAAGCGTTAACGATAAGATGTGCGTAGCGTAGCGACGTCCGACATGTAACGTAACCTGTAAAGTGTGCTAGAAAGAGGGGGATATTACGAGTGCCGGTAGGTACTCGACGCGCAACCACGTCAGTTCTTGTATCACATTTTGTGTAACTCTCGATGTAGCATCGACCCTAGGGGATTGTAGCACCGAATTCTAAATATACTAACATTTACCTCATTTCTATTTTATTTGCATTAACCCTTAGTTTTACATTGTCGTTTCGTTCGACCGCCTTCCTTAGAAGTAAGAGCGAAGCCTGGACCTCGATGGTCGTTCCGATTCGATCAGTCAAATGTACAGCCGACAAATATCCTAAGCTACGATTACTTATTCACTTATACATATCTCTCCCTCCACAAGGACGGGAAACGTTGCGTTATAAATCCGCGTAATAACCGTCACGCCTTAGTCCCGATAAAAGCGCGTCAGGTGTGACACGTCGCCGCGTCGAGGCTCGACCAATCGGAATCGAGCTTAGCCCGTGCGTCATTTCGGTCGTGGTTCCAATTGGTCGCCGCGGTCGGTGCGACACCCGACGCGCCCAGTGGGACGTCCGCCCTGGAATCCCTTCTATGACGAGCGTCGACTCGACTCGAAACTCCCCAGGACAGATAAGTCCTTAACGCTTCTTCGCGAACCTTCGATCTGTCATCGGTGATCTGAAATGACGCCCCCGAAATTTTCATAGACTTTGTCAATCCGAGTCTCGACTCGAATAACCTTCGAGGCGAGGTGAGGTTAGGTAACGCTTCGAAAGTCCAGACGAGGGCTCCCAGCGATCGGGCGGCAACCTAGAAGAGAAGGAAAAGGGAAAATAATGGGTTATTTATTATCTCTAGGCGCTGGGAGCGTCGCGAAGCTTCAGGCTTTCTTGTCAACACTCGACGCCCACGGTCGCGCATGCGCGTAGCGGCTTATCGCGCTCTTCTTCCCTGTCACGCCCCTGCCCCTCGCGGATGCATAAGCCTATCTCCTCTCCCCTCCGACCGGAGGGTTAGGCCGGACAATTTTCCAATTGATAAGGGCCGGCGCGTCCTATCTTCTCGTGCCCTTAACGCGGATGCGGGATCCGGGCTGTGGGAAAAACACCGACCGGGTTCCCCTTTATCTTTCGACCCGATTGTGCCTCTCGGTCGACTCGATGCCCTTCCCCCGTCTTCCTCGACGCAGTGGTAGAGGTTACTTTCCCGGAAAGTGAACGTTTACACCCGGTGTCCCTCCATTTCTGTTAACTCCGGGGGGGCCGGGACACGTAGACCGGCGACCTCGCGCTCACTTTCCGACCTGCCGGGGGCGCGCGGCCAGCATTTGAATCGCGTTACGTAAAATTCCATGATTGCTCTCCGAAACTCCGACTTTCCCTTGGCTGAGGCCAAGGGAACGGTTAGCGATTACGAGCCTCGTGAGAAGCTTCGGAGGAGAATTTCATGGGAAAGGGGATAAATCCCGAGGTGGAGACTCGGGAAAAACCTTCAGTTTCCCCGAAATCCCGAAAGGGGCGCTGCGGCCGCGCGTCACCTGTCCTCGACCGTGGAACGCCACGGCTTTCGAGCGCGATCCCCTGAAGTACGTTTCAGATTCCTAAACGCGGCACGAAAAATCCAAGACGGGATACATCGACGATCGATTTATTATTTATCCCCGCGGTGGTGCATCGGTGTTCGGCCTCGAGGCTGGCCCGCGTTCTTGCGGGCCGGCGCTCTCGAGAATCCAACATGGCGGCCGGCCGGCGTTCCCTACGAGTGAGTCCCCTCCCGAATTTTTATCCGCGCCTTTTTCACCTACCCGCGTCGTCCCACCTCGATAAAACTCCAGTCTTAATCACGGGGAAGGTCTGTAAGAAGGCGAGCGTGCTTTCGTGGCTCGGGAAATTGTGAAAAATAGCCACGGGAAATACCTCGAATTTCAAAGATGGCGCCCCGCCCGCGCGGCCAAAGATGGCGGCCCCCGGTCGGGCCTCGGAAGGCGCTGTGCCTCGATCCTTCGCGTGGATTTTTCTCGACGGTGAGTCGTATGGATATCCCGGGGGCAGGGTAAAAAGAATGGCCTCCCTCCCCTCTAAAATAACGATACGCAACGGCTGGCCGTTTCGGTGAGCGGCGGCGAGCGAAGCTTTTAAGCCAGGACCGGCCGCGCCGGCGTGGGTGCGGCCTTTTCCATCCGACGGGGGGCTTCCTAGGTCCTGCCTTTTTATTTGAAATTCCCTTTGGCCCCCGTCGGTCGCGGTGCTCCCTCGCGCGTTAGGGTCGCCCATCTCTCTTCCTGCTCTCTTCCTGCTCCCCCGCCTCCCCCCCTCTCCCGTTACGCTAACTCGCCGGGTCTCAGGGCGGCAGCCGCGACTCCACGGCCCTCGGTTCCTGGAAATCTCCAGGCCGCGTGGTCAGAGGGGCTCTTTAGGTCGAATCGAATCGAGAGGGACGCCTCGAGGTTTGGAATCGAATTTTTAAATCCAAGGAGCCTCGAAATCGGCGCGCAATTGTAAGGGGAACGATGGATAGAGTGCTCATAGTTGAGGAGCGAGGATAAAAGGGTCGGTCGGTAGTTTAAATAATTCCGGAGCAGGGATCGACCGCGGCATATATCGATCGGCGGCAGTCGCGGCGTAGTCCCATCTCGTAGGTAACACCGGGCGCCGGGTCCGGTAGGTGCGGCCCTGCCGGTGGGTTCCCCCACTCTCGCGTCGGTCCGACGCCCCGCCCCCTCGCGGCGCGCGAGCCGAGCTTCCCTCAGTCCGTCGCGCGCCGCTGTCGGGTGCGGTCGTGTCCTTGCCGTCGTCCTTGCACGCTTCGCGGCGCGCGTGTGTGTGCGAACGAGACCCCGTGGGCGCGCGCGCGCCCCCGTACGTGCGCACCTACGGAGAGTTCCAGCGACCGTGGGCTCCTATACCACCAGGGAGTCGAATCCTAACCATGACGGCCACACGAGAGTGCTATCCCATACGGTAGGCTTAGGACTGTATATCCCGTCGAGATATATCGAGACTTACTCGATGTCGACGTTAGGTCTCTGCGAGTAATTCGTTTAGCGGTTACGGCGGTCGCGACTACTTCGGGCATCCTCGGGCAGAGTCGGGCGTAGTCGGTCTCGACGACTTTTTTCGCATTTTCACGCGCGGCCTCGCGTATATGCGGGCGCCCGTGGCCCCTCTACTCGGCGAGGCGGGCTCAGTCGATACCGGCGGTCGAGCGGGCCGGTTCTTGGCACCGGGGAGGTTATGTAGCTCGTACCGTTTGCGTGCCCCCCTGACTCACGCCGAGGATCTTCGAAGACGAGAGAGAGAGAGGAGAGACGAGACCCGTCGCGCCCTGCGGGATCGCGCTTTCGGTCGATACCCTTCGGCGGGTTCTCCAACCCGATTACAGCGACGGTTTTCTCCGGGGATTTACCGGGCCCTCGTTAATGCCCCCTGGATGCGGATTTAGGCTCCCTGGACGGATTAGTCCAGGCGATTTACACACCGAGTATGAGGGAATGTTAACCGCTATTTCGCTTAACGTTAATCTCTATCTGGAATATTTTATGGGGTCTTGGAACATTGTCTGATTCTTGGCAACACTTTATGGTCTAGGCTTGGATTATTCCAGGGGATGAGGCGCGGATTGTTCTTTCTTTAATTTCTACAATTGTTTCTTGCTATTGTACACGATTCAGGGAACTATATATGTGCCCATGGTTATGAAAGTGGTCCAAGTCATATATTTTTTCTTTCGATATTACATTGAATTAATTTAGTTTGAAATAACTGATAAACTCATTATTTTTTTCAATTTTGACTTAGATCACCTTCATAATTATGGGTTCATATGTGCCCATAATTATGAAAGTGGTCCAAGTCATATATTTTTTGTTTCGAAATTACATTGAATTAATTTAGTTTGAAATATGGCGTGAAATAACTGATACTCATTTTTTTTTCAATTTTGACTTAGACCACTTTCATAAATATGGGTACATATGAGCCCATAATTATGAAAGTGGTCCAAGTCATATATTTTTTGTTTCGAAATCACATTGAATTAATTTAGTTTGAAATATGGCGTGAAATAACTGATACTCATTTTTTTTCAATTTTGACTTAGACCACTTTCATAATTATGGGCACATATGAGCCCATAATTATGAAAGTGGTCTAAGTCATATATTTTTTCTTTCGAAATTACATTGAATTAATTTAGTTTGAAATATGGCGTGAAATAACTGATAAACTCATTTTTTTTTTTTTTTCAATTTTGACTTAGACCACTTTCAGAATTATGGGCACATATATTTGTTTCGGTCTCTCTCCCTCTTTTCGGCTGGACTCAGAGAAATACCCAGAGGCCGCATTGGCGAATTTAATCGGTAAAAATCTCTTTCCTCTTTTATTTTTTCTCTCGTTTCGTATCGTGGGAATTTCGGAAAGGACCATCCCTCGGTATCGCCTTTAAAGCGCGATATGACCTTCCGTGCGCATGCCTCTCCAACGTTGTATATCGGGTTTCCGCCTGGAAATTGAAACAGGCAAACGGGGAGTCTAATAATAACAACCGCGCGTTTTCCCCGCAGCCGCGAGTCGCGGGTTCTACCGAGCTTCGACGCTTGTCAACGACTTTTCGCCCTGGATCCTCCTTTCGGTTATCCTTAGGCTTCTTTACCTTACCTTTTCATTCCTAGAAGTCCGCGAGAACGACGTGGAAAATTTAAACCCACTTCGCCTTGGAATATTCCCCACGTCTCGACCACGTGGTCTCTCTGGATTCGTTTAAAGGGACCGCCCCACCCTTGCGCCTTACGTTATTCTTCGTTCGCGATTCGAATTATTATTGCGCTTATTCGAATCCGAGGATCACCGAAATTCCCCACCCCTACACGTGGGCCTCTCGGTACGATTAAGGTGAAGGGAAAAAACACGTCGAGGCACTTGATCGACGTCGATAAAGAAGATTTTTCTACAGGCCTACGTTGCCGACGTTGATTTTTTTATATTGACGGCTGGGTCGAATTATATTGGATATTGTAGCTAGACGCCGTTTTGGTTCCCATATCAGAGCCTTCCATAATTGTATATTGATCGAAATATGAGAGATCGACGCCATTTTGGTTCTGGTCTGGACTGAGTTAAGAGATTTTTTGGCAGAATCCAAATTTTGAATGTGTCAGGACAATTCTTAGATGATCAGGAGTGACAAAGTTTCGGA